CTATTTACTTTGAAAAGCACCATTCTATTCTCTTTCTTCTTCGATTAATTATATTTACAAATGTACTTATGTGACTGATCACAAGATACGTGGACGTGAAGTGTTGTATTCCTTGGCGAGTTTTTAACTAACCGAGCCTTGGTCTCTTTAAAACATGCAACCTTGATAAATAGATGATTCAATTATGATGCACGAGTATGACAATACAATTCGGTTAATTGTAAGTATCCGTTTCTGGACTAAAATCTGGCATATTAGCTAATTTTGATAAGTTAATGAAGTTTGAAGATGTAGAAAGTAATCATTTTTTGTTCACGTTGTTTAAATTTACAACTTGTGTATAACCTCTATCATTTTTCATGAAAGTGGAAAACAATGTAATCATTGATTTATAAAATGCTCCGTACAGAAACCATTGTTCAGTCAACTATATCTTTGTTTGCGATTACTTGAAGTACCAATTTCGTTTGATGCACTGACTAATTGTGGAAGAGGCGTATTTTCTGATATCGCGTGGATGTTGTGAAAAAGGCGCATTTTGTTACATTGGCATGATAAATGAAATTATTGCTTCATTATTGTATAATATGTCGTTTTAATATGTTTTCTGAGTAATAGAGATTAAGATATATAACCGTGTTTTTGAGAGAACCTAAATACATTTTTGACTCTTTCTTTTCATTCATACAAGCAAGTTCCTGTTAAAAAAACTACAAAAAGTAAGTTTTATTTGATTTTCTATGAAATCAGAAATGGGATTTTTGTTATAAAAACAAAAGTCAAGCCATATTGGTATATTGCCACGTTGCTCAAAACATAAATTACATTTAAATGTCAACCATCCAAGTGAACATACCCAACGTTAAAAGGAAGTCAGTAAAACATTTCTTTGAACGAAAAACCTAGTTTGCCTTGGCGCTTTACAAACAGGTAAAAGAAAATACCTTACAACCTATGTAATTTTTTTACCAAAAATGCACGCTACTAAAAAATACGTGCGTCATTTGTCATAGGATCAGCTGACCTTTAATGTTAGCATATGCGTCATTTTAACAAATACCAAATGTATCAAATTGAAACATTAGGTCTTCATGATCCAAATTTATCAATTTACAAGCTTCCCCTTGAAATTGAAATTTGTGATATTGATGAAATGAGGCGTTTGCATGTATGTCTTACTAAAAAGTATTTAACTTACAGGAATTTCCAATCTCGAATAAAAACAGGAAATTCTTATTGCAATTAAATGATCCGATTTTAAACTTAAGTTTTTAGCTGTAAGTTAAAAACTAGCCATGCCTTGGTCAGTTTTAAAACATAGTCTTTATGTCATTATGACACATGATTATAAGAAAAATTAATGTAACAAGTAATTAGTATTTATCTTTGGATACACATTTAATTGGAATTAATTTTGATAAGGTAATGCATGAAATTCAAAAGAAATAAGAAGTAATGTATTTTTGTTCACGTATTTCAAGTTTGGAAGAATATTGAATTTTACATAAGCAAATAGCTATAGGATATAAAGATTAAAGTAGGATAAGACGATATGCAAAAGACGATATGCAAATTAAGAACATAAAAGACTTATATAAGGATAATAAAAACGAGACATAGCTACAAATAAACAGATGAATAGGATTGGAGTTCCCCTGATTGTAGGAGAGGATAATTGGTGTTTTCCTCATTTTATTGAAAGAGTTTCTAAACATTTCATGTATGTGAACAAAGAAGACAAAATATTTTAAAACCTTCAAATGTGGCAGTACATGTGTCCTTCAGATTCGAGATACGAAAGGATCTATTTCGTTTGAACTTGCTTATGCAAACGTCGGAGACGTTTGTGAGAATTCTCGACCAGTTGGTCAGGGGCAATCAACTTTCTCTCTAAGGCTAGCCCTGATCTGCTTTTGAGTTCTCCTAAAGGTCTCCTTGGCTTTCATAAGCCTGTGCACATAAAGTAAACATGTTTTTTGTCTTAATGCAAAAATCATTATTGAAAAAACCCTTCTATTGATAAATATAACAATGTCGCGGTAATACGAAGAGGTTTAGGGTTTATAAAATGCATTCTTTCATCATGCATCAAACCCGCAATGTTTAAAATATTTTACATGTTTGTAATAAAAGGTTTTATACATTCCTTATACAGTTTCTCATCTTTAGAAGTTTACAATGAGTTATTCATATGATTAATTTCCATGTGAATTTTTTCGTGTTTGCACTTGTTTATGCAAACCTCAGAGACGTTTATGAGAACGATCGAGCAGTCGAGAAAGTCTACCAACATTTGCCGGTGATAAAAGTGCTTTCACTTGTTAAAATATCCAGTACTTACAAAATTTGCATGTCATCAAAAAAGACATACGTCATTCATCCTATGTAAGCCATATTAGCTAACCTTGAAACGTGACAATGAAAATTACCTAAATTTAACGTATGAAACATGAATGACACGATTAGTTGACCATGAAGGTTATTGATGAATTACATTGAACTTATGAAACAAGAACCTTATAATTAAATTTAGTGAATACAAATGCATGAGTGTCCTGCAATAATCCTGCATTTGCAAATGCCTTATTCTACTACACTCAAACTGCATTTTAAAATGCAAGTGTATAGCTAATGCATTTATTATGTAAACAATCATGCAAGCTAGCAAAAAGTTTTCTAAATTAAAAACAGGAAGAGGATCTTATTTAAGTGACATCTGAAACATTTGAGAAACGAAGACAAGTCACACATAAGAATTCGAATTCAAACCGATTTCCTATCCTACGACTAACAACATGCTAATGGATACGATGAAAAATTATGGTAATATGGTATTCTTGGTGATGTTGATGTTCAAGGCAATAACGATGTGTCCTGACTGGAATGTTATCTGTCAACACAAATGAAAAGGATTATGATTACTCCAAAAGGTTCATGTTCTGTTCAGTTTATATTATGTTATCGTTGATTTACATCCACCCACCACGGTACGTATAAGAAGGACATAAAAGACTTACAGGAATAAGAAGAACGAGACGTACAAATTAAACATAAAAACAAAACAAGATACATAAACAACTGATCTGCCAGAATTGGATCCGAGTTCCCCGGCCTGATTGTGGGAGATAGGGATTTGAGTTTTTTCTAATTTTATTGATCCTGATTTACTAGCAAGATGCTTCCTTCTGAATTGAATGTTATTTTGAGAACCCATTTTGATTCAACCAAAACTATACTTCAATAGTTTTGATTTTGAAGAGAACTACCGCTAACTAAGGTTGTCGAAACGGTGGTAAACATTGACAGCTAACTAATCCTTCTCAGGTTTTTATTAACCTATATAATCTAATACATCTGCAAAAATCTATATACAGATGTTTAAAGTAAATATATGTTTAAGCTTATTGAACGTTTTCTGCTTCTCTCTAGCTCTGAGGCAAGGTTCGTCATAAGATTTCCAATTTTCAATATGAGCAGTCTTAGTGGTAAAATAGATAGTTGTAAAACTTAAAATAGGCAGTTCTCAAAATTCACTTTCAAAGAAAATATTTTGAATTATGTTCCTAAACATGAAAATATTATAGCTACAATAGGAATTTTTTCTCTTGTTTATCTGTGAAACAAACTCAAAAACTTTAAACGTCTTACTATGTTTGAATAATTCTTTCGAGGTTCATTTTGATTTTATCTTGTTTTTTTTGTTGAAATATGTCTTAAAAAATTAACGTTTTTTGAATTGTGCTCTCAGAAATAATGGAAATGCATGCAGAGATCCCTGTTGAATTACAATGGCTAAATATAAAGTGTAAAAATCTTTGAAGAACGTTATGAGGATGAAAACTTACGAAATATGAATCCTATGAGTAAATTTAGTTTATAAAAATGCACGAGTGTCCCGCATTTGCCAGTGCACTATTTTACTGCACGAAAATCCCATTTTATGAGTTTTCAAGTTTACAAGGAAAGGTTGCAGAAAATTTTCCGAATTAAAAACAGAGGGATCTTAGTGTCATTACTCATGCACAAGCGATGTCTCTAGTACTCGAAAAACGAAAGTACTTGAACTATAAAAGGTAATGATCTGATTTTAAGCTTCTCTTTGATCAGTTCAAAGTATGTGACTTAAAAAAATTCCGTTTATGTGATAAGGGTATTTTCATAAGTTCATAACTATGAAAGATAGAAAATGATTTTTGTGGATGTTATGAAGGTCAGCATTTGTAGTTTATAAGCATAATCTTTAGTTTATAGAATAATCATTGATTTTGATTTACTGAAAGTTTCAGACAACACTCAACTAAAAATTATTTTTCTATGCCAAAAAAAAACATGATAACCACAGCCAATGAGCAACATATGTCTTTTTTTTGAATTAGTGTATTTGATCGTTGATGTTCACACAACCAATTGGCACCAAATGTCATTTCTTTAATCAGCTATCGCTTTCGTGATTCTGTTGCATCATTATCATTTTTTACAATGCTTTTGTGCAGTGTGCTTGAGACAAGCTTTTTGTATATGTTGAATTCCTGAGAAAGAGTTTTCCGCAGACTTTTTTCTTAGCTACCTACTACTAAGTGTAAGAGAAAAAAATTCCTTGCCAAAGCAACTCTTAACGAAAAGTAAATTTAACAGCAACCAATAAAATAGCATGATAGCATCAGTTTAGCCATCCTGAACAAATCTAAAAGATCAGCCCAAAGCTATTCTTCCAAAACCAGAAACACACATCGTAAAAAGTTTTTAAATGAATTGAGAAGAACTATGAAACAAAAGTTACAGCAAAAGAAATTGAAAATGGCATTTTAACATATTTTAAACTTCATCAAACTAATTCTTGCTATAGTTTCTATATCAAACTTGAAAAAGAAAACGTGAGCAAGGTATTCAAAATTTTTTTTCAATAATCTACATTTATTTATGCATTTGTTCTTAAAGTAAAAAAGTGAAATGTTAAACGAAACTCTAAGTTTTTTATAACGCTTTTTCTTGAGAAATGATTATTTATAAGCTCCAAACCACCAGTTTGTTGTGGAAACCTGATTTTCTGTGCAACGGAACTTATTGTTAAACACACCATAGTAGCCAAAGTTATCCTCAGAATATACAGAACCAATGCGAGCGTCAAACTGACAACCTGAAACACTACTCTCAATGATTGCTAATTAGGTATTTCACACTTGCCACCATTTCGACGTACACTGAGCGCATTGATGACCACGGATGTTTACAAACTCTACTTTCATACAAATATCAGAACCAGAAAAAGTCATCACATCAAGATCAGAAAACTTTGATCTCACATAATCTATATAATCAACTTTGTTCTTTGGATAACTGCACGTTACTCTCCAATGGGTTGACTGGGACTTCATATAATTCATTTGTGAGTTGCTCATACGATAAATATCCCAGTTGGGTGATCGCTCATTTATGGGGACATTCTGCTGGAAGGTCCTACTTTGCAACGAATTTGTTAACTTGTTCTTCAAAGCATACGACATGACCAACGTCCACGCTGACCCAGGTTCTGAAGTCAAGTCACAGTAGAAATGAATGATTTTGTTGGTGTTGAATTCATAAATATCATAAAAACACATGCAAGACATCCGTTATTCATCATACGATAAGCTGACGTTAAAGTAAGCCAAACGTCATGACAATAAAAATTGCTTACTTTGAACTCATGAAATATAATTGAATTTAGTAAATACAAGTGCATGAGTGTCGTCCATTTGCCAATGAATTATTTTACTGCCCAAAGACTGCATTTTATAATGCAAGTTTAGAATGCATTTTTTATGTGCGTAAACAGACAAGCTTGGAAGAAAAGTTTCGAATTAAAAGTAGGAAGATCTTATTGTCATGCGCAAGCGACATCTCACTCGAAAAACGAAAGTGCTTCAACAAGTCACATGTAAGGATTTGATTTCAAACTTGTCTTTGGTCAGTTCAAAACTAAAACCAATAGATAACATTTTTCATTTCTTTCAACAGCAATTGGCTGTGTACCTTTGTCTCTCCAAACCATATGTGATCCAGAAGCATCATTATCATACATTGCAATTAATGTTTATATGACGTGTGCTTGAGATAAGTTTTTTTGTATGTTTCTAACTCCTGACAAAGACTCGTTTTTTGCTACAAGAATAATTTATTTCGGTACATTCAAATTTTATTTTTAGAACCACCAGAGCAACTTTAAACTTAGGATAAATTAAACAACAAGCAACACAGCAATATGTTAAAATCAGTTTAGCCATTTTGTAATTTAGAAAAATTAATAAGGTTATCTGAGTGATGCACCATATTTTAATATAAAGCAGACAGCAAGGAAAAGTCGTCAGCTATCAGCTATGCACTTTTATCTCTAAATATGTGATCTAGTAGCATCACAGTAGACTGTCAAAAAGCATGAAAAGCCTGACATCACTGTGATCAGTAGATTGTCATGCTTTTCAATGCTTGGGTGCAGTGTGTTTAAGACAAGTTTTTTGTATGTCTCAAACTCTACCCACAGACTTGTTTTTTCTAAGTTTACGTTACAAGATTAAAGTAGCTATTTGAATATATTCAAATTGTATTGCCCGAACTACCTTTGCAACTAAACTTAAAGTAAGTCAAACAACAAGCAGCACAATAATAGGTTAACATTAATTTTGCAATAAAGAGGCAGCAAGGCAAAGTTAAGGTCAAGGTATTGTTCTACGTGCTTATGAGTAGCTCACTGTGTGATCCAGTTTTTGTCAAAACGAATTCTTGCAACTCGATGTATTAAAAGTAGTTTTGCGACAAAGCTAATAGTTTTTAATTTCTAAACAAATTTCAAATGAAAAAAGTTACTGTGCAGGAATGAATCGCAAATGTATTGAGGAGAGAGGGAGTGGACCGAGCAATGGGGTTGGAATTTATGTATTTTTTCACAAGCCAGATGATTTCATTGAAACGGTGTTAGTCCATGGTCGTTAACGTTCTGATCCTTTACTATTATAAGTTCGTTCACCTATCAATAACTATGGTGTTATCAATAACTCATCACAAATATAATTTGTACTGAATGGCAATCGTTTCAACACTCTTCTTTCCCTTTTGCTTGAACTATGAGCTATAGACTAAGAATTTTTTCCCAAAACTTCCACATCACTACATCGTCAATTATAGTTAGTTTTTTAATAATAGAGGGCAGTTATGAAGAATGGGAAGTTGTTCACTGCATATATTACAAAGGAAGCAATAAACCTCCATGAATTTCTAGATCTTCAGCATCATAAATATAAAGACAGGCAAGGACAAAAGAAAATACAAAAGAATGCATTGAACTGTATTCATAATCATTGACATAAGCATAAGAGAAGCACAACGGAGCAAAAGCCAATAGGAAAGAAAATCCTTTTGTTTTGTTTCCTCCAACCTAACGAGAATATGTTTTGCTTTGTTTCCTCAACTGCGCTTTTATTGCCAATGGAAACCAGTGTGCTATTATACAGAGTGTATTTGAAGGAAGAATACCTTAATAGAAATTTGCTTTGAGAAACCTTTTTCCAATTGCCATGCTCAGAAAAGCTTCTGTGTTAGTAGAAATAATTTAGTATATGTATGTAACTGACAATACTTTATGCAACATTAATTATTGCTGTATGTCAATTTCTAATGTTCTTAAAGATCAATGAATTAATTCAACCATATAATTAGTTTTCTTTTGTTGTGCAAAAGTTCTGTTTTTTTAGAAATATACATTCCGCTGGGTCAATCTTAGAGCACAGAGTTTTTGATGTAATCGTTTTGCTTGTAGTTTGAACGTTTTCGTAGGTATATAAATGTTGGTCGAATTTACTTATCTCAGTTATTACTAGACTCGTCGATTTAGAGGAAGACAAATTACTTGTATAAGAGCCTGCCACTTCGTAGTTGCAAGTTGATCTTTTAGAGTTGTTTGCAATTTGAACTATGTGTCGCGTTCTTTAAGTAGAGAAGGCCATTGATCATTGACAAGAAACATCATTTTGCTTTGATTTATAGTGAATGATTTCTGTGTTTTCTGGCAAATGAAATTTTGGGAGGTACGTGTAAAGTTTTGGTAGACACGATTTCAGTTATAAAGCATTAATACGAATTCTCAATCAATTCTATTATTTAAAGAGTGCATTGCGATGTTGCCATGTTTAAAACTTTCTATAAGGTTCTTTTACCGTTTAAATATTTGTGAGTCATGGTATCGAATTTGCATTTACTGTAATATTGTTTACATAACATAATTGCTTTAAGTATGGTAAATTTGATAATGAAAGTTTATATCTTATGAAACCAATCTCCGTTTGACCATCGGTTTTACAGATTGTTATCAATAAGTTGCGACTCAAAATTTCCAGTATACATCATGCAGCTCAATGTGTTCAATGTATTGTAATGTCATAAGTGTGTGTGACTAGTACGCATTTCTCATTTTCTCCTTTAGTAATAAGAAAGCACAGAGTTCGTTTAACATTCGTGAGTATCATGTCTTTGGCAAACTAGTATGTTTGTCTGTAGTTTTGGATTTGTTGTTAATGTAGTTGCTTTAGCATATAACAGTGAGGGGCCCCACTGCTGCATGTTTGATCAGCTGACATTCTGAACGAATTCATTCTACATTCATAATCTTAGGGTTTGTTTGGATATGGATTTGGATTTAATAATCCTGAAATAAAAACGGATGGTAATTGTACGAAAAGAAACTTTCAACAATGCAAAATTATGGCGTCAGGAAATATGGGCTTGTCGACAAATAATTGAAAAGCGTTAATGGTTAAATGATTTTGTGGAATAAAACTACCTTTGAAAATGGTGGTAATATCAATGGCGAGTATAGTAGTAAGGGAATGGTAGTATTTATACGACTAACAACATGGGTAATGGATAGGATGGTACGCTAATGGACACGATGAAAAATGATGGTTATACGGTATTCTCGGTGATGTTGCAACATCACCGAGAATGTTCAAAGCAATAAAGGTGATGCTTTGAACATCATTTTCCACACTGTAAATGCATTTGGCTTTTACTTTTGCTTTTACTTTTCCAAACTGTAAATACATTTTGCTTTGTAGTGTAGTGTTTTCTCTAAGAAGTATTCATGTTGATAAGCCCTCTATTCATAAATTTAATGATAACTGTAATTTTCCAATGACAAAAAGTGACTATAGAACTTTGAAGTAACGTTTATAATTAATAACATAATCGCAAAAATACACATGCACACACCTTACTTTACCAAGCAATAAAGGTGATGCGTCATGAATGGATGACTCAAAAAGGTTCAGGTTCTAATTGATTTATATTTATATTATCGATAATTCACATCCACAACAATCCCATAGTTACAAACCGCATGTGTGTGTGTGATTGATGTGGGGGTGAACTGGATCCCGATGCTCTTGATTAGTTAAATGCTCTTAATTAAGTTTTATTGATTAATTCTTGGATATGCACTTAAACCTTGCTTGTGCTGAAGTGTAGCTAATTTTTAGAATAGGACTTTAACATCTTTTGTGGTGGTAAAGTAAGGTGTGTGCATGTGTATTTTTGCGATTATGTTATTAATTATAAACGTTACTTCAAAGTTCTATAGTCACTTTTTGTCATTGGAAAATTACAGTTATCATTAAATTTATGAATAGAGGGTTTATCAACATGAATACTTCTTAGAGAACACACTACACTACAAAGCAAAATGTATTTACAGTTTGGAAAAGTAAAAGCAAAAGTAAAAGCAAAATGCATTTACAGTTTGGAAAAGTTAAAGCAAAAGTAAAAGCAAAATGCATTTACAGTTTGGAATAGTTAAAGCAAAAGTAAAAGCAAATGCATTTACAGTTTGAAATTCATCGCAACACAGTTCAGTACATCATCTTCACTGTCGTCTTATTACATAAAAACAAAGTAGAATTCTAATTACTAGCAGCCGTAAATTAAGCCTCACCACCATTCACACTTGGCGATGTTGAGCGATCGTATGTATAGGTTGTAGTTCAATGTCAAAAAAGAGACTACATTTACTTATAATCATTGGCTAAAAAGTCTTGCTACAAACAAGATCTGTTTCAAGTAAAAAATGTCATTTCATAAAGAAACGTGAGCATGGTATGATCTGCTGTCAAAAATGGGCACTACTGACATATGAAACTTTGATCGACTGTTGACAATGAATCACGGAAAAGTCGAAACTGCCACTGAATAATCGAAGAGATTGCAATTAAAAGACTCAAAGTGGCTGGTTACATTGAAATTTGAGGAAGACAAGAAATCTTTCTATAAATTCTGGGTACTTTCTTAAAAATAGTGCGGCATTTTATGTTTCGACCTAAATATATGAATCGAATGGATTAAATATCGTTGTAGAGTTTCAACATTTTCATGAAAACGGCAGCTCACATCCACTCAAACCTTAAAAGCATTAAGAAACTGTCTTGCATTAACAACTACATTTTGTGTAGTGTTTTAAAGCTGTAGCTACATTTATCAAGCTGTATTACACACCTTAATAAATTCTCTCACTAAGAAACTTACAAACTTATAGTAACATTTTGGTAGAATTTTTTGAATGGATTCGTCTTTAGAGCTTTGATGTAACTGGAATGATTAAAATTAATTTGGTAGTCATAAAAACTTACGAAATCACCAGCAAATACTGGGCTGAAGCAGAAAAAGTTAGAGGTCAAAATGTTTATTATACACAGTAAGCAAATTCAGTATCTCCCCCATCGTTAGGTAAAATATTTTAAAACTGCTAAGCAGTTTTTATTCAATTGCTGTTGGATGGAAACTTTCAAAGAATTTAACCAACTGGATGGGTTGTTGTTACTTATTTTGACTAACTATAGATCCCCCACTGGATGGACAAGCATCGGGATCCCCATTCCCAAAGGAGTACACCTGGCAATGGATTAAGCAGCCATATTGGTGTAACAATTGAAAAAACTTCATTAAAGTTCTTTTCAGTTTGATACAACAAAAATCATCATCATCATCATCTTGCGGCCTCAGCCGAGATTGAACTCACCACATCTTTCCAGTATTCTCTATCTTTCATAGCTGTTAACAGATTTTCCTTAGGAATTGTTGTGTCTCGTCTTATCCTATCTGGAAAGGTTAACATGCGTCATCTATTCTCAGATGATGAGTGTCTCCAAAGTACAAATGATGACACATGATGAGTTCCTCAGTTGCACGTGCACAATGGCCTGCGAACTGAACACGTCTCTTACAAACTAAGTTTGATACTCTTGGTAGGTCTCCATATATTGTTTCTAAAGTTGGGTGGTTTTGCCAAGAGAGATTGAGGACTCTTCTTAAGAGACGTGTATAACTTCCATCTAAACGCTGCTGTTGTTTGGCTGAGAGAGTCAGAACCGTACAATAAGATGTGCTCAACTAGAGCTCGAAAAATTTGGATTTTAAATTTCCGATCTAGGTTGGATTTCCAGATCTTTTCCAATTTGTTGCAGGCAGTCCATGCAATACCTTTTCCGATGTTTAAGTCTTTCTCTGAGTTCTTTATGTGTGATCTTAGATACTTGTAGTCTTCAACACATTTCAGAATATTTTATGACAGTGTTTTGATCTCCTGATTGTTGCGAATGTTAACTGGCATAAATTCAGTCTTGGTTTCATTGAGATGAAAACAACAAAAATGGTGGCTATGACGTCAGCTAAAAACACTCGATACATATACTTGAAACATTTTCCAAAATATATATACTTTCTCACTCAAAAGGTTTTTTTCAGCTTTGCTGGTTTTCCTTCCATTTCGTTTCGCGGTAAAAAATGTGCCCAAGGTTTGGGGACAAGAATTTAATGCAACCAAAATTTGTTCGAAGATTCAGAATTAGAGGCTAGTAGCACTAAAACGTTTATTTTAAAATCAATTTTTATGCGTTAAGTTAAGTGTTTGAAATAAAATATGATATTGACTTTTCCATACGACGTCTCGAAATGTTTATTATGATATAAGTCATATACTGAATACCATAGAGTCTATGGCATAGACAAATGAAATTTTTGGCCTCTGGGTTAGATTCCTAGAGCACTGCTAGCTAACATTCTCAACCTTTTAATCGAAATGTTTTTTCAAAAATTTTGTACACATTTCGTTTGGTAATTGTTTCCAGTCGGCTACATTGCCAGGTAAAGGGTTAAACAATTCCCTGTAGGGGATTACAACCCTTGCCAGTGATTCCCTATGTATCTTGTGTCATGGTTGTGCTTTTCGGTGCAGGAGTTTGGAAAAGATTTTGGTGAACGTACATAGCAGTGCGACATCGTGTTACAGTAAATTGACCCTTTACTCAGCAAATTTTTGCATGCAAAGTGTGCACACATTTCTTTCGGTAATTGTTATAAATCAGCTACACTGCCCTGTAAAGGGTTAGTCAAGAAATTTTTTGCAAGATGCTGAAGTAACACAATCGCTAATATATATGCTTGTGATCAATCACTGTTTCTAAAGTTCATGGGATAATGGCATTCATGTATATTACAGAATAACAAACATGCACTTTACTGCACGTGACAAACGTTCACCTCGTGTGCATACTTTACATTTTCTATGAATGCCGAAGTACCCTAAAAAACTTTTCATTGCATGTGATTTTGTGCATTCATTATACGAGCTCAAATTTTCTCTAAATTCAGAGTAATCAAAAGAGTTCAGTGCTATCATGTATGGCTACATAGAAAGTGCATATGTTATGATAGTGACATTGATGCTTAGAAACTTTACATTACAATGCTTTTTAGTTGTCAATTCATGGCTCAACTGTTAGGTTTTGTGATGTAGCCAAGTACCTTTCTTATTAAAGTTTGACTTACATCGTCTATATATGTATAGTGTGTTGGAATCAAGATAGTTTGCGAGAAAAGATATTCACCAGTTAAAAGATATGTATATAGTTCAGTTTATTACGTCATTCATATATGTACATTAATACATATTTTAGCGAGCACGTGGTCTTGTAGACACTGGGAGTGAAAGTTGTTTGTTTAATTATACTCTTTATAATTTTATCAGCAAGCGTCGACGTGTTATTTAAACATAGTGTGATATCACAAATACCTATATTACGATCACCTTTAATTTTCACCATCTAGAATCAGTTTACAAACAGACGTAGGAAACTTTCTATTTGAATGAATTTTCCCATAGCCAAGATAATGAAGTTTTTCGTTACGTTCAATCTCACTTAACAGCTTTATTCTGGCATTTCACGCGCAAATTTTGAAGGCACGATTTCGACAATGGACATTAAAAGAGTCACATGTACATCCTCTTTCTAATGTTACTTTCATTGTTGCAACATGAAATTGATTAATTTTTTAACTTACAAAAGTGTGAGAAGAGATAAAAGAGGAAAGAAAATAGGACTAACTCATATTTTATGGAAGATGTCAGTATTTAACATGGTGTCATAAATGATTCAACGTACAGGCGCAAACAAAGATCATAAAATATTTCTACTACTGCAAATTGCTCAAAACTCAAAATATGAACTTAATAATGCTGCAATAGAGCATAAATATCCTACAACTACTTGGATTTTACAAAAAAGACTGAAAATTGCTCATTTTCCAAAATACAAAACAGCTATGCTAGATTAAAGTTGACTACGGAAAGCCAGATTGGAACCCTTAATCTTAGTTAATTAGGTGATTAAAATTTAACAATATCTGTTGCTTCTTTGTTTACGGGAAATCGTACATGAAAATTCAGCGTAACAATCATAATTACCGAACTACCTTTAGAATCGTTTGAAAAAGGAAAAAAGAAGCTTGCTTGCTTTGATGTATAAAATCACTTATGATTTCGTCCATTTGGATGAAGAATATTTCAAAAGAGTACCGGCACTTAGAAGAGCGGCGTCAATCAAACGTTAATTGACAGGAAGAAAGCATATTTATATATATTCTGCTTTTTTTGGCTAGTTTCTTTTGAAAAAATTTTGCTTTCAATTGATGTCTCAGACTAGAACTAGCCATAATTAAAAAAGTGTAAATACTGTATATGTATAGCCAGCGCAAAGGACGTTGCTATTTGAATTTTCATTGCAATTTTCCCAACTGCTGTATGAACAGGAATTGTTTACGGATGACGTGGTATTGTGATGCAAGTTAAGATTAAGGTTAAGATTCATCATCGTTATCGAAGATGATGCACGATAATGATGAAACAATTGCATGATCATGTGATCATTTGAAAGAGTTAGAGATACTAATGAGAGATTTGGCGGGCATTTAAAATGAGAAAATACTTGACTGAAAAATGCACGTACTTGATGTTAAATCATTTGCAAAATAAAGATATAAATGAAGTCAGAATTGTGCAAAATAGTGAATGGTTTAGCTGTTGTTATAAAAACATCACACAAACAAGCAAAATTTTGTAATACTATATGTTAGTATATATTTTTATAGTAAGTGTTATAAAAACATCACACAAACAAGCAAAATTTTGAAATACTATTTGTTAATATATATTTTTGTAGTAAGTGTTATAAAAACATCACACAAACAATCAAAATTTTGAAAAACTATTTGTTAATATATATTTTTATAGTAAGGTACACACGAGATCATTTGTTCGTGATGTGATGTCTTAATCAAAAACTAAAATTCTGGACTGAACTTGAAACTTCGTGTGACGTTTTTTCTAGTCAATTGATCATTTGTAGGCTCCAAACCACCAATTGGTTGTAGACAACTGGTTTTCTGTGCAACGAAACTTATTATTGGTTGTACCGTAGAAGCCAAAGTTGTCTTCTGAAACCACAGAACCAGTGGAAGGATTCAGATCACAGCCCGTAGCATAGCTATCAATATGGGCCGCGTATGCACCCAATACTTGCCACCATTTCGACGTACATTGAGCGCACTGATGACCACGGATGTTTACAAACTCTACTTTCTTACAAATACCATTGCCAGTAAAGGTCATGACATCAAAATCAGAAATTTTTGCTCTTACATAATCTCTATAGTCAACTTTGTTTGTTGGATAACTGCATGTTGCTCTCCAGTGAGTTGACTGTGATTTCAGATAATTCATTTGAGAGTGGCTCATACGATAGATCCCCCAGTTTGGTGATTGCTCGTTTATTGCGACGTTCTGCAGGAGGGCCCTGGCATTCATTGAATTTGTTAACCTGTTCTTCAACGCAAAAGACATGACCAACGTCCAAGCTGACCCAGGTTCTGAAGTCAAGTCACAGTACACTGTAATGATTTTGTTGGTGTTAAAATCATAAATATCATAAAAACCATCAGATTTGTATCCTTTTCTCAGATAATCCACGCAACTTTTAGAGCTGATGTCAAACTACATTCGAAAAAAAATTAAAAGATTGCAATGTTTTTTAGAACACATGTTTTTAATGTGATACAGGATTGGGCATATATATGATATATAAATTTTAAAAATCCAAATTTTCAAAATGTTATCCTCAGTGCCTGTTTGCGAGCATACCTCGTTGAAATTCTGTCAGGATTCACAAACGTTCTATTCCAGTATTTATCTCTTTTAAATTGAATAAGTTTGAAACAAACCTTTTTGGGGGTCTCAACATCAGCTGACTCCATAACGTTGACTTGGAGAATGAAAAGCGTGAAGAGTAGGGAAGGCAGAAAAAATAATTCCATTGCTTGTTTTTTTTTACGACTCAATTCACTATTTCAAAGCCGTGTGTCGCTTATCTTCTTCCGAGAGGAACAGCTAGCTGCAAGTATAAATGACGATGCCCTTTTTATAACAAAGCTTCGCCCTATCAACCTGTAATCAATCAATACTAACGCGTAGATCATGATTGACAGAACACTGTCGTTAATCATTATGAAAGCAACAACATAATGGTGATGATTGAAATAGCTACTTTGACCTAAAGACGGTAAGTTGTTTTTTCTCTCGATTAAAAACAGGAAATTTTTATCTAGCTTTCTCAAGAGATTAGTTTCATGCACGAGGAATAAAGGTTGTTATTTTATGATGTATAACATTTCATCCATACAGAAACCATTGTTCAGTTAGCTATATTTTTGTTTCAGATTAGAAATTTAAAGAACGTTGAAATACCACTTTATTTTGTTGCACAAACTATTTGTGGAAGAGGCGTATTGTCTGATATTGCACGGGTGTCGAGGAAGAGGTGTATTTTCGGAATATTGCATAAAAAGTTTAATTATTGCTGCATTATAAATTAATGCGATGAAAAAATACGATCCCTTTACAAAAAAAATGTAATTTTATCTGGACGAAGCGGCCATTGCCATATTGCTACATTGCCATATTGCTCAAAACATAAATTACATTTCAATGTCAACCATACCCAACGTTTAAAGGATTAAGTCACTTCAAAGACTTCTTTAAACAAAAAACCTAGTTTGCCTTGCCCTTGCTTGTGCTATGCATAATTGACCCTTTGCCAACCAGTGATATCAAACACCTTTCAAACACATTTATTTTTGTTTTACGAAAGATGAACGTCATCAAAAAAATACGTACGTCATTTGTCATAGGAGTAGCAGACCTGTAATGTCAGCATGTGCGTCATTTTATCAAATACAAAATGTATCAAATTAAATACATTACGTCTTGATGATCCAAAGTTTGCCTGCTTTGCCAATTTACAAGCTTCCCCTTAAATTGAAATTTGTGATATTGATGAAATGAGGCGTTTGCATGTGTGTCTTACTGAAAAGTATTTAACTTACAGGAATTTTTAACTTAAGTTTTTAACTGTAAGTTTTAAATTAGCCATGCCTTTGTCAGTTTTAAAAAATAGTCTTTCTGTCATCATGACATTTGACTATAAAAAAACAATGTAATCAGTAATTAATATTTATCCTGGATACACATTTAATTGGTATTGATTTTGATAACGCAATGCTGCTAATGCATGAAATTCGAAAGATATAAATAGTAATGTTTTTTGTTCACGTCTTTCAAGTTTGGAAGACTATTGAATTTTACATGGGCAAATAAGGATACAAACATTAAAGTAGGATAAGAAGGTATGCATAAGAAGGACAAAAAGGACTTGTAAGGATAATAAGAACAAACCATTCAAGGCATAAGAAATAAAACGAGATTCAAAAAATAATATGATTGGCGCTCCCCTGAATGTAGGAAAGGAGAATTGGACCTTTCCTGCATTTTATTGAAAGAGTTTCCGAACAGCTCATATATGTGTCAGTTCAAAGCGGACAACTATATTTTTTAAAGTCCTCAAATGTTGTAGGACGCATGTCGTTCAGATTAGAAATACGAAAGCATCGATTTTGTTTGCACTTGCTTATGCAAACCTCGGAGACGTTTGTGAGAACTGTCGACCAACTGAGCATGTGCAATCGACCTTCGGTCTCAGGGAAGCAATGAAGCTGCTCTCGAGTCATCCTAAAGGTCTCCTCGGTTTACGTGAGTCTGTGCAAACACAGTAAACATCTTTTATTTTTAATATAATGCATAAATCATGATTGAAAAAACCCTTTTAATTATAAAGAACAATGTCATGGTGATAAGTACTGATTTAGGGTTAAAAAAGTGCATTTTCTTTGATCATGCATCAAACCTGCAATGTGTAAAATATTTCACATGTCTGTATTAAAAGTTCTATAAATTTCTTATCATACCTTCCTTTAAAGTTAAAAATGAGTTCCTCATATGATTGATTTTCATTATGATTGATATGTGAAATAAATATAGAAATAAATATTGCAACGTACTGCATGGTGCAAACATAGGTCAGATGAAAATGCTATATTGCCATAGTGCTCAAAACATGAATTTTATTTTCAGCGTCGACTTCTTAAGTAAAAATGTTCATTATTATCATTGCAATACGACGCTATATTGACTTTACCAAAAAAATCCACCATGTTTTCTCTATCAACATTTGACGATGATAAAAGTAAAAGTGATTTCGCTTTTTCACATCAAGTACTTACGAAACATGCACGTCATCAAAAATAACATACGTCATTCATTATATGATTAGCTGCTCTTGAAGTCAGCGTCAGTGTTATATGACAATGGAAATTGCCTTAATTGAACCTATGAAACATGAATCATATGTTTAGCTGACCTTGAACGTTGTGACAATGAGAATTTCCTACATTGAACTTAGGAAACATGAACCCTACGATTAAATTTAGTAAATACAAATGCATGAGTGTCCCGTACTTCCATTAATGCCTGGTTTCCATATGATCGAAAGAGAGCGAAAGCAAAAAAGATCGAAAGAGAGCGAAAGCAAAAAAGAAAACATCGTTTTTGGGTTTTAATATTTCGAAATTTGTTATACAAACAATCATACTTCTGTACTTCTTCCATAAATGAAGACGTAGAATTAAAGTTGATAGCCGCCATCTTTGAATACGGAATCACGGATGTATCATGGGATATATCAAGTCGCTTCTGGCGTAACGATCGTTTTGCACCGGTTTCCATTAAAAAAATGCAAGTGCGTAAAAGGTGTTTCCGGTCGTTTCTGTCGCAAGGATAGAACTCTGGTCTATCTCAAACGATCGATACGCAAGGATCGTTTCTAACGTAAGGATCGCTTTTGTCGTTTGAGTTGAGCGTTTCCATATGATCGTCTCTGTCGCTTCTACAAATTGCAAGCGACAAAGACGATCCTTACGACAGAAACGATCATATGGAAACCGGGCTTTATGAACCATTCCACTCCCCGAAAACTGCATTTAATAATGCAAGTTTATAGTGCATTTATAATGTGAACAATTATGAAAGCTAGCAAAAACTTTTCCAAATTAAAAACAGGAGGAAAATTTTCGTTTTTCATACTCAAGTGACATCTCAAACACATAAGAAACAAAGGTGCTTCGAGAAGTCACATACCACAATCTGATTTCAAACCGATCTTCTACCCTAGTTCAGTTCAAAAAAATCAATGGGCAACAGATGCTGTTTCTTTCATCAACTATCAGTTATGTACCTTTACCTGTCAATACCATCCGTGATCCAGTAGCATCATTCATTGTCATGCTTTCCAATGTTTGAGTGCATTGTGTTTGAGACAAGTTTTCGTATGTTTCAAACTCCTGAGAAAGTGTTCTCCGCAGACTTTTTTCTCTAAGTATGCGAAAATAATTTATTTGAGAAAATATTTAAATTTTAATGCCAGAACTACCAGAGCAACTCATAATTACTACGTAAGTTAAACAACAAGCAACGCAATAATATTTTAAAATCTGCTTAGCCATATCGCTAGTAAAAAAATTTTGTCTCTAAGGTTATCTGAGTGATGCACCCATTTCAAATAAAAACTTTACTTAACAATTACACAGACAGCAAAGCAAAGTAAAAGTTAAAAAATTGTGTTATGTGCTTAAGAGTAGATTACTGGGTGATCCGGTTTGGGTGTAAAATGAATTCTTGCACCTGCAGCTCAATTTATTAAAAGTATTTTTATGACACAAGTTACACAAAACCAGTAGTTTTGAATAAATTCTAAATGAAGAAAGCTGTTGTGCAGAAATGAAGAAATGGAATCATGGCAACTACTTAGAGACGCAGATGAACCGAGCAGTGGTTTTGGAAATCATATGTATTTAGCACAAGCCAAATGATTGCCTTGAAGGGTCTGACGCATGGTCGTTGACGTTCTTATTACTTCATTGCTTTATTCATTGGTTAGCGCTGCTTTATGGATACACGACGCATGACGGAACACATCAAATTTGTATCGTGATTATGTGATGATCAAATTTATTAAACTAATAGTGACGATTTTCAAACCATTTAGTATACATCAATATACGACGCTCATTTGCACTTTTCAGGTAAAAGGCAACTGTCGGTCTAAAATAATAGCTATCCGAAAGAATAAAGAAATTATCTCAAGGTCGTTCAGTTATCGATGACAAATGCGGTTCAAATCATGAGCATTTAGTTTGCGATTAATGACACTCGTTCCAACCCTCTTATTACCCTCTTAACTTTAAGATACTATTTAGATAGGATTACTTGAAGTAGAGGGTATTGTCTTGTTGTGGGGCATGATGGGCATCATGGGTCTTCTGTCTTCATAATAATGAAATAAAATGCTTCTTGTTGTTGTAAGTTTTTAATCTCAGCATGACTCGAGTTTACATTGGAAACTTAGAGGAAGGCACATCCAAACGTGATCTTGAAAGAGAATTAGAATCCTATGGACCACTTAGGGATGTTTGGGTGGCAAGAAATCCCCCAGGCTTTGCTTTTGTCGTTTTCGAAGACAAAAGAGATGCCGAAGACGCTGTGAGAAATCTCAATGGACGAAGAGTTTGTGGTTGCCGTGTTCGTGTGGAAATAGCTCGTGGACCTACTCGGGGCGGTCGTGCTGCTCGGCTTGGCTTAACTGAGTCTTGCTATGAATGCGGAAGGGTCGGGCATTTTGCTAAGGATTGCACTAGGAAACCAGGAAGTCGTTGGCAAAAAAGGTTAGTATGTGCACATGATATACATGAGTGATTTGATTTCTCACTTTGGTTTTACATTCAAATATTATCTTCGTCAACCAACTGGAGTGATTTTGAACTTAAAAATACAGCAGTTACATTTCAAAGGCTAGAAGGAAAAAATTGAAGATTGTTAAGACTGATTTTGCATCCTCTCCATAGTTGAATAAAAGAAATAAGAATCTGAATGAAATTATTCATAACTCTCTAAGCAATTGATGTGTGCATTTCATGCAAGAGTAGTTGAGAAAATGGAAAGCTTAAAACTACTAAATTTTTTATAATTAAATTGTTTACGAATATTTGATGGTTAACATTGAAACAAAGTTAACAAACTACATCCTGTTAAACAGATAAATCAGTTTTTTGCATATCGCAAGAAAACCTTTGAAATTACAATGTTTTTCAGATGAGAAACCACGCAAGCTCTGCATTAACAATGACTAATCGAAATTCTGTTGCTGTAATATCTAAGTGACAGCAAGCTGATAAATGCATAATAACTGCTAGCAAAATTTCCAATTATATAATATAAAATTAGTACATGATAATTTAATCACAGAATTTCCAAGTTTATTTAATATATTATAAATAATCTACTATATTTAATAACAGAAAAACTTTGAGAATCAAACTATATAATTTAAATTCTACTTTGCAAACTTATTAAAACCTCAACATAACTTTTTACTGCAAAAGTCTATGTCCAATTTTACACTTTTCATTTGGTATCTCCTGCTGAAATGAGAGCACATTTCTTGAAAAATTGCTCTATTGGATTGCTTAAAGAATTTCATGTTATAGGTAGCACATTATGTCAGCATCAGGTTGAGACATTTGATTAAATCCGAACATTTTTTACACCTGATTATTGTTTGACAGGGAAAGTTTTAAAATAGAACCCTAAAGACTTAAAACAAGCTCAACAACTCAACATAGTTTGATTTTTTAAATTTTTGTTGTGTTCAATATTTCATACAAATCAAGTTCTTGATTTTCCAGTTTTTTTTCTGGCCCAACATTTTTAGTCGAAATATGTAAGTAGTATGTTTCAATGTTCTAGTATAGTTCTATGTATACAGTAGCTTAGCTTGTCATTCTTGGGTGGACATTACTCAGGGATTTGAGAAAATTTTTTGATGTTAAGAGCAATTTTCTCCATTTCTCATGTGCCAATATTATTGTGCCCCTCCTAAAATCTATTGGATTTCCTATATTCATGAAGGTAGTCTTTCAGCCGATGGGGGGGGGCGTGTCAACTAATAAGCTTGTTTCGTTCCTTCATGAATTTCAATTTGTTATTAACATGACTTTTTTTATATAAACGTAATCTCAGGAGATATCGTAAGTAAAACGATTCTCTTTACTGAGATCTAATATTCGCATAATTTTCAAGATATTCATGGGATGCAGGTGTCCACGCAGCGTGCATCGCAGTTCATCGCAGACAACTTTTATCATGTTTGAATTTACCGTCGGAAAAGCTACGTAGCTCAAACAGCGCCATCTACAGGCATTATCAGATATAATTCATGCGCTATTTCTACCATCTACCAACTTTTCATGTACTGTTGTGTACCTCAAATTCAGGTATAAAATTGTTTGTCTACGGTAGGGTACATATAGCTACAAATCTGTTACGAAGCGTCTATTTGCAAAACGCCCGTGATTATTTCAATACAAAACAACGGCCGAAAACATGAAAAAATACGAAGTTCATTGATAGTATTTTTCAAGTTTTTGGCCAGCTGAAAGATACCGTATTCTCTAATCACGTTGATAATTCAAATTCCAAACGTCTGCCCAAAACATGAAAAATCTGAAGTTAACTGATTGTATTTTTCACGTTTTTGGCTGACTGGAACATTATAGTCTAATCACGTTGCTCCCTGATGTCAGTTTTATCCACACAAGTTTGGAGCCACTGTGGCTTGTGTTAATTCTCTTTGCTGTAATATATTTATCGACATTGAGAATCTTCACTAAAACATTTAGTTGAAATAGTGTTTATGGATGTACGTATGAGAGGTATACATATAGGATGTTGGCGTTTGCCATACGGTCCTTACATCTATTCATACTAACACTGATGTCACCTCGATGCTTATGTTTAGGCCGAGGCATCTCAGTTTTATCATGAAAAAGTGTGTAATCATATTGTTGTTACACCAGCTCAAAAATTTATGATGAAAAGTTAGTTTGCTTTGTCTTTTCTCGGTTTCAGCTCTAGATCAAGATCACCTAAAAGACGAAGATCCAGAAGTAGGAGTCGTTCACCAAGGTAGTTCAGCTCTTTACGTAAGTTATCCTGTTAGGTCTGAGTTGTGTATAAATGTGTATGAGATTTGTACGAAAGGGCGAGGATCTAGTTTGTGCTTTTGCAATTCATGTGTTTAGCTTACGTTTTGTGCTCTTACGTTTTTCGAATTCAATGATTTTATTTGACGTTCGGACGTCTCGCCATAAAATGCTCTCAGTTGTTCTGTTATAATGTACAGTATTTTGCGTGTTTGTTATATGTTTATTGGATGATTGTAGATTACATATTTTGTTTCGTATTTCTTAGGCGAAGTCGTCGTTCACAATCAAGCTCCAAGTCTCGATCACGATCTCGTGACAGGAAACGTAAAATATCTATGTACGTATGATGTTCAAATAAATTCCACGAGTGTGTCATTGGGTTGAAGGATTGTCAATTTTTTATTTCTAAAGTATGCTTTATTGCTGACATTAGATCGCGGTCCAGATCACGATCGAGATCACCGTCAAGGTCGCGATCGGACAGAGCAAAAAGCAGCTCTGAAAGTGACGAAAAAGAGAGGAAAAGGTGATTATATAAAATCGAACATACTTCGAATGGCACCATTTTATAAACTAAAGATTCGAATCGCATTAAAACAAGAACACAATTTCAAAACATTTTTCGACTTTTTTTGTCATTATCTCGATTATTTACAAGCCTGTACAATCTTTACTTGTTAACTTGTTCTTATATACATCAAATTTTACACAGTCCTTCTTTTCCTTAAAGCGATTTACACACATTGGCTCGCGAAAACTCATCTCACGTAAAATTTGCTCGCGAATACTCATCTCACGTAAAACTTACTCGCGAATACTCTCTCACGTAAATCTTGCTCGCTAATACTCTCTCACGTAAATCACGTAAATCTTGCTCGCGAATACTCTCTCACGTAAAACTTACTACTCTCACGTAAATTTTGCTCGCTAATGCTCTCTCACGTAAATTTTGCTCGCTAATACTCTCTCACGTAAATTTTGCTCGCTAATACTCTCTCACGTAAATCACGTAAATCTTGCTCGCGAATACTCTCACGTAAAATTTGCTCGCGAATACTCTCACGTAAATCTTACTCGCGAATACTCTCTCACGTAAATCTTGCTCGCGAATACTCATCTCGCGTAAATCTTGCTCGCGAATACTCTCTCACGTAAATCTTGCTCGCGAATACTCTCACGTAAATCTTGCTCGCGAATACTCTCACGTAAAACTTGCTCGCGAATACTCTCACGTAAATCTTACTCATGAATACTCTCACGTAAATTTTGCTCGCGAATACTCTCACGTAAATCTTGCTCGCGAATACTCTGTCATGTAAATCTTGCTCGCGAATACTCTCTCACGTAAATCTTGCTCGCGAATACTCTCTCACGTAAATTTTTCTCGCGAATACTCATCTCACGTAAATTTTGCTCGCTAATACTCTCTCACGTAAATTTTGCTCGCTAATACTCTCTCACGTAAATCACGTAAATCTTGCTCGCGAATACTCTCTCACGTAAAATTTGCTCGCGAATACTCATCTCACGTAAATCTTGCTCGCGAATACTCTCTCACGTAAAACTTGCTCGCGAATACTCATCTCACGTAAAACTTGCTCGCGAATACTCATTTACGTAAAATTTGCTCGCGAATACTCATCTTACGTAAAATTTGCTCGCGAATACTCATCTCACGTAAATCTTGCTCGCGAATACTCTCACGTAAATCTTGCTCGCGAATACTCTCTCACGTAAATTTTTCTCGCGAATACTCATCTCACGTAAATTTTGCTCGCTAATGCTCTCTCACGTAAATTTTGCTCGCTAATACTCTCTCACGTAAATTTTGCTCGCTAATACTCTCTCACGTAAAATTTGCTCGCGAATACTCATCTCACGTAAAATTTGCTCGCGAATACTCATCTCAAGTAAAACTTGCTCGCGAATACTCATCTTACGTAAAATTTGCTCGCGAATACTCATCTCACGTGAAATTTGCTCGCGAATACTCATCTCACGTAAATCTTACTCGCGAATACTCTCACGTAAATCTTGCTCGCGAATACTCATCTCACGTAAAATTTGCTCGCGAATACTCATCTCACGTAAAACTTGCTCGCGAATACTCTCTCACGTAAATCTTGCTCGCGAATACTCTCACGTAAAACTTGCTCGCGAATACTCTCTCACGTAAAACTTGCTCGCGAATACTCTCACGTAAATCTTGCTCGCGAATACTCTCTCACGTAAATCTTGCTCGCGAATACTCTCTCACGTAAATTTTGCTCGCGAATACTCATCTCACGTAAATTTTGCTCGCGAATACTCAACTCACGTTTCAGCGTTTTCCTTGTTTCAGTGTTTTCCTTTTTCCAAATTGCCTCACTCTTCACATTACATTCCCTTGATACATATCGGTGTGCCGTTGTGGCTATGAAACGAAAATTTTGCTAGTTAATTTATGGTTAAAATTACTAAAACTTTTGAAATGACAGTGTACTTTCTAAAACAGTTAATGCACATCTCTTTTTTTATTCTCGTGATTTTGATGTTTTAGTTATTTCCAATTTATACAACTTGTGCCGTCATGTTGCATAATGAGTTCCCTCATTGTTTCTAACATTCTTCAGTTTCCTGACAACTTAAGGTTGATACTTGTAGGCAGCATTTTGCACCATTAACCATGTCACAATTAAGGGGACTCTGTCCTTGTGAATTAAAGTATCATGAAATATACTTAATAATTTTACTTCTCATTATGCAATGTGACCTCAAAAGTTAGATAAATTGGACAAAGCAAAAACCTCAATATCTCAAGAATTAAAAGTGATATGCGTAAACTGGTTTAGAATGTCCAATGGCATTTTAAAATATTTCTTGAATAAAAGTATTACTCGGATAGCAAACTTTTCGTTTCGTTGGCACTTAAAGAATTAAGTGTCAAAAAAATTCTGTGCTTGCAGGAGCCCGGGAAAGAATTCTGCGGATAGCGATGAAGAAAAAATCAAAAAAGTAGTGGAAGACGAGAATGATTATGAAGATGTTACTGAGGTACAGGAAGATGATCCTGATAACATAAAAGTTGACAATAATAAGGAAGAACATTAACTGTTGTGTATCTTGTTAGTCGTTATTAAGTTGAAGTGTGATTATGAGTAGTTCAGATTAATTATCCCTCGTTGATTTGCTTTTGACTTCCCTTCAGTTATTACTTTTTTCAAACAAAACAACCCCACTGCTGAATATTGTTTGAACTTAACCATGGTGATTTTTTTGATGTGTCCGTCCTCTATAGTCTATACTAAGGATGTTTTAACAATGTTTTGCCCCAAAGAAGTAAGGATTGCGCGTCAAGCCAGATGATGGCAGCCATGCAGGTCGCTCCAGTCCTTTTGTGAACTGCAATTTTTATATTCATAAAATTTTAAAAGTAAACTTTGCGTTACTTTTTCTAAATACTATTAAATTTGAAGAATATTAGTCAAATTTACAGATTGTGGAAAAAAATTGGCCAAAAGTCATAGTATTGTTGAAAAATTTGAAAGCAAAGTCCAAAATCAGAAAATGTCCGCGCGATTTTTTGTTGCTTTTTATGAGTTTTTGAAAGTTCTAGGCATAGCCAACACTTCAAACCACCAAAATTTTGTAGTTCCATGTTAAATACACAAACCTACTAGGTTTGGTGAAAATTGAGCCATTTGCAAAAGAGAAAAATGCTTTTTTATACGTTGAAGAATTTTTTATGCCGTTAGACACACACAATACAAATATGTATACAGATCAGTGTCATTAAGAAAAATTCAAGACCTCGCAAAAAGAGTTTTTAAAAAGCTTTTTTTAATGATGTGAATGCATAAAATCAAGATTATGTTTTAAATGCATAACACTCAGTTCTTGTGCTATCTGTGTAAAGCATAAAAAGTGAGAAAAGAAAAAAACACATTCATTAAACGAGCCGGTAAGCTCGTATTGTTGAAAGAAAACAAAAAATAAACAAGGAAAATTGTAGGTCATCAAATAAGATATATCACTGGAACATTTTTAAAACGTAAAAGGACGTGAATCATACACTATTAGTTTTATAAAATGCTCTAAATATTGAAATATTTTTATGTATTTTTTCGCATTTAGTCCGTCATTATTTATAGTATAAGTTGGTCGATCAATCGTCCTCGATTCTTGCCGATTATTTTTCTCCTCGAAATTATCTTGCTGTAGCATACACTAAGTATGGTAGATCCAATTTTAAAGCACAAAATCTGTCAAAAATACAACAATAAATAATTTTTTCACGTTTTTTAACTGCCAAGAAGCCAAAGCAAACGTTAGTCGCGAAGAAAACAATCAAAACCAATGATTAAAACACGCATTATTTCAGGGGGGAGTTGATAAAAATTTAGATGCATGTTTGGCTTCAATCAATCACGGGACAAAACTGTAGGAGTTATCGTTCCAGTTTATATGTTAGTAAATGTAGATCGTCCAGGTTGGTATAGTCCTGAGAAGGACTGTTTTTGTTGTTGTTGACTGACGTTTCGACAACCTTAGCGGTAATCATCTTCAGAGTCAAATGAGGAGTAAACGTAAGTTGGCCGTATTTGTTATCTGGTTCTTACGTCATTGGATTGTTTGTTCAGGAAATGTGTGGGTGTCAATTGTGTATTGTTATTGTGAATAAGTGTGAAGTGTAATGTTTTTAGTTGATCGTTTGTTTGTATTGTGAATAAGTCGTTTGTAAGGTGCCGGTAATTGCTGTAATCTGTTCAGGGGGGTTTGTTCCAAGTTGGTATACCAACTTTCTACAGGACAATCAAAAACTACGAACAACAGTTTATCGCAAACCAACACACACTGACCGACTACTTGACCAATCATCTTACAACCCTACATCACACAAAGCCATCACAATCAGAACATGAACAAGACGTGCACGAATCATATGTGATTCACCGGACGCTCTACACAACGAAAACAACTATCTCAAACGACTTTGACAAAAGCAACTATGACTCTGACTTTATCAAACGCAACACTTACAAACCCAACGAACCCAACGAAACGAACAACTCAGTGACAACAGCAACGATACCTTACATCAAAGGTACGTCTGAGACTATCTCGCGTGTCGTACGACCATACAACATACGTGTTGCACATAAACCAATCACAACGTTACGACAAGTACTTACGAACATAAAGGACAAAGAACAACCCAATGAACGACAAGGTGCAGTTTACAAAATAAACTGCTCCGACTGCCACGCCTTCTATATTGGGGAAACTGGCAGGAACTTAAATATAAGACAATATTATACAAAGAAACAAGACAAAACTAATCACATTGCCGAACATCACCGAATCACAAAGCACAACATTGACTGGGAGTCGGCAAAATGCATTACTTACAGTACTGACTACAGACAACGGCTTACATAAGAAAGTTGGTATACCAACTTGGAACAAACCCCCCTGAACAGATCACAGCAATTACCGACTTCTTAAGCCCGCCGCACACTGGTAAACTTGCCGCGCGTACTTGTTATTCGTGACAAGCGTGATCGACAAAATTTCCTAGTGTGCGCGGAAGTTTTGAACAACATTTGTCATTCTTGACAGATGAGTCATATGTCAAACACGTTTGATGTCACGAATCTGTCACGAATGGCAAATGTTGTTCAAAACTTCCGCGCACACTAGGAAATTTTGTCGATCACACTTGTCACGACTAACAAGTACGCGCAGCAAGTTTACCAGTGTGCGGCGGGCTTTACAAACGACTTATTCACAATACAAACAAACGATCAACTAAAAACATTACACTTCACACAAATTCACAATGACAATACACAATTGACACCCACACATTTCCTGAACACACAATACAATGACGTAAGAACCAGATAACAAATACGGCTAACTTACGTTTACTCCTCATTTGACTCTGAAGATGACTTCCGCTAAGATTGTCGAAACGTCAGTCAACAACAATAAAAACAGTCCTTTTCAGGACTATACCAACCTGGACGATCTACATTTACAAACATGTAACGATACTCCCGGGTTCAAACCATTTACTTTGTTCCAGTTTATTTTACAGTTTACTGCTTTTTCACCAAGTTTACGTCCGGCAGAAGTTGCCTAAATTGAAAAACACTTACATGCGCATGACCGTTGGATTCATTGACAAGAATGTTTGAATGTATCAAGTCAATTACCTGACTGCAGGGTGTGGTAATTGAAGACGGAAGTTGACAATAGTATAATAGAGTTTCTTTCTGTCCATTTTTTCTGTACCAGAAATGTGAAAAAAATAAAAAGGCAAAAGTGTTGTTGTAGAACAAAAGTGTTATGTAATGGGAACGACGAAGACCGTTAGCCGATGAGTCTTAGTCCGTCTTCGTTTTTCGTACCTTCGTAATATATTGTACGCGAATGTGCTATTGCAGTGGTTCCACTTCCCGAAAATGCGTCATTTGTGCATTGGCATTTCAATTTCAAAAATGAACGTTGTAATTGTTTTTTGTTTTGAAAGATTTACTGCCATCTACGTATAGTCTATCAAGTCCCCATGTTATGGTCTTGCAATACTCATAAATTTCATACATTTTCATAAGTCATTCCTTTAGTCTTGTGAGTCTACAAAGGAAAATTTGCAAAGCGGAACTGATGTGCCGAATGCATTGAAGACAAGAAAATGAGAGCATGCCTCATTAACTTTTGCTTTAATGTATTTTGTTTATGTCGAGTCGGTGTTTGAAACGGAACTAAATATGAAGGCTGGGTAAGACATTGGCCACAATCCTTTCATTGCGCGATTGCAAAAAGTGAAGCAAAACATCCAATGATGTCATTGCGATATAACATGTCGAGCATGTGATGGTCGTTTCAGTTTTTATTTCATTTATGACGTCATTTATCACGAGAGACATAAGCATTAACAAAGACTTTGTCTGACTCTGATTTTAAATCGATCCTGCCGATCTAAACGATCCAAACTTTCCATAAAAACTTAAAGTTTGGTAAGAAAATTTGCCTTGTTTTAACTCCTTACTGCTTTTTAGAATGATATTGCCAAGGAAAGTAGTAAGAACAAGTCAAGTATGATAGATATGTTGTCTTTATAATTTCCCGCCCTCGTGCATTCCTATATCAAAGAAAGATACAACGATTTCTGACCGTCATCTGCAAACATGATCAAAGAAACTTTCACTTTTTATTTGCACTCGTAAACATTAAATTTGAAAATTATTCAGTCTATGACGAAATCTTAGTCATTATTCAAGGAGAAGCATTTTTTCCGGTATTCTTTTTTTGAAGTATTCATCAAACTTCCACAACTCCACCTACACCAAAGTTAGGATATTGAACTTTGACCCTAATGATAGCTAAATTAACTTCGAATGAAATTCGGATTTCTAATTTATTATTATTATTAGTTCATTGGAAACATCGGATTTCTAATTTATTATTATTATTAGTTCATTAGAAACTTCGGATTTCTAATTTATTATTATTATTAATTCTTTGGAAACTTCGAATTTCTAATTTTAATATTATTAATTCATTAGAAACTTCGAACGAAGTTCAGATTTCGAATTTCGGATTCGGTTTTCTGAAATTCGGAATGAAATTCGGATTTTATAATTTGCTATTATGCATACAAAGAATGTTTTATCAAATTGAAACCAATGATGATAGAAATCGGAGTTCCGAATCAAACTATTTCTGCTAAATTACTACAAATTACGGTAAGCTGTCAACTTAAATAGTCAGTCATGTTAAGGAATGAATGGAATGAATGATATTGCAACATATTTTCACAGGAAAATAGGCACGATGCGTTTTGCTTATTGGGCAAAACGGCTGTTCACGTCTATTTTGAAAAAAAAGTGCCACGACATCAAGTAATTTGATTAAATTTGAATGACAAGCACTTCCTTTTATTAAAGTACTTCTGTTTCTCATATTTCAAAATACTTCCGTATATCGTGTCAGCTCGTCAGCATACATGAAATTCGATATTAATCTTAAATCTTCAAAACATCACAATGAAGAAGCAATACAAAGATATCTAGTAGAATAAATACGGAAAGTTGGCTACTTGAAATGATGCTGAATAATTCGACAGCGATCACAGATGGGTCAATCGAGGACTGTTTCGAGACGTATATTGTTGTGAAACCATCGCGATCTTATGTGATCAACAGTATCATTGGCTGTATAGTAAACGGTGTTTTTGCATTGTCAGGGGTGCTACTGAATTCGTTGGTAATATATGTCTTTTGGAAGACGCCGAAACTTCGACTCAAGGTCTCCTACTTCATGCTAATGGTTCTATCATCCATGGACTTCTGCGCCTCGGCAATTGTGCATCCTTTGCATGTGCTCAATTCCATTGCTGAAATTGCTGGTTCAGCGAAATGTTCCTACAAGATGGTATATCAAACTTCGGCCGTTATGTTGTCAGGTGTATCTTTCCTTACTTTCTTTGTCATGAATGTCGAAAGATTTATATCCATCGTGCATCCGTTTTTTCATCTTTCTTACGTCACAAAACCTCGTTGCTTCCTTGCATCATCTTTAACTTGGGTCATCTGTACCGTGACGGGAATAGCTCCCTTCTTCAGTTTGGATATTCAAAATTTTGTCACCGCTCTTTCTCTGACTGTCGTGAGTGGTACGTTTTACATATATGTACGCATATTTATGGTGGCTAGAAAGAGAAATCCTAGGGATAGAGAATCAAGTGTGCGAAGTGACGAGCTTGACAATGATCTCGATCATGATGGGCGAATAGGAATTCAGTCCAGAAAAGCCGTTTCATTCTTGCACGATTTGCAACTCGCTAAAATGTACATGATTGTCGTGCTAGCAAGTCTTGTTCTTAACTTACCCAACGCTATTGTGTTAGGAATGTTTCCAGAGCGAATTGAAACCTTGAACAATGTGGTTCAAGTTAAGATATGGACGATTACATTGGTTGCTATAAACTCGACCATGAACTGTTTAATTTTCTTCTGGGCAAATAATCGACTCAGAAGAGAAGGTTGGCGGTTATACAAACGATTAATAAGAGGATGACTTGTGTTTCATATTTTATTTAACAATTATTTAAGATCGCAATTATAGTCTTGACATGGGTGTAAAGTTTCTTTGCTAAAGTGTATAATTTTCTGCTTCAAAGTCAAATTCGATTGTGATGCAGCAGGGAAAGTCAGCGAGTGAACTTAAAGCAAGCAAATCAGCAAAGCTGCAGAAAAATCGTAGTTTACAATACAATGATTGTCATCAAAGTCAATATGATAAAATTCCACGCGCAGGCCACTAATCTAAGTTGAACTGGGGCGTAGCCAGCCCGCTCATATAACCCTTTAACAATCACTCAATCACAACAATCAATGCAAGTGATTGTTGCAGATCTGCTACACGGGACAATAAAGAGTTATCCTTTATCGACCACATCTTCTATTTTCAATAGCAGTTCATTTAGTTCAGTGAACGGAATTTTTTTTGCTTTTCTATCTCATTAACACTCTGCGTGATAAGATGTAGAGCTGAAACTCCATTTTAGTTCTCCATTTAGAACTAAATTTTAGTTCTCCATTTTAGTTCTCCATTTTAGTTCTCGGTAGCGTTAACATTTTCCAAAAGAAAAATTATGAACAATGTAATCAATAGATAAAACATAATGTTTTATTTAGTTATAGCATTGAGTGAACTCACGAGTCCGGGAAGTTCGAATAACAGGAACTCAAATTTATAAGCTTTGAAATGATGCATAAATTGTGTCGTAACAATCACCAGATTTTAACGTCCAAGGTAGAATATTGGCAAGTAGCAACACGTTTCATTATTTTTTAGGCATCGGAATTTAACAATTACGTCACGGCAAGTGGCGGCGGAGCGTTTGATAATTGGGGGGGGAGCTATATTCATATATCCTTATTTTATAATCCGTAAACACAATTGATTTCAGTTGAAACTAATGAAATAAAACATGCATATATGACCAATAGCTCCCCTAATTATCAATGTTCCGCAACCCTTGGTCACTGATCGAGATATTCGTTTGGTATATTCATGTTTCAGAATACCTTAGAATGAATTTGATTTGCCAGGTTTCTCGCATTCGTTGTTGTTCGGATTGGCCGTCTTTCATTTAATAACTTACTGGTGTTAGGTATGACTTACTGGTGTTAGGTATATGGTATCGACTACTGGTACCGACTATCGAGCATAAGTGTGAACAACTTACATGAAGTAATGGCCAAAGTTATCACTGGAAAGTATCCCTCAATTCGTGATTGAAATTGAGATTGCTCCTTTGAATTTGATGGAATATGCATGATATTGTACTTTACTATTGCCATTAAACTTTAACAATGAGTTCCAGGAACAAAAGGACAAGAAAAGAAACTAATGGTTTGTCTTTGTCTTGTTGAAATCCATCTTTTAAATGCTGCAGTCAAATTCCCTGCATTGTACATGTTGAATATATGTGATAGCCAATATAGACTTTCTTATTCATTAAACATTTCTAACTATTGTACTTTAGGAGATTCAAGGAGATCAAAAAAGGCAAAGGTTGGTCTGTTCACAGTTGTACTGTAATGTTTTTGTGTTTTATCTATTCATAACATTGTGTGAACTGTTGCAATAAAATTCAACTTTCGCACCATGATACAAATATTTTCAATGTGCATACCAAAGAACACGTCAAAAATGACATGCTTTCCAGATTGGTTTTATTATATGTTTAAAATCAATTTGCTTATGTAGAATGGAGAAAAATCTAGTTACAATGATGAACTTGAGTCAGGTATTTTGTGATTACTATGACTGATCATTGGCATGGTACTTGCTGTGTTTTGTCACATACAAACAAGTATAATAAACATCATTTAGACAACTGTGGAAGTCAAACTGCTCCAAAGTCATCAGCAATAACCCTAACAGAAAAGGAAGCTGAAGAGGTTGAGATATTTTCTATAGTACATACAAGCAAAGAGAATGTTACCTACAAAATATCTCAAACTTTATTTGATTCACATTGAAAAATTGCACATCATCTGCTAAAGTTCCTCATTATTGACTGCTTAAATTTGGATATCAACTTCAATGTAAAATTATTTCGACAATGTCATGTCTAAGCCATTCTGATTCTTTATTTCCAGATTTTAGAAAGCCAGCCATTTATCGCTCTGATAATTAGGAAAATCCCAATACATGTCAATGAAGTGATTGCTTAAGCAGTAGCAAAGCCAACCTGCAGGTTTTAATCCTGCTATGTAAATTTTATTTCATTTTCATTATTAATTTTTTTGAAATCTGTTGTTTTTTACATTGAGTGGGGACATAAAAATTTACATAGCAGGACTGAATAATCACGTTTGCTTTGCCTCTGATCACTGATCCTTAAATCATTTGTAGCTATGGTACCCCTTATTTTATTTGTAATCTGAGTATATAGTTAGACTATCAAGTACATACAAATTATGTCTAATAATTTAAGTTACGTATTGCATAACTTGCTTTTTTACTTCATTGCTTTCCTTTGCTTGCCTGGATATACTTAACTACTCTGATGTACCTAACTGCAGTCTTACACTTTGTATTTGTGTGACATATTGTCATGGAAAATTGTTGCTTATGGCTGGTTGATTGATTTTACTGAGTTTGACTTATATATGAGATTCATACCTACTTTCTACTCATTTTAAACAATGTTCTTACCTCACTGGCATTACGCTGTTTACTTATTTTGATGCATTGGTTTAAATGTAAAAATATGAAGAATGAAAAATTTTGGACTGGTTCTGATATTTTCATCTATAATTTCTGCGTAGGATGAATATGGTGGTCGTGATTATCGAAAAGTTGTTCAGTTGAAGGTGGATTACGAATCACGTCCACTATGGGTTGTAAGTTTATAATGTATACGTAAATTTGATTATTATTGGACAGTGGGCTTAAACATCATTTTACTTTGTGGCTTATCAAATTAAACGTAGCCAAATGTTCCAATAAACAGAAAATCATGCAGCATTTCAACACCCAAAAATTTTCCCGTCTTTGAGAACGTACCATATGGAATGTATTCAATTATTTGCATTTCAGATGGGGTTCGGGGTGTGGGGTTGGTGGGCACCCTGTCATCCTCATAAGTATTTTCCCATATTCTTTCATATATGCATATTTTTTATGTTCAAGTTAATTAATTTCTTATACGTAGCTATAATGTTCTCAGTCAAATCAATGTTTGAAGATCATAATTTCTGGCTTCTGCCCGTGCATTAGGTTTCTGGCTTCTGCCCGTGCATTAGGCCAATTTGTGGGTGTTGTGTGCCATATTGGACTTTTTTTGTCTTAATTCTGTGGCTTTTACATCATGTTGGAAAGATATTTTTCGGACGTGTGCTCTAATAAACACACAAGTTGCCATTGCTTTGCTCAATCGCTTGGTGTATTAATGCAATTTCCCTTGCATTGCCATTTTATTAAGAAATAAAAGATATTTACCGTGTTTGCACAGGCGTATGTAAACCGAAGGGACATTTGGAAGAATTTGATTTGATTGGTTGAGCTCAAATCCGTTTGCACAGGCTAATGCAAACATAGCTATAGACCAATCAACGCAAGAATTTTGCTGTGTTTATTTTACTTCTAAACAAGATGGACTACTAAAAAAGATGGACTCACGAAACTGCCCTTTATAGTTACGTTACCAGCAACAAAATCATGTTTAAAAATGAGAATTGAGTATGTAGGTATTTTATTATATACCGCTATTATTTGTTTTTGATGTTTCAGGCTCCCGACGGACATATATTTTTGGAGTCCTTTTCTCCCGTTTACAAACATGCGCACGACTTTTTAATTGCTATTTCCGAGGTAAACTGCCATGTCATGTGGAATTTTTCTCCGTGGTTTTCATGAATTATGATGCAAGGACCGCGAGTGGTGCTTGATGTTGTACAGAATGTGATGGACGGAAGGAGTAGGCTTTAAAGCTTCATGTGCATACTCTAAAAACATTATCTTGTGAACTCAAGATTCGAGTTACAGTATCAAAGACAAGATTTAAAACAAATGTTGCTTTTTATTCTTGTCTCTTGTTCATACAACTCGAATTTTAGGTTTATAAGATGTTAATAAGAGTACTGTTTTAACATTCTTTTTAGCCAGTTTGTCGACCTGAGCATGTTCATGAATACAGGTAGCTATACTTGAGAAGGCGTTTGTACCTTGTATGAACATGCAGGTATCAGTGGTTTGCGGTTTTTCCTTAGATTGACCGCCTATTCGTTGTATGCCGCAGTTTCAGTTGGACTCCAGGTATAAAAATCTTTTCCATCCGAAAATCGAAAAAAATATAAGATAAACAAACATTCAAGAAAATCATCGTGTAAACTCAAGATTCGAGGTACGATTTAAAAGAAATATTACTTTTAAATGTTGTTAATATAACTGGCATCTTGAGTTTAGATAATGATATTTTTTTTGTTTAAAATGATATATTTTGTAGGTTTTATCTTAGGCCCTGTCTACACGTATCCGGCTAAATTTGAAAACGCAAAAATATTTTTACGGATGCACGTTCCGTCCACACGTATCCGGATTAAACGCCCACACAAACCGTAAACTTTTGAAAACGCCGTCTAGAGTGGAATTTTTTGAAACGGAAAAAAATTATTGTCGTGTAGACGGGTGAAACCGTAAAAATATAAAAACGATGACGTATTAACTATGAAGCAGTTCACTGCGCGGTGAATTTTTCAATTTAGGCTGCGTCTTGTTCGGATGAATACTGAGCAAGAAATAATTGGAATATAAGAATAAAATATAAGAATATTTGGTTTGGCATGTCTCCCAGTCAACATTCTCCGCTGTTCTTGTCGGGCAAAAATGATCCGAAAACGACTACGTGTGGACGCAGAAGTTTTTAAAACCGTAAAAATATTTTTGCGTTTTCAAATTTATCCGGATACGTGTAGACAGGTATAACGTATACGTAAATTCTTTTGATACGCTTCCCGTAATCCACGAGTCTTTTTCTACTATTGATGACGACAACTTTTTTTTAAACTTTATTTCTACTATTTGATTTCTCAGTGTTTTTATGCTGCTTTCAGTTGAGTTTAGTTAGAATATTTCGTAAATATCCAGTGCAATTCCTTGAAACAATGAAAGTGCGGATGTCAACAAACACGTATATTGAAAGATTAGTGAATAGGAAAGTCGTCATCAGATGATTTTGTATTTTTTTCTTTAGACTAATGACATCATCGAATACTTACGGAGATTGAGCAAAACATCTGTACCTGATGGTATAATACAGTTTATTAAGGTACACTGTAGCACTCTTTACGTACGTAGATGTTTTATTATTGAATGATTCTGTCGGGACTACATGCGTATTTTATGCCGATTCTATTTATTCGACAAACGGCAATATTTTCGAAACTTTTAACTGCAAACATGGGTCTTGTTCCATTTTCAGTGCGAATAAATGAATTGTATACAGTGTGTTATCTATAAGATAGAACTATGATACAAGTGAGTTACGTAATACTCACTGAATACAATAACTATTTACAAATTGTTATGGATTAGTGACCGGATGTGTGTAGTATGTGAGTGAGAAAAGAAGGAAGTTATAGTTGAAAACTTGTTTTAGAATTTTGAATTTTTGTTTAGGTTGGGTTTGAGTTTTCTTATGTAAAGGGCTTCTTTGAGTTTGAGAGTGCGTGTAGTGTTGGCTTTGTCTAGGATTGTGAAACAAGGACAAGTGTACTTCGATTGCATTCAGAATTTTGTAGATGTGCGAGTTTTTGTCCGAGACTGTGTGTTCTTTTATCCTATTGGCTTCTATTTATCCTATAGGGTGATTTCACGTTTGTAGCAGGAATTACATCATGCACAAACAAATTTATTGATCACGTTGAATCACTTTTTTTTTCACTAGCCTACTACACACGTCCTGTATCCGGTCACTCCTCCATAACAATTTGTAAATACTTAAAAAGCCTAGTTATCATTCATCGCAAAGCGTCGTTAGAATCGGCGACATTCATCGCCGATGGTCCGGTGATGGTCAGTGCACGAAATGTTCTCATAAATTGGCAGTGATATATTAGCCAACGCGCTTTGATATTCATATCAAAGAAAAAATGGCTCCTTTTTATCTAAAGTTGATAATTTCTGTGCAGCTTCAATTGTTCATAAGGTAAGTTGCAACTTAAGTTGCCTGACTCAATGATCGCAAGAAACAAACAAAAAATTAACAAGACAATTTTTAATGCGTTCTTATTAAATTAGGCTTTATTAAATTCACTGAGTATTTCATCCCTAGCATCATATTTAAAACTATCTTATATATTCCACACTATAAACAATTTATTTATTCGCACTAAAGATAGCTTATAGTTAATTCGAAACATGTCTACAATTAAATGTTTCAAAAATATTGTCGTTTTAAAATTTCTAATTAGAATTGTTCTGATTAGATCATGTGACTATACTTATACTTGAACTTTTGTTTTGGAAATCGGGAAAAAGTCAGTTGATTTCTGGTTATGAAAAACATTTCATTGGCAAGATTGAATTGCTTTTTCTCCATGCATCGCAAGCACTCCTTTATTTTTTAGTTATGTACATTGAGCTATGGCAAGGTGAAGTTGGTTTTGAAGCATAATCGCTACTTTGTTGAAAGTGCTTTTCCCGTAAGTTTAGAGCGAAAGTTTATAAATTATTCATTAAGTATATTTAATTTAACTATTTACGTTGACTAGTTAAATGGACAGGCTTTAGCGATCTATACACGTTAAAGCAAATGACAAAGCGGTGAATAATTAAATGGCTAAACATTTCATTCAAATGGCTAGACGTGTAAAGATTCTTTTCAAGCATCCTATATGATTAGCCGAACATGTAAATTAAGACTTTATGTAAGCTCAATTTGAAGAAATGCATTAATTGCTCAATTCTTGTCTGAGTAACTGATTCGTGATTTTGTAACTCTATATTACTTTTGTCTGCAAATGCCATAATCAGTTTTTACCCCCCGGAATTTGCGATAAAACGGCGTCTATGGATCGTTGAATTAGCTAAAGTAATACGGCGGTAGAACACCATTAGAGTTTAGAACATTTCACAACCAATGCGTTATGTATATGTAAAGACATTTGTTATTTATCTCCAACTGATGCTTTTTCATCATGTTAACAGGAAGTATTACAAAAATTGTTGCGAGATCCTGATGTGGAAAAGTGCAGGTACGTGCAAGTCTCTTGGGCTCGTTTGTTATCTTCTCTTCTCTTCATCATTTTTTGATTTAGTGGTTTCTGAATATTCTTTATACTGTGTTGTAAAATTTTCATATTATATTCTCGCTTTATTAGAAAGCGTGACAAAACCGATACTAACGAAGGAGCAACACAGCTCATGTCGTCGACTTTATCTACAAAATCTGTATTTCAGGTAACATATTTCTCTTTTGTTTCTCTAAGGAAACAAAAAACTTCGTTGGGGTCTGCTTTTTAACGTGAGTTGAATTTTCATTTAGCCTCATAAGGTGGGAACCAAGGCAGCACCAACTCAAGCAACAACTAGCATTGATCAAGAGGTAAAGTGTACTTGGTGTAGTTATGGTATGTATGTATGAGGTTGAAACACGGATTTTGTAGCTATGAGTCTTAAAAAACAGATATCTTTTATATGGTTTTGTGATAAAAGTTGTGTCTTAATTGCAGTGGCTTAGCTGGCCCTCAAGTTTGGTCGTGCTATGTAAATATCAGATCATTGACATTATTCGTTTCTTTAAAGATTTACTGTTTTTGCAGTTAGTGAAAACAGAAAAACGAGCAGAAAAATTTCCAAAGCACGAAAAACTTTTGAGTTTAATGAGTTTTTTAAATGCCCGTATAAGGCTTGCCGTCTTTTGTATTGATCTTGAGATTAATAACTTATTTAGGAGAAAGCTGAAACTGATGTAGCCATCCCTACTGATATTACGGATTATATTGATAAAATAGATCAGGACGAAGAGGATGAAGAGGTAAACAACATTCTTCAATGAGAACTCGCTTGAACACTTTGGATCCACATGTATATTCAATGCCTGCTGGTTTTTATAAAAGTATGATAAATAAATAGGTATTTGATTTATTTTAAAAGAACTGACTGGTCACCAAAGTTCCAGTCGTTGAAAAAATACGTTTTATTCGTATGCAATTTACCTACTTAGTGGCTTTTCTAAGGTGTAAGCATGCTTACGATTATTTAATTATGATTACGATTACGATTATTTATGCGCTCATCAAATTTCTATTTGTCGTGAATTTCTATTTATTGTTAATGACGCAACAATTCGTTTTCTCGCTTTTAATTAGAGTGCCTCGGCTTATTTAAGTCAGTGTACATTTACATTTTGTGAAGTACGGTTCTCTTAACAAGCGCGCGAGCGAATTTTACGGCTAAATTTTGCAAATGGGAAATTGTTTCCGTTGTTTTTTTGGAAACAATGATGATAGTGAGCAGGAAAGTGCACAAACGAAAAAGTTCACCATTGGTCAGCTCACGAAATCTCCACTTATGAAAGGGAAAAACACTCGAGAGTTGAGCAAGAATGATTTTAAGGCTAAAGAAAAAACATGCGCAGCATTAGAAGTGGCAAAGGCAGAAGATGGAGCAGGTCTTATACGGTTTACTCCTTTATCTTGCAACGTAGAAGTTCAAAGCGAAATTGAATTAGCAAAGTTATCGGTGGAGCCAGGAATGAATGACAATGGCCACGTAGAAGTTCAGAGCGACGTTGAAGTATTGAGGCAAACAGTAGAGCAAGGAATAGACGATAATTTCCACGTAGAAGCTCAAAACGATGTTGAAGTAGATGTGCAACCTGAGTCAACTGCAGTGATGCCTGTTGGTATCGAATCGAGAAATTTTCCAGGTAAGAGAAGTTCAGCATATGAGCGATGATAATTGTTTAATTAATTACCCCTTGCGTTTGTGACGTCATAAGATGGGTTTCGGCAAAGAGTACAAAAGGTCATTTATACGCACTTAGCCTAGTTTTTGAACGACAAATACGATAGTGAGGTTCAAGAACAATTTTCTTCGAATGGTTTGAATCTGGGTTTGTTATTCATGCTGATTTATTTAAGGATCTTCCAGATTGTTGCATATTTACAAAAGTTATTTGAATTTGTCTGACGTTTCGGTTTCCTGTACGGAAAATGTTTTCAATGATTTTGATTTTCGTGAAATGCACTACGACGAGACTGTTCTTGCGTATCATTGTGCAAGCGTTTTTGTTTTTCTTTATCTAAAAGTTTTCAATATGTTCGCGGAAATCACGAAAAACGATAATAGAATTACTATTTGAATTTGTGTGCCAACTTTCTAAAAATATTCAGCCTGTATAATTTTATTCAATTTTGCCATCATTAAGTGACATCAAAAATTCTAACATGCTTACATCATTAAATAACTTCTAGAAATTCTAACTGATGTGCATCATTAACAACTTTGCGTTGATCAAACACCAAGAACATAGTTTTGGTGAAATTACGTGAATATATTATAAGCACATTTTGGCATAGTAACTCTTTCTTATTGTAGCTACAATGGTTGTTTTTTCTTTTCTATCTCGTTCAAAGCACCGTACAATCCATCGTATCAATCCGTCTTGTCACGTGTAAAGTGTAACTTGTATGAATTTTCATATAAATTCCGTAGCGATTAACTTTCATTTAAAATCCATAACAAGTTGATTGTTGTCATGTTTTTCTCGTAGACGGAAAAACATTCTGTGATCTGTGGACAGATGGCAATAATTGGGAGAGTCAAAGGAAAGACGAACAATTATATCCAATTGAACATCAATCTATTGGACAGACAGTCTCAAAAACTAATAACACCTTGCAATTTGGTTCAGTGGTCTGTTTACCCGGAAAAAATCGCTCCGTTAATTTCACAGAACTAGGTGAAACACCAGTTTTGACTTCAACAAGGCGATTGTTCTCGGAAAACAATGTTACATCAGACCTAATCTTAAGCAAAAGTAACGTTGGAACAGAAGAAAAATCGGAAAACGGCAAAGATTCCGATGAAGAAAAAAATGACGAAAACGAAGTGGAAAAGCCGTGGGTTGACCCTGAAACCTTTTCTAAATTAGTTAATCATTTTCGTAAAAGTATTCAAGTTGACAAAAGTATTGATTTGATGGAGCGCTCCAGTGACGTCAAAAGCGGTGACAAGGATGTTATGTCAGAAGTAGAGTTAAACAAAACTAACGTTGGAACAGAAGAAAAATGGGAAAACGGCAGCCATTCCGATGAAGAAAAGAATGACGAAAACGACGTGGAAAAGCCGTGGGTTGACCCTGAAACCTTTTCTAAATTGGTAAATCATTTTCGTAAAAGTATTCAAGTTGACAAAAGTATTGATTTGATGGATTGTTCCATTGACGTCAAAAGCGGTGACAAGGATGTTATTTCAGACCTAGTGTTAAACAAAACTAACGTTGGAACAGAAAAAAAATGGGAAAACGGCAGAGATTCCGATGAAGAAAAAAATGATGAAAACGAAGTGGAAAAGCCATGGGTTGACCCTGAAACTTTTTCTAAATTGGAAAATCAGTTTCGTAAAAGTATTCAAGTTGATAAAAGTATTGATTTGATGGAGCGCTCCATTGACGTCAAAAGCAGTAACAAAGATGTTATGTCAGAAGTAGAGTTAAACAAAAGTAACTTTGGAACAGAAGAAAAATGGGAAAACGGCAGAGATTCCGATGAAGATAAAAATGAGAAAAATGAAGTGGAAAAGCCATGTGTTGACCCTGAAACCTTTTCTAAATTGGAAAATCATTTTCGTAAAAGTATTCAAGTTGACAGAAGTATTGATTTGATGGATTGTTCCATTGACGTCAAAAGCAGTAACAAAGATGTTATGTCAGAAGTAGTATTAAACAAAACTAACGATGGAACAGAAAAAAAATGGGAAAACGGCAGCGATTCCGATGAAGAAAAAAATGACGAAAACAAAGTAGAAAAGCCGTGGGTTGACCCTGAAACCTTTTCTAAATTGGAAAATCATTTTCGTAAAAGTATTCAAGTTGACAAAAGTATTGATTTGATGGAGCGCTCCATTGACGTCAAAAGCGGTGACAAGGATGTTATTTCAGACCTAGTGTTAAACAAAACTAACGTTGGAACAGAAGAAAAATGGGAAAACGGCAGCGATTCCGATGAAGATAAAAATGAGGAAAACGACGTGGAAAAGCCATGTGTTGACCCTGAAACCTTTTCTAAATTGGAAAATAAGTTTCGTAAAAGTATTCAAGTTGACAGAAGTATTGATTTGATGGAGCGCTCCAGTGACGTCAAAAGCGGTGACAAGGATGTTATTTCAGACCTAGTGTCAAACAAAACTAACGTTGGAACAGAAGAAAAATGGGAAAACGGCAGAGATTCCGATGAAGATAAAAATGAGCAAAACGACGTGGAAAAGCCGTGGGTTGACCCTGAAACCTTTTCTAAATTGGTAAATCATTTTCGTAAAAGTATTCAAGTTGACAAAAGTAATGATTTGATGGATTGTTCCATTGACGTCAAAAGCGGTGACAAAGATGTTATGTCAGAAGTAGAGTTAAACAAAAGTAACTTTGGAACGGAAAAAAAATGGGAAAACGGCAGAGATTCCGATGAAGAAAAAAATAGCGAAAACGAAGTGGAAAAGCCGTGGGTTGACCCTGAAACCTTTTCTAAATTGGTAAATCATTTTCGTAAAAGTATTCAAGTTGACAAAAGTTTTGGTTTGATGGAGCGCTCCATTGACGTCAAAAGCGGTGACAAGGATGTTATTTCAGACCTAGTGTTAAACAAAAGTAACGTTGAAACAGAAGAAAATGGGAAAACGGCAGCCATTCCGATGAAGAAAAGAAAGAGGAAGAAAAAGGTGAAAAGGCGTGGGTTGACCCTGAAATCTTTTCTAAATTGGTAAATCATTTTTGATGGATCGTTCCACTGACGTAAAAAGCGGTGACAAGGATGTTACGTAAGACGTTTTGTAAAAAACTATTAAGTTTTTGACATTATTTCTGACGTAGCACCGTTATGACTAAAAGTTATTCCGATGGAAAAAATTGATGAAAACTAATAGTTTTAAAATCATCGGAATCTCTTCCAGCAAATTCTAAAAGCTGTCAGTTTTAAAAAAATTAAGGATTAACTGGCTTTGGATTGGTTTTATGTATGTGGAATGCTATGGTGAAATGGCTTATTTAAAATGTAAATAGTCAGACTCTTACGATGTTGTGCATTTAGAAGACATATTATAGTATTCTTTATCAATTTGAAGAAGCAAAGCTCTTATTATTTAATGTAAATCGTTATTTAATATATTAAATTTGTAAAATTGTTGCTGTCAGTGTAAAATACATATGTTTCAAAGATTTAATGATCATACTTGTATTTTGACCTGAAGTAGGGGGAGAAATATCGTCTTTTATTAAGATTAAACTCCTTTAATCAGTTTGTTTTCCCATGAACGTTTAGTGTTCGCTTCTCGTCATTTTATGCTTCTGCTAATATATTGAATAGATGTACGTAGGCCTTGTTACAGATTTAGTTGCATTTCTCATTGTGATCTCTGTCCCATAAACTTACATTTTGAACGAAGCTTTACATTTCATTTTCCATTTACTGGCTCATAGCTAGGGAAACGCTATATTGAAAGCAAGCTACCCTTTCCACGTTGTAAGCTACTGAAGCCTAAGATCACCTTATCAATTGTTGTTTCTTTGAGTACTAATGAACCCAAACGTGTTCAATCAACTGTGTGCATGTAGCCTGGTGCAGGCTTTATTTTTTGACTAAGGGCCTAAGATCACCTTATCAATTGTTGTTTCTTTGAGTACTAATGAACCCAAATGTGTTCAATCAACTGTGTGCATGTAGTCTGGTGCAGGCTTTATTTTTTGACTAAGGAAGAGAGGATAACAAAATACGTATGTCACCATTGCTCGTTTTATTACCATGTTGTTGTTTTTTTGTAGACGCAGTCTTATTCTTTTGAAATTGCACAAGAGCACATCGAAACTTTACAAAGAAAGTGAGTTGTTAAAGGAATTGCTATAATGGGATGGATGTGTACGGGATCGTTTTTTGAAAGTGTGTCGATTTTTTTGTGACTTTTTCTTTAGATGTATTGAATTGGATTATCCTTTGTTGGCTGAATACGATTTTAAGAATGATACACTGAATCCAGATTTGAAGTAAAATTTTACTTTCTTAATTCTTTCTGCAGAGCGATGACCTTTCATCACCTTTAAACACCCACTTCGGCTCATATATTCTGTTTATTTAAATATATGACCTTGCATATCTTTCAGTCGATATATGTGATAATAATATGAGAATTTTCATTAAACTTATAGCGCTGATTTGAAGCCAACAACCGTCCTTCGACCGTACCAGGTATTTTGTGATAGCTAGTCTAAACTCTAAACTTATGTATATAGGGTATAGTATGGGGTATAAGGTGTTTCAGCGATCAGTTATCAGTTGGGTAATGTAACGAGGTTGACAGGAAAATCTACGGTTGCATTTGTACTTTATCTAAACGATGCTGTATAAAAACAAAACCAACCTCTCATCATCAGCACCTCGTCTTTATTCTGACAATGCGGGGAAAAAATGATCCTGACTTGCTTAAATGCATTGATTAAAGGAGCGTAACTTGAGTGTCAAAGATTATAGGATAGGGTGAGGGGGAGAACTTAATATTCCCGACAAATCGTGGTATTTAATTTTGCCCAATGAAATGGCGCTGTTTATTGTTTATTACTACTGGTATGACTTTTTTATATAGGATTTTCTCTGTGGTTTCTTGAGTTATTGTGCTTTACATATAACTTCGATGCCAGGGTTCACTCCCCTAATAGATTTGTTTAAATACATTCGATATTACAGGAGAAAAGTTTAAGAAAAATGTTTGGAAATGGAAGAGCAAGGTCGGGTGTCATAGTACTGCCTTGTGGTTAGTATTCTTTGACCATACGTGTGTATATATAGCTAAAATGATCGTTTAACTGTATTAAATCCCGATGACCGACGTATGTGTACGTTTTTTTCATGTTCAGGAGCTGGTAAGACACTTGTTGGCGTGACTGCTGCGTGCACAGTTAGAAAACGATGTATTGTATTGTGTACATCAGGTATTTTCAATAAATTTTGAAAGCGAAACTTATTTCTTTTTGCCGTAAATGTTAAAAAAATGCACCGAGGTTTTACTGTGTTCGTGAACCGCAATTCTTTTTCGTACCACGACTTTTTTGGGTCGTTAACTATGACTCTATTGGCTGTAAATGTCAAAAAACTGCGCCGAAGTTTTCAAAGTTTTTGTATTCGTGAACCATAATTTTTTCTTTTTTCCTACCACGACTTTTTTGGTTCGTTTACTATGACTTTGCTTGCTGAAGATTTTATGCGAAATCAATTTAAACAAAAGTACTTAAGATCTTAAATGATTGAATTCGAATTACAATTTTTATCCGTTGTCCACCAACAGTCAATAAATGTTCGTTGTCCACTAATAGCGCTTTCCCTGAAACGTTGTCTTACGTTTGAGCCCGGTATAGACAGTCATAAATGTCCGTTGTCCACTAATAGCGCTTTCGGTGAAAGGTTGTTTTACGTTTGAGCCCAGTGTAGACAGTATTTATGTCTGTTGCCCACTAATAGTGCTTTTGGTGAAACGTCTCTTTTACGTTTGAGCCCAGTGTGGACAGTCATTTATGCCTGTTGTCCACTAACAGCGCTTTCGGTGAAATGTCTCTTTTACGTTTGAGCCCAGTGTGGACAGTCATTTATGTCTCTTGTCCAGTAATAGCGCTTTTGGTGAAACGTCTCTTTTACGTTTGAGCCCAGTGTAGACAGTCATTTATGTCTGTTGTCTAGTAATAGTGCTTTTGTAGAAACGTCTCTTTTACGTTTGAGCCCAGTGTGGACAGTCATTTATGTCTGTTGTCTAGTAATAGTGCTTTTGTTGAAACGTCTCTTTTACGTTTGAGTCCAGTGTAGACAGTCAGTATATCTTCACATCACAGTTTTACAATGTGCTTGACTTGCAGGAATTTTTCTTCTCTCTAATAATTTTACGCTATTGTTGCATAGGTGTGGCTGTCGAGCAATGGCGAAGTCAGGTTGGTTATAAGATAAACGAGAACCTAAAAGTGTAGATAATTATCTTCATATCATGAAGTCGTCTGGATATCTTTGCAGTCTCTAGTAGTTTTGACTTGATTCTAATCATCAAATATTTGTACAATAGTGTCACCACTGGTCAATCAAGTGTTCTTATTCATTCTTGCTCATATGCAATGATTAGATTGTGTGAAAAGTGTGTCGAAAACTTAAAAAAATGTTGAATTTGAAACTGAAGAGAATATAATTGTGTTTTAGTTCAAGTTGTGGTCAACGGTTGAAGACCGCCAAATTTACTGTTTCACTTCTGATTCAAAAAGCAAACCTGGAGGTACGATCTCAAATTTGTGTCATTTTAAAGCAATTGGGAACAGCAACGGATCAAGGATGATTTTTTCAGGCGGGAGGGGTGGGGGGCGGAGGTTTGCTTTTATTTTGATTTGGCTTCGGTGGCCATGATACGTCAGAGTTTTTTATACCATGATTTTTGAAGTGGGTACCATTTAACACAAATCGCAATTGCTTTTGTATCTTTACTTGAATATATTTCAAGAGGGAAATTGGCATACGTTTTCCCTCACTCTATCTTAGGCTATAAGAGGTGTCCCCACCCCTCCCCCCTCAGTACGTCCTTGCTTGTCGAGAGAGAAACATATCAACCCTTTGAGCATTATGGTTCTGCACGTTGCTCCAATTGAACCTTTTTCAAGTTGAACATCAAGTTTAATTTTTGAGATTTTTGACTTTGAAAACTTAACTATTTTTCAATGCAACGGGCTGCACTTGCTTTGAACTTTAGGTTGTAGCATTGCAATATCCACGTACTCAATGATATCTCACAGCGGCAAACGTTCTTGGGAATCGGAGCAGGTATGTAACTAGTATACATGACGTATGAGATCAAAATCTCCTCCCCCCTATGACGTCAAGATTTTTAAAAACTTCTTAACGCGTGAGGACCAACTTTTAAAATGGTTCGCCAAATTTTTGATAGTGAGAATTATCGTATGTTTACTAATTATTGATTATTATTGTTGTTGTCATTTTATGATATTAATGTTATGGCTCTTCTGATTGCCGTCATTTATTTCATAAGAGCCTTGCTTGAATTTTCATTCTCTCAAAAATAGCCCCCTTTAATTTGAAAATGGCCCCGCGTCCTCTCCCCATACTGTTTGACCTTGTACAATACAGGAAGAGTATTTTTACTAGGAGTTTTTTGCTCATCTCAGCTATCTTTCCTTATTACTTGTGTTTTCAATCCAATTTACATTGTTATTTGTAAATAATTAGAAATGTAATTTTTTGAAGCGTTAGCATTTGACACAAGCGAAAATTGTCGCTCATATGATTTCCAGTTTCTCGCGTTTTTTTAGGTTATGAATTTTCTTCAAACTCAAGAATGGGGACTCATGCTGCTTGATGGTAACGTTTAGCTGAATTTATGAGATATTATGATTGGATGGTTTGTTGTAAATCCCCAATACAAAATTTGTAAACATGATGTAACTATTGGAATTTATGAAAGATTTTCCTTGTCAAGTCTCTCAGAGAAATTTTCTTATTTACGTCTAGAAGTTCACACGATACCGGCGAGACAATTTCGTCGAGTTTTAACAGGTGGGTGCGGCACGAGATATCCCCTTTTTGTCTTTAACTTTTTCATTTTATTGGCAGGCGTTGTAGCCTGGTATATGTAAAGGCTTGTTGAGAGCTGGAGTATGCTCAGCAATGGAGAGGTCATAGCTAATATTTTTTGATCAAATGCTCATAGCAATTCAAGCTCATTGCAAACTTGGGTTGACTGCCACCTTAGTCCGAGAGGATGATAAAATCCAGGTGAGTGGAATGTAGTGGCTCTAAACCAATCCTATTAATCAAACACTGAATGGCGTTTCTATATTTTGAGACTTTCAGCTTTTCTGTACAGTTACATATTTAACACATTGTGCTTGTAACTCAAAGTCTATCTAAATACTTCTATGTTTGAATAGAAAAAAAATAGTCCTATACAAAGCGAACTATTAGTTCTTAATGTCGTTGCCTTTGTCAATATACTTTTGGAGACTTTGACCAATGCCTTCGTACGTCATAGGATTTGAACTTTTTGATTGGTCCAAAGCTCTACGAAGCCAACTGGATGGAGCTCCAGAACAATGGATTCATTGCTAGAGTTCAGTGTGCTGAGGTAAATGGAATGTGTCTATTGATTGCAATTGAATGAGTTCTATTTTGTGCATGATCATTATGGAACATGGACGACATTGTCTTGACGAACTCTCTATGAAACTTTGTCTTGTCGTCTTCCTTTGAATTTATAGTAGAAAGTAAAATTGACGTGGTCACTTAATTTCAAATTTACTAAAAGCTCCTCATTTCCAAAGAATATAGAGATTTTCACTTATGCGAGATTTTCGTCTCCAAAATGTAGTTTTGCACTTTTGTGAAATCGTTTTCATGTGTACATTTTTGTTTATGCTAAAATTCAGGTATGGTGTCCAATGACTCCAGAATTTTATCGAGAATATTTGAATATCAAGTCTCGAAAACGAAAGGTGAATGCATGTGTTTGTCATATAGAAACTGCCTCATGTTCGTCATTTATAAATGCGTTAATCAACATGTCCAAAATGTTTCAACAAAGGGAGATTCTGAAACAAAAGAATGATTTTTTTTATCAATACACCATTGCATGTTGTTCTTTTCGCCCTAATGTATCGATGTTTGATCGTATTCAATTTCACATATTCAAGAGAAGCAACCCAACAATAAACTGATGTTCGTTTTTCATAATCAATGACGTTTTCGTAGATGTATAGATCGTTCAAGTTAGTGGAGTCCTGAGAAGGACTGAACGTCAGTCAACATGGACGATCTACGTCTACAAAAATGTAAATATTCCTGGTTCAAATCATTCACTCAATGAGGTTTATATAGCCTAGTTGCATCATATACCCTTCGGTACAGCTAAACCACAGAATACATATCTTAACAGAAGGTCCACTCGTCTCGGAACCTTTGATGTTCGTGTCCCTACTTCTCTGAAGCAAATTTTAAAACGGACACGCTTCCATCAAGATACTTCCGCTAGATCGCAATAGAAAATTTAGATGTTTTTACAAATATATCGTTTTCCACTACAAAAGCTTGGAATCTTATCTCCTTCGCAAGAGGATAACTCTTTGTAAAAATTTTGGCAAACTTTTGCTTTAAACGTGAGTTATTAGTAAAATAGCATTCTCGTGCAATACTATTCCATATTGATTTTGTGAAAGTATCTTGCTGGGAAGTCACGCATGCGTGGTGAAAAAATACGACACAATTTTAGCCGAGTGGGCCTTCTGTTAGATGTCTATTCTGTGACTAAACTACTAAAACCTTAACGATATTTGTTGATATATATGTCATGTTTAATTAAGTTATATTTTATTGTTAAACAATCGGTTCTGTGTACAGTCGACAAACACTATACAGTGTTTATAAAATGACAATTCTTTTTACAGCTGCTGTACGTCATGAATCCCAATAAATATCGAACATGCGAGGTGAGGACTTTGTTGTTTTGATTTTGGTTACGACTATTTTGTTTGCGCCAACTCGAAGAATGTTTGTTCTCATAACTGTTTTCCGTGTTTAGTTTTCACGACTGAACTGCTTTTTAGGCTTCGTGCAAGTATAGGCATGTTTACCTAAATGTATCGTCTTCGGCATTGCCCTCGCAGGACACAAGTTTGTGAATGAGATGGCAAGATTCGGTATAAGAATATGAAAGACATTCGTGGTGTTAATGAGAGTCAATATTCCATAGACATAAACACACCGTTGACTGCAAATCGAGTCACGGAGATGTCATATGTCAATGAGAATGTTTTGAGTTTCATAGACGCGGCCACGTCAATCAAAACGACATCTTAAGACATCTTAAGATGTCTATTCTATGATAACAGGATACAAAGTTCAAATTATATCATGCCAAGAAATATTAATGAACTGACTCGAATCGGTTATTCAACTCTTCGTTAAATATATACGTTGACTGCACGGATTCATACGAAGATATTTCGAAAAAACGTGTATCAAAAATGCAATTTGGCTGAACGCATCTACATTTTCGAAGGAAAAATATATTCGATACGAAAACAATTGTTTAAACTTAATGTAGGGTGACTGTTAGTCTGTTACTAATAACAGTTTAATCGACTGAAGTCAAAAATGCACTCTGCTCTAGTATTTGTTGATGTCAGTCAGAAATTATTTAGATTTACGTAACGATGTACGCTGTTGTATCGGCTATGCGTCGTACTTAAAGTGCCCCTTACCACAAATAAGACTCCATTTTCAGATACGCTGAAAGTAAAACAGTTACAAACATGTTTTGGAGTGTTTGGGGTGTGTCCATCGGAATTCGAAATTATTTGATTTCATATTGATTATCTTGCTTATTAGGAGGTATAAGAATCGCTTTATGCATGCATCACGTGTAAACACTTGGATTTAAACTTACCGGATGTACTTCAAAAAGAAAAAGACGAGCAATCGAATAAACTTTTGTCGAATTTTGCCAACCTCTCATTGCTTTAAGCACTATATTGGCTTTCGTGGAAGTTTTCATGTTAAGAAGATCGTTAGCTTCATTTTTCGAATGAGCGGAAGAAATAATTTGAAGAACAACGAAAAAATTCGTTAAAAAATTCGTGGTCGCTAAAATTTTTTTTCTACGGGTTCCAGCTTGAAAATAAGTTCTTAATTATTGCAACTACGATTACGAGATGCATAATAGAACTGTTACGAATTTAATATTTTATCAATATAGAATGTTTGGGTAGACATTCATGATTTGACCTGGGGACAAGTATATTTTAATTTAGAGGTTACAATAGCGTCATTCACGGAAGCGAACCTTCTTACAATAGAGGATATACAGACACTACACGCATTCCTAGGTAGATGTTGATTTTGTGATACAGGAATCTTTAACATAACTCTACAGCTTGAAGTATTCTCAGAATAAAAGAAATGTTGAATGTCACTGACACCGCAGAGGTCGAAAGCTGCTATCGATCTTACATTGTTATCAAACCTAACGTTTCATATATAATCAACAGTGTTATTGGTATCATAGTAAATATTTTCCTTTGCATAGTCGGTACATTTCTCAACACACTCGTCGTTTATGTCTTCTGGAAGACACCAAAGCTTCGAAACAAAGTATCTTACTTTATGATCATGATTTTGTCGTCCATTGATATCTTGGTCACTGCAATCCTTCATCCGTTGCACATACTAATGTCAACGGCAGAGATAATCGGAAAAGCTAACTGTGACTTCAAAGTGATCTACCACATTGTAGCCGTTGTTCTCTCTGGGGTGTCTATGACTACATTCTTCCTTATGAACGTCGAACGCTATCTTTCTATCGTTCACCCCATTCTTCACTTGAAATACGTGACCAAGAATCGGTGTTTCGGGGCTTGTATGATGCTTTGCGCCCCAGCAATTTTTTGCGGTCCAATTGCCTATCCTCTACGCCTCAACGTGCAGCTCGTCATCACAACAATAGCCGTGATTATAATGATAGGAACGTGTTATATTTACATCGCTATATTCTGCATAGCGAAGAAGAGGAGACAAAAGTTCCGTCAAAAGACCACGTCTTCCAATAAAGAACGCAAAGAATTTGCTGTCGAAGCATCGAGTCATTCTGGTGAAACGCAGTCAGACGAAGTATGCACAACGTTGGAAGATTCGTGCCGTGAGAAATCTGAGGCCAAATCCTTTGAGGGGGCAATGCAACATCGGGAGGAATCAAATTACCAGGAAGACAATAAAAAGCCGAAAAAAACCGTGTCTTTTCTTCACGATTTACAACTTGCCAAGATTTATTTGTTGGTGGTGTTCTCCAGTTTCTTTCTCAATCTGCCGAATGCAATTGTCCTGGCAGCATTTCATGCTCCTGTAGAAAAATTAAATACTTTGGTACAATTCAAAATTTGGACGGTGACGTTCGTGTTTATGAATTCCACCATAAATTCTCTGATCTTCTTTTGGGGAAATAAGCGACTTAGTGTGGAAGGAAAGAAAATTTGTAAGCAAATTTTTAAAAGATAGAAAGTGTGACAGTCTAAATTTTATACTCTAGTCTCAGTATACCACACTTTATAAAGCTTTGTTTGTTAAGCGTGGATAATTTGAATATACGTCTGCAGTTACTACAGATATCTATGACAACGCTTCTTCGCACATATCGTTGATCAATTTTGCCTGAAATTTTGTATTTTTTATTATTTACCAGCCTATCAATACACCTTTGCAATAAGTTTGTAAAAAAGAATGACGTCGATTTTTATGATCGAACAGTAACTTTGATGACGACCAACGCGGAAGCTCGACCTTCGAAAAATTCAGCCGATTAAGTAAACAGACGCGTAATAATTAGACGCTGCACGCGCTTTTAGGTAGATGTTGATTTTTTGTTACAGGAATCTTTAACAGCTTGAACTATTCCACAGAATAAAAGAAATGTTGAATGTCACTGACACCGCAGAGGTCGAAAGCTGCTATCGATCTTACATTGTTATCAAACCGAACGTTTCATATATAATCAACAGTATTATTGGTATCATAGTAAATATTTTCCTTTGCATAGTCGGTACATTTCTCAACACACTCGTCGTTTATGTCTTCTGGAAGACACCAAAGCTTCGAAACAAAGTATCTTACTTTATGATCATGATTTTGTCGTCCATTGATATCTTGGTCACTACAATCCTTCATCCGTTGCACATACTAATGTCTATGGCAGAGATAGTTCAAAAAGCTAACTGTGATTTCAAAATGATCTACCACATTACAGCCGTTGTCCTCTCTGGGATGTCTTTTTTTACATTCTTCCTTATGAACGTCGAACGCTATCTTTCTATCGTTCACCCCTTGTTTCACATGAAATACGTGACCAAGACACGGTGTTTCGGGGCTTGTATGATGCTTTGCCCCCTAACAATTTTTTGTGGTCCAATTGCTTATCCTCTACGCCTCAACGTGCAGCTCGTTATCACCGTGATAGCCGTGATTATAATGGTTGGAACCTGCCACATTTACTTCTCTATATTCTGCATAGCAAAGAAGAAGAAACAATGTTTCCATCACAGAACGACCAACTCTAACAAGAAATACAATGTATTTATAATCGATCTCACAAAGACCGAATCTCAGATCGGGCAGGTGCCACATCAAGCGAAATCAAATTACCAGGAAGACAAAAAGCCGAATAAAACTGTTTCGTTTCTTCACGATTTGCAACTCGCCAAGACTTATTTGTTGGTGGTGTTCTCCAGTTTTTTTCTCAATCTGCCGAATGCAATTGTCCTTGCAGCATTTCATGCTCCTGTAGAAAAATTAAGCACTTTGGTACAATTCAAAATTTGGACTGTGACGTTCGTGTTGATGAATTCCACCATAAATTCTCTGATCTTTTTTTGGGCAAATAAGCGACTTAGTGTGGAAGGAAAGAAAATTTGTAAGCAAATTTTTAAAAGATAGAAAGTGTGACAGTCTTAAATTCCGAAAATTAATCAGCCAACATGGCCGTTTTTATGCGAATTTTTTGTGTAACATATATCTTAATAATTACTGCATTCGTTGAAATAAAGTTTTAATTTGTAAGTATAATTATTTGTGTCCTTGAGGATTTCCCACTCCAATCATTTGTCGCGCCAAAGTTAAGGCGGCTAAATTGTGAAACATAATGCTATTACCGCACCAATAAAAGTTGTCCAACTTAATTTGATTCGGACAAGGGATTTGTAATCGGCACGTGTGAAGTATGGCGAATGAAACAGGCCTTGCATCATTCTAATTTAACTTTAATATCAACTCTGCGTGTCGTCAAGTATGAAAACATTTTAGAAATTGCTGAATTCAAATATTTGGTATGTTCTCAAAGGAGCACGGATTACTTGGCATTGCGCATGCCCTATTATGTTTGCCATTACGCATGCCCTGTTATGTTTTCATCGGTTTTGCGTTGTTCTACATTTGCAAGTAATTTTTTTGAAGTTTTTTTAAAAGTCCGTGGAAAAAGCTTTTATGTATTCGTTTCAACAGGCCTGAGTTCAATATTACGTATCTCTGTCTCATTTTTCGTAGTTTCATTACTTTATTATGTCTTTTTTCTAGTTTCTTGTGAAATACCACGAAAGGCAAGCAATTTCATATTGAAGTTTATTTTTCGTTAAAAAGTCTGCTGACTGTATTTAAAAAACAGCATTATCATCATCAAATTTAGGCGGAATGATAAAGTGATCGTGTTCTCTGACAATGTGTTCGCACTGAAAAGTTACGCTGTAAAGATGAACAGGTGATTTCAAACGTGGTGTTTTAAATTATAGTTATCAAATAGTAGTATTCACTTATAATATTTTCGGCCAATCACAGCACGGCAGTGTCATCGTAGCTTAGAATTAAGACGATGAACAAGGATTTTGATTGGCCAATAAAGAGTGAATCCTGCCCGGAATACTTCACACTGGTAGCTGTTTAGTTTAAAATTTCGGATTTGAAAACAATAATTTATCATTGCATGTAGCGAAATACGTATGCAATGGCCAGCTGGTCGTCAAATCTTTTCAGGTTTGCAAAATTAAGTTCAAACTCTACGAGTTTCCAAAAATCTACAAGAAAAATCGCTTTGAAAGTTTTCAGTGATTTGCATTGTTTTAATAATTGTCAAAAGCTGTAAAGTGTACACACATTAGTATGGTGGTGGAAATGACCACCAAGCGATGTTTTTACTAGTGAGGAAGTGAAATTCTCTGACATACTGAATACTTTCATATCCAACTGTCTAATTTCTTTTGCAGACCGTATATATATGGCCCTACATCGCAAGGAGAAAGAATGCAGATTCTGCAAAATTTTCAACATAATCCTTTGGTGAACACCATTTTTATATCTAAGGTAGAAGACCTGATGCGACTTTCCGCCACGGAGCTTCGTATATACGGGAATAGTAACAGAAAGAGCAGAAAGATACTTTCTATAAGGACAAACTTAAGATCCATTCGCCATTTAGCATTTTTCCAAGAATTGGTCAAATTTGTGAGAAAATGAAGCAGTCATCAAAAACTCTTAAATAAGCGATCGTACATATTTCTAAATTCACGATAATTTAATTCTTTTAAAGGTCGGGGATAATTCATTTGATTTACCCGAAGCAAATGTCTTAATCCAGGTGCGTGCAAAATAAACATTTTGGTTGCTTTTGGTGGTTAATACCCGCATTTGCAACTCCAAACATTAGCAACTACTGGCTTGTCGGAATACTCGAACTTATCAAGTGCTAGTCGCCTAGATTTCTGTCTGTGAATAATTTATTTTATTTTTAGTTACTCCTAAGGTCTTTTGTTCCCATCGTTCAAATCAAACACTTGCCTTTTATCTAAAAGACAATCTTATTGGAAGGCAGTCGTTTATTAGCAAATTTCCCTGCAACTTTGTATATATTTATATAACCATGTTCATATTTGAAGGCTCATATTTCCTGGCGTTATCTTGCGTTTGAAGCGACCACTCATGCGCAATTTTAGCCTTAAATCCTTACAAAAATGAAGCTTCGAGCTTGTAAAAAAAAGGTTTCACTATTTATTGTCAACTTACACTTTTTGAACGTGTATATTGTTGTATATCGATTTTGAGTTTTCCTTTAGATAATTATCCTGCGTTTCTCGAACTTTGTACCACCATTTCCTTATTTGTTTGGGATCATGCATTTACTTTGCCATTAGTATAATTTGACTTATTTTCTCACAGGTCTCTTCCCATGGTGGATCACGCAGACAGGTAGAAATCCTTAAAAAGTAGATTGTTTTACATAAAAGTTTTAAACAAATATCTTGTTCGGATAAATGCTTCAGATATGTCTTATTGAAATATAAACTTCAGAAATATGCATGGTTCAGACATTCAGATATATGTATGTCTTAGATGTATTTTTCAGACATTAATAGATACTACTGCATGCGATAGAGCTCCGATATATAAATTTCTTTATAGGAAGCACAGCGACTTGGTCGTATATTGAGAGCCAAAAAAGGTTAGTCTTTGAGAAATTTACAAACGAGACATAACTAGGGCTGTTCAAGTTTGGCTGGAATCAGAGGTATTAATGACGCGATGCAACGAATGCATTACCATAATATCTGTCGAATGTTAAATCGCGTTAAGTTTGACGTCCCGTCCATAGTTTCTGCCTCTGTGTGCGATGGTTTTGGGCTTCTTAGGTCATCAACTCTCATCTTTTTGACGTTTTGCGTTGATAAATTAGTTCAGTTGCATGAAAAGAACTTTCTGAATAGCTCTTGAATGTTTGTTTTTTAGATATGATCGCAGAGGAATATAATGCTTTTTTCTACACATTAGTATCGACTGTAAGTATTTTAGCTTATTTTCGACATCATTTAGTCGCGTTACTAACTTTTATGTCTTAACATTTTGCAGTTTTGAGAAAAAGTGAAAAGAATTAATATAATTTTAAAAAAAGTCAAGCCTTTTTCTTGGACATCACAATTTGAATTGGTCAACTGACTTGAGCAATAGATACAGAACACGCCAGTTGGCAAAATAGTAGTTTTTAGCAAAAATCGCAAAATTAAGAAACTATGACTTACGAAAAAAGTTATTAAGGGTGACAATGATCGGAAACAACTCGTTTTCCGTTAAGAGCTGTCGAGATGTACTTTAGCACGTTCACATTATATGATGCAGGACACTCAAGAAATGTTTTACTCGGGAAAACGTCAGAGGTTTCTAATCAACCAAGGCTACAGTTTCAAGGTGAACTAAGATAAGTGTACAATTAGAATATGCTAAAGGATTTGTGGGAACAAGTTATCTAAAATCAAAGGAAATTACTCAAAAGACTTATTCCCCCAAATCGACGTTCTAATTTGCTTTTCTCCCTGTCGCTCGAAAGCTATTGTTTAATTTTTGAAATCGTACATAGAAAATCAATATTTTTCAATGATAGTGAGAATACGAGTAGAGAATGAACTTTTGATATAAATTACAACTGTGTATAGCTCGCTTACAAATTATAGTAGCACATGGCTAAAATTTTTTAACCATTTTTGGTGAGTGACACGGAATATGCAACATTAGCCTTTAGAAGTAAACATTATTTATGATGATTTTATTTAGGTCATCACAAAATTAGCGGGTATGGATGAGGTATGCAGGTGACTTTCTAACTTCATTCCGGTTCAAAAGAAACCTTATGCAAATGCTTCATGACTCGATGAATTTTAGGAGAATTTAGCCTATGCAACAAAACGTGAACAGCAAGAACTTTTACAAAAGGTGAGAACACGATCGACTTGTAGCTAAAGCCATTTTGATTGGTCGCTGCAGTGATCGTCGAAATGAAAACTAACGCGCTTGCCAGGTTTAAGATACTCTTATCTTTTTAACCTTTTTTTCATACTTTTTGCATGGGTTCGAATTTAGTTCAACATGGGTTGGCATAATTTCAGGTTTTAGCCGCAAGTGATGCTGATGCAGACGAAGAAGGAGATAGTCAGTCTAGATCGGCGTCACAGGTAAGTTTATTTTGAAATGGAAATGTCTTAAATTGACCCTTTATTATTTAATGTGTTCATAAGTGTTCCGTTATTTTGTTCTCCAACCTGCATGCGTAACATCTATAGCTGTAGCTCCTGCAGCTCTAGCATTTATAAGTGAAGCTCTGTAATTTACTCTTTGTGCAACACAAACTTAGGAGGTTTACGTTCATATTTGTCAGTTGGCAACAAATATTTTGCCGTGTGAACTTTCCATTTTCCCTATAATAGAACACTGTGCTACGAAAAACTGGTTCAATGGCATCTTTATCTGGAGCTGATAGCATGGTATATCTGGAATATCGTAAACCAACGAAGGACAGGCATCCTTTGTTTAAGAAACTTCGGAAATAGCTAGAGGATCACACAAAAACGTAAGTTTTTAGGTGTGAGTTGATTTGATGCAAGCATTGGTTTGAGCTGTGTCTCGACTTGGATATGTGATGTGCTTGAGATAACGATAACTTACATATGTTCCTGAGCATGTATAAGGAAAATATGTTCAATTATTTCCTATTCACGACGGCGCTATTATTAATATTGGATAAAACTCTATTTTTGACTAGAGCATACGTATTAAGCATTTTGTGAAGCACATAATCTTATTATACTATATATAGTCTTTGTATATGGTGGTACTCTATATAACGCGCTCTATACTTCACCATGCATGTTAATTTATGTTCGCAAATAGTTCAAGTTCCGCGCTTAACAAGAGTAGAACCGCTGTACTGTAGATATATAGCTGTAGCTTCATGAAGAACTGTGTTGTTCATATGAAAAAATTCTATAGAATTCTTCCAGCAAAATTGCTAACAACATTCGCATTATTGTGCCCTTGCACTTATAAAACGGCAATGGCGACTTTGTGTTGGCGGTCCAAAATCGTCTGACGATAACTCTTTTGAATTTTATTTGAACTATATATAGCTGTTATTTTATCTGTTTGCATGTGAAATGCAGCATTTACGTACACCTCCATTTGAGAGTTTATATATCATTCCGAAAACAGAGAAAACCAGTTTGATTGACTCCTTATGTGAACGCATCCTTCATTTTCACCTGCATTTGGATCTAAAAAAGAATGCGACGAAAGTTTATTTTCGTTGTTTCCATGCTTTTTACATACAGCATGCACGCAAAGTTTGAAATCTAAGGAAGTTGTATAGTGTTCATTGTGCGCAGCCAGTTTTCGGGTGCACAGAAAATTATCATAATTTTGACGTCTGTGTTTTTTGCGAAAGATTGAAACCGGATTTTTACTAGCAAAAATATATTCCTGCGAATGCACTTTGATTAATTTGTTTTCACATTCAAGTCTCTACGTAGCTATATTGCATTAGTTCTTAAAGGAAAAGAGATTTATGTGATGAAAAGTGAGACGAAACAGCCTTGACGAAACGGACCAAGCTATTTAACGAGTATCGCACAGTTGAGGTAAACATACAACTGATTGACGTTGAATAAACAACATACATGTAGGACCTGATTAGTACTTATTCACATGCTTATCTTTCTTTTACACAACAACGTAAGCTTTTCCGTCATGATCTTTGTTTTCTTGACATTATTGACTAGATAAGAACGCGCCATACCATATAATCAAACTCACCTTGTAAACCCATACATTCATCCCACAGCGTGTTCTTTAGATCCGGAAATTGATGATAAAGACATGAGTGCTTAACTGGAGTGATGTTATCATCCAGATGCATTAAATCGTTCGGTCGTGATGTTTCCATTTGTTTCGTATTGAGCAGGTCTTTTTGTTCCTCGTGGTCTTTTAACAATGTGTTTAAGTGATCAATCCACTGCATTGCCAAGCGAAGAATCTCGAACTTTGAAATGTCGATTTGAGCTAGCGGAAGAGTGTTCTTAAGTTTAACGAATGCGTGATTCACTCCCTGAATGCGCCGTCTTTCTCGTGCGTTTGCAGCTCGTCGCTGTCTACTCACGCCAGTCAATTTTCGCTTTTTACGACGCTTGCGTTTCGAGCTTTTGGCGCCATCTTGTTTCTCTTGTGACCCCGAACTTACGTCACTTATTGTTTTTGAATTGTCATCCGACTCTATGGACTCGCTATTTTCTCTTGTATCAACTGCAAGTTTGTCGCACTCACAATTCAAATGCGCCATTACTTCGCGTGGTTTTCTTAGTTAACGTTCTTTGTTGAAATATTCCGGTGAGTTTTTCCTGTTGCTATAAATATTTGGATAATGGGCATTGTTAGTCGACTATTTCATCACATCGTGAGTTTGTAGTTGCTGTTTCTTGACTTTTGTTGTGACAGACGGTTATTGGAAACAGCACTTTAATTTTGCTAATTGTAGTTGAATTTTTACTACTCAAGTTGCGTATTTACTTTCATGAATTTCTCCACACAGTTCTAAATTAGAACTTTGTTCTATCGTCTTGTTAGTGAAAATCGCCCAAGAAAATATACGCCTCATGCTATTAACGCAGACTGCTTAAGCTGTCCGGTAAAGTTGCATTAAATAGTGACTGCTTCTCCACAAAACGTTTGCTGATAACATTGTGTGGTGTGATTAATCATGTCAAAAATAGCATTCTAAATATGTATTTTTTGATATGAGCAATTAATTGGCGATGTAGTGCGTCAGATTTGGTTATTTTTAGCAGCTAATTTTAACATCCTTGTAGCTTGTTTTAATTTGAAAAAACGGCAATTATATACGTTGCACCATTGCACCAGGGTCATATTAATTATGTCACTGCACCATTGTCATATTTATTACCAGTTACTTTATTTGACTGCACCATGGTCATATATTACCAGTTGCTTTATGTGACTGAACCATGGTCATATTTTACCAGTTACATTACATGACTGCACATTAGTCATATTTATTATCAGTTACTTTATGTTACTGCACCGTGGTTACATTAGTTAACATCTAACTTAAGGAAAGGGCTTTTAAAATTTATTTAGTTTTTGGTCATTGTTTTGGCTGTTCTTCTATTACAAGAATTGGTCATCCATAAGAGTCTCTGCGCTAGACAATTTTTATGACGATCTTCAAACATCAACGATGATCCTGAGACGACGACTTTTTTCGTATTATTCATGTGTCGTCAGACAATCGTCATAAAAATCGTTCAGTGAACATCCGCTTCAATTAATAGCTTTAACTCAATTGCGAGTGCTGCCAATGAAACTTCTGCCAGAAAAATACAAAAGATCAATACTTCTACTGTCCAAGTTTCTGAAGTGGTTGACAAACCCAAGGTTAAAATTTTGTTTGGTAATGAGATTTTTATTTTGCATCTAATACATTTAATCTGCATTATCTAAAAGATTTTTACATAATACCTACATTTTTACCTCTTGAAAAAATAAATAAGGTTTTATTGTATTGACGATAAATCTATTTCATGTGTTAGATGCGTAATCTTATAGCTATTTTGAAAGTTGAACGCCGGAATTAGACTTTTGACTTCATAACAAAAGAATATCCTACATTTCGCTGTATACCATAACGGTGAAATGAAAAACACAAGCTTTAGCTTTTTCTCCCCTTTTCATGTCTGGAGGCATTAAGTATCTCTCGAAGTTTGAGTTTTTCTATACCATTTGATCCCCTAAATTTTATGCGTGGCTTTATGGCTTTATACATACGTGGGAGTTCCATGATCATAATTTACGTGCTGGCGGAAATGAAATGTTGTAAAGATACTGCTATTTTGATGTCATTTGTCGATGTCTCTGTTGATTGGAAACTCTATCGATTTAATTTTTTCCCAATTGTCAAATTTATCGCGAAGATCGCGTTTAGGCACATGTTCGCATTAACTCGTTGGGTGTCTACCTGCGTGGTTGTAGGGCATGTCATGAAAGCTGTTGCAATTTTCACCAGAATTATTTGAAGCGTTGATTGAAAGCGGGCGTGGGAATGTGTTTTACTGTGTGAATCAATTAGGCGAAACTTTTTATAAGTGAATTGCTCAATCCAGTTTAACTTTAAGTCGATGACATTAATTTAGGTACAATTACATTTACAACTGTTTTTATTATCCCAAAGGCCTCTGTTTTTCTGGGCCGGCCAACGTGAGACATTGAACGGAGTTTTGAATAGGGAGGATGAGAATTGGGCGCGCAGAGAAAAACATGTTACTATTGAAGTGCGGAAAGACTACATAAATATATTCAAGATACCACATACTTTTCTCTGTGATGCAGTATAGTGAAAGTTAACGTTTATTTTTTTGTAAAGTCACGAAGCAAGTCTTGAAAAGTGCAAAGGCAAAGTTTTGCTTAAAGTTGTTTCTTATTAATGAAAAAACTTACCTTCACAAGTCGATAAATCTTCACTCTCTCTACAACAGTGCTTGACAGCAAAGAAACAAATCGTTTTATGAGCAACATGCAAGCAAGTCTTCTCTCGATCATATAGCAACGGGTTCCACCCTACACTAACCAACTGCATTGCATCTAATGTCTTAATTTATATGCGTGGGAAAACACGATCCGAATTATTGCTGGAAGATATTAAATTTGGTAAAAATACCAACTTGATGTCATCTCGACTATTTTTGGGAAACATAATCTGTTTGACTTTGGTTTAATCGGTGCCTGAATTTAGTATTTATTATAATAATATCAATGGATGATTAAGATGCATTCGTAAGAGCAACGATCATTTGCTTCAGGCTCATATTATGAAATATCAAAACAAAATTGTTTTGTGGCATGTGCTATGAAAATTATAACCGCACCACTCTAGAAGCTGAAGTTGCTATTCACTTGCATGAATATAGATCATACATATAGTTTACTGTTGTGCAACCTTATTATCATGAACATGTGTTGTTGCTATATACTTGCTCAAACACATGGTTTCCACTGGTTCTTTCATGCAAAATATTCCCTTACGTACATCAATAGCTCAAGATTGACTGCGGGACATTGAAAATAGTGTTATATGATTACCTATTTATTGCCTCAATGTCATTCGCCAATATTTCAATGTCGCTGTATATTTCGCGTGGCAGAGTCCTTTGAGACATAAACGGCACAAAGCTCTTAAAGCTGGAAGTATAACGGTTTGATTCTGTAGAAGATGGAGCCTGCGTACATATCTCATGACTGAAATTCCAAATGCCTTTCGTATTTCAATACACCATAAAATTTGCGCGTGTTTCAATGATTGTTCTTAATTTGTTACTGCATGAGCGATTACATGCACAAACGTTCCGACGAATGGCTTTGTTGAAATAAAGAATGGAAAAGGAAATGTGATAAAGAGGGCACAGTACGTGTCCTCGAACGTCAATACACCTATTTTACACTTGAGGTGTTCTTTAGAACGGACTGCGACGCCGCGTTAATAAACTTGCAATGACAATGTCCATCTATGATTCTTTCTCCGTCCTAATTAAAATGAACGTTTTGTAATCAATTTAGACGCGCGTTCGGTAACATGAAACGTATGATGGACTCATTAATTAAACGCGATCTAGCGATGGCCTTTAGCTACCTGACGGTCGCGATTTTGTGGGCATGTACGTTGGTATAATTTAGTTGCTTAAGAGAATTGGCTATCCTGAAATGTCATAAAGAGACCCATCGTATATAAGTTCTTTAGCGAAACATCTTAATGAAATCCCAGCAACAAAAAAGTGAACCGTTTTATGAGCTTGATAGAACTTGATTGGAAATGTCCTGGAAAGTACACTATTGAAAACAAAAACTCTGTGGTAGTGGTACATATGATTGTGTCAACAAATGCAAGCCTAAAGTATAATTGTTAAATTTCCTGATGCTCATCACCCGTTCTCACGTACTTTTTATACGCTAATTGTTTGTGATATCTGCTATTTCCTGAAAATATTGTAACAGTCAATAATTATACAACTGTTTTGACTAACGTTTGGTTTATTTCAAGTGATCAATGCTCAATTTATCACGAAGATCTGGATTCTTGAAGAACTAAATACACGCCGCGAAACCGTTTCACTTGGTCTATATTTGTTCTGTCGCTTCTATGTTTGGATCATAAAGCGAAATTAGTTATCTCGTTCATGCTATCACCATATGATGTAGCGTTTAATTAAATTATCTTATAAGGGTATAGACGCTATTGTGCGGAACTGTTTTCGTTGCTTGGCGACAGTGTTTGATTCGTTACAAGAAGGATGATGTTGGTTGTTTTGAGCTAATCCCGATTCGGTCATCCAAGTTGTTGACACAGATAAAATAAAAAGATTTAATAGTTTGCCGGTCGAAACGTGTTTTTTTCGTGCTATGTGCACTTATATTCTGAATTCCCTGTTGCGCACGGCAAAGTTGTAGGGCTATGTTTTGACCATGTACTGCAGTGTTGTCTGTATTAAAAGTTATTCAGTCATTGCTCAATGTAATGTTATTTGTTCTGACACCGTGCTCTCAAGCATTGTATTGTTCTTATTTCGCATTTTTCAATTTCTTTTTCGCAAATGATTGCAAAGATAGTATGCACGAACCAACATGTCTAGCGATCTTAACATAAGCCAGTCGTGTTCAGGGGCGTCAATTTGTCTTACATTTCATACGATGACAAATCAGTCTGATCTAATGCGACAGTCTCCACAGCAAACATTTCTCCCATTAATTTATCTTAGGCTTGGCTTTTTATAACGGATTAGCTAATTGCTCGCAAGCACGATATATATTAGGCGCTAAGAAGACTGAAAAAATTCAAAAAAAATTAACTGCTCCTACTCGTGGAATTTTGATCACATTGAATGTAATATCCAATCGCAAATCCGCTCACGGCATGTTTGGGTATTATTGCATAATTTAGAATTGATCCTGACAACTGAATATGACCTTTACCACTGTTTTTAACGTCAGTTCTGTCTCTAACGTCAGCTATTATACCCCACTCCGAGAATGCATTTTCATGAATTGCAACCCACCCACTTTATGAATGCAATATAAGCAAGCTCCGGGGACGAGTTAAAATATTCAAACCAAACTTGTTACGAGTTAAGTACGTGTAGCTGCAGTAGCTACACGTTAGTTAATAATCCTGGCACTTTGTTTCAAGCATTTTGCTTATGTTTATTTGGTGTAAGCGATATTTTAATGCAATATGGCTTATGCAATTTACACACTCAAGTTTCTGTGAAATCCAACAATTTTAGATTGAAGGTAACAGTTGAACAGTAACAGTTTCTTGGATAAAGAATATGATTTAGATTACTGACATGCATCTCGAAATATCTCCTTATGTGTCAGAATGATTATCCATCAATAATTGCAGCTATCAACGGTAATCACGAGTTTTGTCAAAGCTCTTCAAACGACTCTGTATGAGATTTCATGGGTGATGAAATGTACTTGCAAGACCAATAATATCCAACAATTGAAATGTTTACAACTTCACCAAAAAATTCTCAAACTCTTGTCTGGAAGAAAACGACCAACGGTTGCAAATCTTCCAAAAGAGTGTTTTTTTCAACTTTACCGTCACGTAAATTATTAACTCTGACTCGCCATTCTTGTTTTTTCTGTGTAAATCGTAATACCCTTTTTTACATCGTCAATGTGTGGTCGGATATCAATCTTGCTTATCACGATAAACATCTACAAAATGGAGTATGCTTCCTCAGAGAAATGATAAGTTTTGTACCAGTTATTGTGTATTTAATGAAAAATAAAGTGAGATTTGGAAGAAATGTTACAAATAGGTTAACAATGCAAAAAATTCACCATTCTTAATTTTTTTACTCGCGATTGATTTGTTTTCTCATGATTTTGGATTACGTATTTTGGTAGGTACGTTGTCTTTTCACGTATGCCCTTTGTCTGTATGCCCTCATTCATGTATGTTTTTATAGATTTGCATTCGACGATGGTGGAAACTGTTAACAAAAACATGGTAATTGTTACTTTGGAAACCGATAAACCCCGTAAAGATTTATATTTTTTAAAATTTTTAATCTGATAATGGCAAGAAATGCTGTGACGGCATCTCCATCCTGTTGCTTACGAACCTTGCGTTAAAATTATGTGGTGATTTGATCCAGTTTGTAGCTAGATAAGTCATTGAAAATACATTGGACTTTGTTCGGGGTAAAGTCTGGTAGAACCTGAAAAAAACTTGATTTTAGTATCGTGTTTACCAACAATTTTCCTTATGTTTTAGCAAACGAAACAGAGATGAGCTCTGTTGTTACAAAGTAGGAGCTGGATTGCAAGTATGTAGATGATATACAGATCATTTCATAATTCAAAAATCGAACATTTATGTAAACAGTTATGTAAAAGATATTTTCAATTGCGTTCAATTCTCTTAAATGAAACCAAATGCGTGTCTCGCTTGTGTTGGCGAGTTGTTTCAATTTAGGATCATGTTCAAATTGCATCTGAATATGAGTAGGTGTTGCGTAGCTAATTCCTCTGCATTGATGTCACAGTAAAAAGTTCGCTGTGAAATTATTTATTGATGTTTAAATTAATTTGTAATTGGGCGCGTCTGAAGGTTTTCTACCACGTCTTCATATTTTAATTTACGATGATATCGTTTGATCAGTTGATATTCAGGCATGTTTTAAAAAAGGTTATTAATTTCAAAGTATGCAGATGTCTTTATTAACCTTATTTCCTTTCATGATTAGAGCATACGCTTTTTTGATTAACCAGAACAGTAAAAAACAGCATTGCCTTTGCTCCCTATCTATGAATTGCAGCAACATGAAAACAATGTTGTATTTCGTCCAAAAATATGAAGAACAGTGAATAGTTATTCGGAGTTCATTCCTTGTCAGGCGCGAATGTCCTCACTGTTAAGTCCACACGTGTGTATTTTTTATGCATGCTTTTTGATCTGTTTTGTTTTAGTTCTTATTGAGTACACTGAAGTCGTTTTTATAGCCAATATGAAGATGTGTTTTCAACTGATATTGAAAAATAGATCATTTTTTTAACATGAAATCATAGCTAACATGTTTGAGCAAAAGAAGATTCTAAATATGTATAAAGATTTTCTATGCAGCTGCACTTATGAAAGATCTTGTTTCAAATAATGATAATAGGGCAAGTACTAATGCATAACGACAGTTATTTTATCCATTCGGATTATTTCATCAAATTTTCGAGTTGCCGCTTTGAGATGAAAGTGAGCTGATTGGAAAACGATCAAAAATAATCGTATACCTTGACGATCTTGTTAATGAAACTTATTAATTATGAATAACGTTCTTGTTGTATATATAGTTTTCTGCGCAGGTTTAACAATAGTTTTGTCCGCGGAATTCGTGAGTTTTGTGCCCACAGTGAAGCTATTGTTTTCACGAATTTGAATTTGAAGATGAAAAGATTACTGGCATTGATGGTTGTTGTCACCTTCTGTGTTGATAATGTCATCTATGGGTTTAACGTTGGTGTTGGAAATTTCGGAAAGCGTCGAGTTGAAAAGGTTTGACTGCGTATTGCCTGAAATGTATGGCTTTCATACCCATCCCCATACAAAATTTTGTATATTTTGTTACCAGGAATGCACAATGTTTGTTTCTGATGTATTGATGGCAAAGAACGTAGTCGCTTTTAAAAGGTTGACTCAACCGGACTTGACACAACTTTAGTTTGACCTTATTTTATGTAAGCAGTATAACGAACTAACATGTACGTTGCGATGAAAAAATCCTCAGTTTAGCTGAGTTTCTTGCATATTGTTTCTTAAAGCACTTATAATTTTGTCTTTTTGAGAGTCAGGCTTAAAAAAACACCAATTAAAAATCTCGAAATTGAGGCCGCAATCTATACATTAATATATGTGATGTCAGTGTATTTTATATGGATATAAATGGATAAACAGGCCTTACGTGGATTCTTCACAGCTTAATCACATTAAATCAATGCCAAAAATGTCTTAGATTTCAATTATTAATAAAGAGACATGTATTCGTCAAAGATAAATCAATTTATTTTGCAGCTGCCTGCAGATAGCCCAATGAATTTATGCCAAAAAATTCTATCGTACTACTTAAAACAGAAGAATAAAATTCCATGGATAAAACAAGAAGCCCTCAGTAATTTGGATTACAGCAAAGAAAAAGAATATCTTCGTAAAGTCGAGCGACAATATGAATCGCTTCTGCATGCTGATCGATCTTGACATGAATTATTCACATAAATTCGACTTAAAACAAGACATTATAAAAAACTTATTAACTGTTATAAAAAAGATTGTATAAACGTTATAAATGAACTATCGATATCTTTAAATCCGTTACATTGCCCATGCATTAAAGATTAAAAACTTGATTTAACTTGTAGAACTTGCATGGACAAGTGGTACTCGTTTATAAACATAAATATAACTGTTGCAAATAATTGAAAATTGATTGGTAAATTACAAAAAAATTACAAACTGAGTTTGAATTGTTAAAGTTGAACGTGAACTATACAAACATGGAGCGGGTTTCGATTCTTTTGTTAAAGTACAAATTTGATATACAACGTGCTCCGTAGACTTCTGCATGCCTCTCCCATAATGCAGCGCGTGAAATACTATACGTTTCTAGCGATTTATCGTGTGCATTTCCATCGTTTCATAATTGATTGAAATGCGAATTTCTTTTTATTTGTTGAGTGACTAACTATATGTGAACATATGTCACTGCTTTATTTTTACAGAAATATCTGAAACTTTTGCATCAAGTAGTTCTCACTTGCTAAACGTACTATTTTGAATCGGACTTGTTAGAAAATTGATAATCAAAAATTAGTATCACGGATACATGGACTTTAATTTGTTGAATTGTCGAGTTTTCAAACCGACAGTTTTCACCGTACAAAAGATCTTTGTGATCACAACTGTCGACTATTTCAACTCCGCGCATGTGGTCTCTACATTTCCTGTACAAACGAGGCGGCAATTTGTCTACTTTGTAGATAACTTTTGATTCAGTTGGGGTTCTTACTCAGAGTACGTTGTTTGGTGTGGCGGATTTAGCGTAGGTCTTGATAATTTACAACAATTCATCAGTTCATATACATCCCACAAAAAACAGTTCGATTGATAACATTTTTCTTTTGAAATTTATAACTAATGGCGTGTTATATTGAATTTGAAATTCAGCTGCTCAAATTTATTTTGGCGAACGTTGGACTCGCCATTGAGTTATTAAATCTTAGAGAAAATGAGGATGAGAGGAGCTGTCAATTAAGTTGCTCTGACTGCCAATAGAACGGGTTGATTTTTACAGATTTCAAAGCTACAGTTTTCAAACACAGTGAAACTTCAAACACTTTGCTACTGACTACTGTTTTTTTAACGCCAAAAGATGATTTCGGAAGCGTGTCGTGAAATGCAATGAGTGAATTTGGGATGCTCGAGAAAGCCTTAAGAACTGATTAAGGATTTTTTTATTTTTTAAGTGATTAATCCACCCAAAAAAAAAGAATTCGAAATACATTATCTGACATATTTTACGTATTTTGCTTTTTAGTCATCAACGATTATAAATAAAAATCGGCGATCATGACAAAGACGTCTCGCTGACATGCATTGACGTCCATCCATGCACAGAACATACAATGAACATGATTGAATGATCACAATCAGCTCATCGCACTGATGAAAAATTGATTTTTTATCTTTTTATGAAAAGATGAAACATACCGCCACTTAAATTTCCAATAAAAACTGGCATATTGCTAGTGCTGTATTGACATTATCAGATAAAAGAAAAATAATAACTTATTGTAGGTCAACCCCAGTATATCATGCAATGATTTCTACATGATATTGATTAAACAAAATGTTTTTTAACCTCAAGCAGTCTACCATCACATACCTAATTTTGTTTTACGCGTAATTCTGTCCAAATAAATCATTTTGTGACACATTTGTCAAACGTTGATTATGATAAGGGGACTTGATAGAGGAGCGAATTTCGTGCTTCCATTTTTCAAAATGTCATCATTGTTTTATTGAAGAAGGCGTTTGTCGCTTTTTTCTCTCAGACAGAAACAAATTAGAGCGATAATAATCTTTCGGTTGTTGTTTTGGCGTCTCTCTCTTCAGATATATAAATTGCTGTGGATCTTAAGCTACCTAAGTAAAAACGTCGATTGCCTGATTGCAAACACTTTAACTAACAATGGCTAAACTATATCTAATTATCTTCTTAATGTTTGGTGTGTTTGTTGAAAAAATTGTCAGTTACACAGCAGCAGATGCAACATGGGGAAAACGTGATGAAAAGGTTTGTTGCGTTTTATCATCAACTTGGAAATGATTAAATATAAGACTTTCCAAGTATTCAAGTTTGAAAAATAATATTGTTCATCAAGTGCATTCACAAATGCGTCTTTCAGAGATTCAGAGAGAAAACGTTTCGATATGGATATGGATATGGAGTTCGGGCTACAAATCCTTTAATTGGGAATCCTAAGTGAGCGCAATTTTTTTCGTGACTCGTAAATAAAACGTGTTTTTTACATCATTTTGCTTTCCGCTAACTTTCGTAGCATGATGACCGTAAACGGTGAACTCCAACTTTAACTAAAACTTGTGTTAACTCAAACACTTGTTTTAAGTATCTTCGATGAAGTCTATAGACAGCTATTTATCACTCCTGTCTATTGAATTGAAAAAAAAGCAAAGCAAAGACGTGAGAAATTGTAGGCTAATTCGGTCAGACTGATTACAAATACGTATCAAGAATGATAATGGATGATTATTTTATGGATCGTACGAATCGGAACCTTTTTGCCAGTCAGTACAAAAAAGTCTGTCGAAATGAAATTCTCATCGTCATTTGTATTTTTGTCATTTCCAGGTGCAGGGTCACGATTTGTGCGAAATGTGTAAAACGGCGAGAAAAATATGCTCCAGAATGAAATTAAAAAAGTCGAAACTGTTTCAACCAATACAGAATAAGCGAAAGACAGCATATGATTATGCCATCCGCCAAGCCAGAGTATAATATTGCACATCACATATGTAAAGAATACGACTGTAAATGATTGAATGTTATATATGCAACTAACAGAAATTTAATGCTATGATAATAAAAACATCAAATCGAGATTAAACATAAATTATGTATGTATGTAGTGTTGTACCGTACGTTTGAATGTGTTGTACTTCGAAAGTTTACTTATTAATTTTTAGTGCCCGCATGCTATCAGTTATGCGATAAAAAATTTATCATCAAATATCTGAGTTCATAAAAAAACTGAGCAACATAAAAAATGAATTGACTGATAATCACATGATCCGATCGTCATCACATTATGAAATAGCGACTAAATTAAAAAAAAAAGACAAATCAATTAGCTTGCATTTACAAAACCACTGAAGGTCATCATTTTGACTGCGTTAGTTAAAAACCAAACTGGAACATGAAATTTTCGTTGTAATTTCCCTGAATTTTGTCAGAAAGGAATGTTTCGATGAAGGAAAGACGTGGTAGTATTTATATGTTCTAAAATGATATTAGATGTTTGCGTGAGTTTTGTTTCTATTGCAACTATATTTACATGGAAAATATTTGTCAGTAATAAATTTGCCAAATGTTTCACAATTTTTCTTGCGGCGTGTCTTTTGACATCACAAAATAGTTAATTGACAATTGAAAAGAATGTATGGATAGAAAAAAATAAAGAATTACGAAAAATCCCTGAAAAAGAGCTGTTCAAAGGGTTGTGTATTAATTTAAGAAAAAACATGACATAATTTAGATGTAGGTGAGCACATTGCAAAAAAACTGAGGGTCCTTCGTTCTAGCTGAGACCGACTTCTGTAGTACTTTCATTTGATAGAAAAGCATATAGTTTTTGCCGGACCGTCTTTTTTCAATATTTTATCCTCTATCAGTTTCTTGAACGACTCTTGATTCGTATTTCACATAATCCAAAGGGTGTTACATCTCCTAAACACGCCAATGTCTGCCCCTGGTTGTATGGACGTTTTCTGCTATTCATACAGCTACCCAAATTAACATGACAATTGTAGACATAATTTATTTAAATTTCAGGGGGGGATTCAAAAGGAATGTCCCGGAGAATGTTACCCTTCCTGAATAAATATATTATTGTATTGTGATGTTTTCAAATAATGTAGCCTTCCCTAAATGAAGTTTCTGAAACTTTTGCCTTGAAGAAACACTGCACATTGTGATGTCGGCTATACGATAAAACAGTAAATAGAAAACCAGAGCTGCTCTCCAAATATCGTCGTATGTATAAATTTGACGTGCGTATGAGCACGAATTGAATATGCAGCGTCAGCAGAAAACTGAGGTCATCTGCAGGATGTAGCAAATTAACGGCAATATTATATTATTGCATTGTATTTGTATCAATAAAATATAAAGAGCATTAAAAATGTTTCATTACAAGAAGATAATCTGCACCCCTCAGTTTTAACTAGGCTGTATTTCTAGCATTGACAACAGTTGACGAACATTTATTTGATGTTTTGTAATTGTTTTCACAAGCTCAACAATCTCAAAAGAATTTTAGAAGATGTTACTCATAATAGCAGTGACACGTCCCGTCACTCATGATGGTGTTAAAAACAGTGTACCCATTTTTCGTAAAAAAAAAGTTAGCTGCATCTTTACTTTACATCTTCATTTGTACCCTGTATTCATGCCAATACATTTTGACACGTGTTAATGTATCTTTTGCACTATACAAGTTGTAAGTTGCAACTGTCAACCCGTACATGGCAGTGTATTCTAGCATATGACGGGCACATGCCTTTATTTAAGAAATAAAAGATATTTACTGTGTTTGCACAGGCTTATGAAAACCGAGGAGACTTTTGAGAGAACTGGAGAGCAGATCAGTGCAAGCCCGAGACCGAAAGTCGAGAGTTGCACATGCTCGAGAGTTCTCACAAACGTCTCCGAGGTTTGCATAAACGAGTGCAAACACGAAAAACATTTTTTATTTATTTTTTATAAAATAAATGATGCGAAAAAGACAAACATTTAATTTTCCCTCTAAAATGTATTCATGATCTATTTGCAAATTCTTTTTGACTTGATTGATTTGATTGGTTGAGCTCAGATGTGTTTTGCACAGGCTAATGCAAACACAGCTCTGTCAAGAGATCAAATTCAATCAAAAAAATCAATCAAAACAATCAATCAGTCAAAGAGAATTTGCAAATAGATCATGAATAAATTTTAGAGGAAAAATTAAAATATTTGTCTTTTTTGCATTATTTTATTTTGTAAAAAAAAATTAAAAGATGTTTTTCGTGTTTGCACTGGCTTATGAAAACCTCGGAGACGTTTGTGAGAACTCTCGAGCATGCGCAAACCAGCGCACGCGTTTCATCGTGTTTATTTTATAAATACTGTTGACGCATACTAGGAACATGCTATGATTGTTAGAAGAATCATACCAGTATACAATTGCAAATGCTATTTGATTGGCTAATCTATTTGCCATCTAATTAGCGGTAGAGAGCAAGGAGCAGAAGTGAAACAATTACATTCATGGCGCATTTCTCAAAAGCATGGGGCAGATTTTTCTCAGATTTTTGACGATCGACTTGATTGTTTACTTGAAAAGATCAAGTGATTTCAAAGTGTGGCTAAAGTTGCAAAAAAACAGGCTTTTCAAAAATTTAAAGGTAAAACATACTAAAATTGAAATAAACTTAATAATTTTGTCTCATTATCTCAAAATTAGTTTGTATGTAACAAATTCATTAAAGATCATATATTTTACCAACTTAATATACTATTTCACCAAATGCGTTCAAAGTACCTCTTATTCGTCGGTAAAATTTGTGCTTTGCAGCCCCAATTAAAAATGCTCTTTACGCCCCTGCTTGTTGAAATCTCGAGGACTATCCATGTACACATGGGATAAATGGGATATTTGTGTATCTGGTGCTGCTTTGTAGTACATAAGCATTCATGATATACCCTACGACTGAGTACGGGTGTCTTTGTATTTTCTTTAGTTTTCGTTAGGTACCACATTTAAGAGAGTCATATAAATCTTTGTTTAACATCTCTTTTCTCTGTAATAAATTGTAAATTTATGGAACTGGTCTGACTTTTTTACTAGTGTCGTCTTAATGACGATTACTCTTACCAATGAAACAAGCGAAGAAAAGTAAAAATACGTTTAAACGTCTTGTATCCTTTCCTGGTTTGGTGTCGAAGTCAAAGCAATGGAAAGATAAAGATTATAGACGGGACACTTTTGCAGTGAGTATCGATATTAAAGTGTACGTGAAAATTAAAGGTATATGATATTACACTGTCGAACACTTCTGGTTGTCGTCCATTATATATTTCTGTATTTATTTTACTCTTTGAGATAAAAGACCTGCGTGTCTTGTCTAGTGAGTGTAAATAATAATCACTTTTGTTGACGAGCTTTCTACTGTGTGGACTGGATGCGTACATTGAGGGGATATTAATTATTTGGCAAAATCTTTGATTAACGCTTTGCTATGATCATGTCACTTGTTTTCAGCCAAAGTGGCTTCCTGCATTTCTCCAACATGTGCACCTAATGGAAATAAAATTAATAATTTTTTAGAATTGTAGTACAGTGCTCATTAAATATGATGTAAACAAGCATCATTTCCCTCAATTAGATACAATTTTTCATGAAGAATGCACCCATTAGTTAAATCTCATACGTATTTGCTTGTTTATTTATGTTTGATCAGGACCAGGGATATGGAAGTCCAAGTGTTTTTCATGCAACAGTCATAATATTCCTGGAGTACTTTGCTTGGGGCTTGCTCACTGGACCAATGCTAAATGTATGTTGTTTCTTTTATTAGTCATATCAATGCATGATGATTTTTTTATTTAAATGAAAGTCGAGAGATTTCTAGAATGGTGCTCATTTTAGGATCGGCAGTGCATTTATGATAAGTTAATTGCCAAATTTGCAAAATCAGCAGAATCCAAAGCATTGCTATTCTCATTTGTAAGTCCCTTGATCTTTATCAATGGGAATTTTTTTTATTCGATAAACCCAGACTGCAAACATTGCCTAACCTTTTCTTATAATTGTTTCATAACTGGAAAATTTATGTATGTACATGGATTTTAAATGAAAGTTTAGTGAGAACTTTTTTGTTATGCTTCTACAAAAAGTTTTCACCTGTTTAGATCTCTTAGTGTACTTTCATAATCATTCTTCTGTTGACCCTTTTGACTTGATTCCTTCATTTTTGCTTTAGGTTTTGGGAGAGACATTTCCTACTCATACTTTTTTAATGAACGGTTTGGTTCAGGGAGTGAAGGTATGACATGTTGCCCCATTCTTTGCATTTCTTTTCCTTTGGTCACAAACATAACCAAGAATGCCTGATTACATACCTAGCATTGTGCTAGAAAGTTAAAAAATTTTTGCAATTCTGACAACAAAGTATCAATGTCGTGACCACATATTTCTCTAAAGGACAACAATAGACTAAAAATTAACTGTCATTAAGTTGATAATTTTGATATGTACAATAAGGGACCACAAAGTATACATTTTTTGTGAGGGGAGGACAAAAATGATCTTTGATATTTCTCTAATGCTGTTTTACTCTCATACCACAAGCACATGCCTTGTTTTAAATAAAATTTTGAGGATTTAGCTATATCCCCCTGCCTACAGTCCTCGAAAATATTCAAAGGGAGGTGTGAAAAAAATATTTTACTTTTTGGGACCAGAAGAAATATGTTTAATGGTCATCTACTGTCAAACCAGAAGTTGCTAACTTTTTTCTGCCATTAGGACTAAAATATAATGATTTTTCTTTCTCCTTTATTCTGTTTTTGCTTCCTCCCTTGCTTGAGCTCCTTACCCCCCTAACCGTCCTACCTCCTTCCTTCTCACCTGCCTGTTTTTTCTTTTATGTACCTGTTTCATTTGCTTGTTTAGTCTGAGCAATATTTTCCTTCTGATTTTTTATCACAAGATTGGTTACTTGTCAATCGCACTTCATCAATTTAGTAGTGTAGATTCATTTGCCAACTCACTGAAAAATTTCATTTTTCATTTTGTTAGAAAAATATTGTTTTCACAGTAAGTGAACAAAGAAAAATCAACATACGTAGCAGGACTAAATAGTCGTGCTGGCTATGTGCGTCCACGATAGCACCAACTTCAAACAACAAGTTGTGATTTCTTCTTTATTTCAAATCATACTACCACTTTTGTAGGTTGATGAAATGCCTTTTGAAATGTTTAAATACCTGCCTTACTTATTTATCACCAATGTATTCGTCAGCATTTGTATTGCGTTGTAAAATACGTATGTTAAGATGACGAATGTCAAGTTATAAATTTACCGCTCTAGGGTTTCCTGTCGTTTTTAAGTGCTCCTCTCATTGGTGCTTTGTCTGATGTTTGGGGAAGAAAGTCATTTTTACTGCTCACTGTGGGATTTACATGTTTGCCAATTCCATTATTGAGATTCAATCCTTGGTGAGAAGCTACACGCTAAAAAGTCCTGGGGCCGTTTGCACGAAAGTCAAATAGCACTATCCACCGGATAGCGATATTTTTGAACGTTTCAAAAATCCCTTAAATAGGAAAAGTCTACGATTTGAACTGTACAATCAATGAAATACAATGTTGATTCTAGAATTACAAGCCGAGAAAATACAAACAATTTTTCAAAAGTTTAAAAAATTACTATCCAATAGATAACTCTATCCAGGCTTCGTGAAACCGGCCCCTGTTGTTAAAAATACGTGAACATTCATTATTGTATCATATTACTTAATTATCCAATAATCGAATGTTGCTTTAGACAACTAGTCTTAAGATTCTAGCAAGTCGTGAAGCATTTCGATTTGCCAACTCCCAATTGCTGTTTGGCAGTTTCTTATTCTCGAGAGTCAAATATTTAAAAAGCTTTTAGTAAGCTTCACCTGATTTCCGAGGATGGGTTTTCATTTTTTTAAAGGAGAGTTGAACACATTAGTATTGTTGTGCTACAGAGTGTAGCACTACAAACATCGATACACAAACACAGTGACTTTATGTACGTACGGAAAGTGTGTCTTTTACATGCGAGTGTCATTTGTTCATATGGTTGTAATCACCCTCACCCCCCCATGACACTCTTTTAGTCCACATGGGGTACAGGCACTGACATGTATAACTATAATAATTGTTAGTTTAATAGAAATCAATAGGTCCAGGCCTTGGTCTTGGATATTTAAACTTTTAAGCAATACTTAAGAGAAGTGCGTTTTTTTGTGATTCGAATTTACTCATCTATCAATGTGAAATTTCTTATAGGTGGTTTTTCGGTGTATTGTCCATCTCAGGAGTTTTTGCTGTCACCTTTTCTGTTGTGTTTGCCTATGTAGCGGACTGCACTGATGAAAATGATCGCACAATGTCGTATGGTCTAGTAAGTGTTTTTATCTGTATGTACCGCTTACTTTTTTGTGAGATTATTACTTTCGGTCATCACACAGCGTAACTCCACCATATTCATTAACTATATCTCATTGGTTGTGAAGAAGAAGACAAAGAGTATGCTGAAGCGTGCGTGTGATCTGCACATATTTGGGTCAATTGCATGCGCGTAAATTTCACATATGTTGAACTGCAATGTAAAGTACAAACGTGTAAACTGTTTACGAGTGAACTGCATACGTGTAAACGTCATATATATGTAAACTATGTACGTGTAAACTGTATATGTGTAAACTGTATACGTGTGAACTGTATACGTGTAAACTGTATACGTGTGAACTACGTATTTACGTGTGAACTGTAGACATGTGAACTACTTATTTACGTGTGAACTGTGTAAGTGTGAGGTGCATGTGCTACTGTGTTGAATTAAATATACTTTCCAATGATCAAATGCTTAATTGAGGTTTAATAGTTAGCACATCAAAGTTTTTGTATCATTATGATCGGATTTGAAGAGGACTTCATACGGAGTTTTGAATTTCTATCTTTTTGTTCAGGTATCGGCAACGTTCGCAGCAAGCCTTATAGTGAGTCCTGCAATAGGCTCATACTTACAAGGAGTATACAACGACAATGTAGTTATAGCCCTAGCAACTGCTGTTGCTATGTTAGATATATTATTCATCTTACTTATTGTGCCGGAGTCTCTACCGGAACGTATGAGACCTGCAACCTGGGGTGCTCCAGTAACCTGGGAACAAGCTGACCCTTTTAATGTAAGTTTGACAACATTTCACCAAATGCATATACGTATGTCTGTTGTTTTCGAGGAACTACGAAGCCAGTTAAAAGGTGTGAGGCGTGGGCGGGCGCTGGGGGGTGCAAAAAGGCACGAGAACAGAATCCATGGCCTGTTTCAAACGTCGAATTTTGCATGTGTTAAATACAATTAGCAATTTAATTCGACCGATATGCAAAACTTGACTGTGCATTTCATACGTCGAATTTTGCATGAGTTGAATGCAACTACTACACGACGTCTTCGCTTTATCTCGTTCCAGACTTTCTTGTGAGTAAACGCGAGAGCCAAATTGTATTCGACACATGCAAAATTCAGCGTGTGAAACGACGTCGCACTTTCGTCACATAATGTGACAAAACCGGTCGATCTTAAAGTTAAGGTCGACCTCAATCAAATCAGTCGAAGTTAATTGTTTCATGCGTCGAATTTTGCATGCACTTAATTCAAACTATTTTATTCGACACATGCAAAATACGACGTTTGAAACTGGCCTATATGTGGGACGCTAAAATTTACCCAATAAGTTGCTTGCTCACTGAAGGGGGGATCACCCCCTCCCAGATCCTGGTGGTCAGTCCCTGTCTCCTTGCATTTCACGAAGAGTATTGACTACGTCAGCTGGAATGTTGTTTGATAATAACATTATCAACTACGTATATACTGCCAGAAAATCTATGAGATTTACATTATCTGTTTCCAGAAGGCTAATCGTTTAAAGGACGACAGCATTTTATCTGTATTGTATTTTTATCTTTCAGTCTCTTAGAAAAGTTGGAAATGATCCAACTGTTTTGCTATTATCGGTCGCTGTGTTTTTGTCGTATTTACCAGAGGCAGGACAATATTCTTGCATGTTTCTCTACTTAAAAAAGGTAAGTTTGTGTTAAATATTGTTTTTGTCGTATTTACCTTATGCAGGACAATATTATTGTGTGTTTCTCTACTTAAGAAAGTAAGATTGTGTTAAACGTCTCATATCAATGCACGGTAGTTCTTTTTCCCATTTTCCCTTAAAATATTAGAAACTTTGCTCTTCAATGCTATGCTTACACATCATACACCTGGCGACTGTCTTTTCCCTTTATTTCTCATGCATAAAATTCATTTCACGAAGCAGTATTTGTTTTGTGTTACATCTGCTACTGCAGTTAAGCATTGTTTTCTTCTTTTATAATCCTTCCGTATTATTTAGGTCATGTATTTTGATTCCGAAGATGTTGCGACGTTCATTGCAGTAGCTGGAATTTTATCCGTTGTGGCGCAGGTGCTTTATGACTTTCGTGTTGTGTTTAATTTTAATCTGCTTACTTGAAATGAAGTGTGAACTTGTGGAAGTTGCTGCGGCTGATCGAAATGATCGATTTGCATACAAGATTATGAAATTATCGTATTTTGCGTCTTTGTTCCTTGCCTCTCTATTCAGCGGCAACGAAAACGTTTACCCGGCGTATGAAACTGATAAATTTTTGTACAACTAAATATTTCCATGTAGTAATGTGTTGCCTATAGACATGCACGTCATCACAAATATATGGATGAGCTGTAGTTGTATTACATGTTTGTAGATGTAGATCATCATTGTTGATGTTGACTGACGTTTCGACAACCTTAGCGGTAGTCATCTTCAGAGTCAAGGACTGTTTTTGTTGTTGTTGACTGACGTTTCGACATTCTTAGCGGTAGTCATCTTCAGAGTCAAGGACTGTTTTTGTTGTTGTTGACTGACGTTTCGACATTCTTAGCGATAGTCATCTTCAGAGTCAAGGACTGTTTTTGTTGTTGTTGACTGACGTTTCGACATTCTTAGCGATAGTCATCTTCAGAGTCAAGGACTGTTTTTGTTGTTGTTGACTGACGTTTCGACATTCTTAGCGATAGTCATCTTCAGAGTCAAGGACTGTTTTTGTTGTTGTTGACTGACGTTTCGACATTCTTAGCGATAGTCATCTTCAGAGTCAAGGACTGTTTTTGTTGTTGTTGACTGACGTTTCGACAACCTTAGCGGTAGTCATCTTCGGAGTCAAGGACTGTTTTTGTTGTTGTTGACTGACGTTTCAACAACCTTAGCGGTAGTCATCTTCGGAGTCAAGGACTGTTTTTGTTGTTGTTGACTGACGTTTCGACATTCTTAGCGGTAGTCATCTTCAGAGTCAAGGACTGTTTTTGTTGTTGTTGACTGACGTTTCGACATTCTTAGCGGTAGTCATCTTCGGAGTCAAGGACTGTTTTTGTTGTTGTTGACTGACGTTTCGACATTCTTAGCGGTAGTCATCTTCAGAGTCATTTGCGTCGGTCAACAACAACAAAAACAGTCCTTCTCAGGACTCTACTAACGTGGACGATCTACATTTACAAACATGTAACGATACTTCCGGGTTCAAACCATTTACTTTACTGTAGTTGTATTAAAACTATTTTTGGCCACGCGTTTAGAGACTAGGATTAGTATAGTTGTCCTCATCGTTGACGATCGGCATGAGGACTTCTATCTGTTCAATGATCGAAAATGAAGTATTATATATGTACCTTTATGACATTGAGTTGATTTTTTTGCTAATTTTGTAATTTTTGATTTATTTAGACGAGTGTTTTAGCTTTATTGAAGAAAAATATAGGATTAAAACATTGCATTCTTGTTGGTCTGGTGTTTCAAGCTTTGCAGCTTACGTGGTACGGCTTAGGAAGTCAAAAATGGTGGGTTTCATATATACATACTCTCATTTTTGATTCTGCGCATGTGTATGTGGATTGTTGAGCGAAGACAACCCCAGTCATGCAATGTGTACATTTTTTGGCAAAGGACATGGGACAAAAGTAATAAGTCAAATTTTTTTCTATGTAATTTCTAAAAATTCTGCCTGACTTCGCCATTGATTACGCAAAAGCAAATAGAAAACGCGTTGATTTTGTTTCAGATGAATAACACCTATAATTCCGCAATTATTAGAGGTGGTTTAGCTATCCCTCGTGCATATTGTTTCACATGCCATGGTATTCTTGCAGGATGTTATGGGCGGCTGGTTCGCTGGCGTCTATGTCAAGTTTAACGTATCCTGCAATAAGTTCATTGGTCTCATGTAGCTCAGAGTCTGATCAGCAAGGTAACCATGCAATTTTTTATGATAGAAAACATGATCCATATATGGTATAGAAAGGATCCGACGAAATTGACGTGTTGTTTGTGCCACTAAAACAAAGTTTAAATGGAAGACATTTTCAAATATTTGTTGAAGTTACCTTTTTAATGTTCCACGATGTAGATGTGTTTTTCTTTAGGTGCTGTTCAAGGAATCATCACGGGTATACGAGGATTATGTAATGGGTTAGGTCCAGCTTTGTTCGGTCTTATGTTTTTCATATTTCACGTTGATCTTGACTCGCCAAAACCAGCAGTGACAGTCAACTTAAATTCTACCCTATCCAAAACATCGAAGGATCCTTCATTGAGAGTAAGCTTCAAATTATAGCAGAGTCATTTCCGCTTTTGCTGCCGTATCGTAGTGTTGCTTTATGAAATGCTTGAATTCAAATTGCTATTCACAAAGCATAGGTTTCGTTTCTATACGCATGGTTTTAGCTATTGAAGAGCAATGATTGTAAATTATACCAGAGCTGTGATTGCAAATTATACCACTGATTGTGTAGTAGCTAGCCAAGTTTCGCTCTTTCCCTGTTTTAATGTAGCTACGTATGTAACTTCTCCGTTTTCAATGCAAGTAGAATTTATCATTGTCTTTACGAAGTTGATTTAGGCCAGTTGCGAGTGAGCATATAATTTATCTTTCCACAGGGTATTGGAACTGGCGCTCCATTTCTGTTTGGGGCTGGTTTGGTCATCTTAGCCCTTTTATTGACATTATTTTTACCCGAGAAGAAAAACGTGCTCATCGTAAACTCAACGGTTGGAAGCCCGAAACATCCAAACCGTCCCAGTTTCTCCGAAGACGGGCAAAACATTGCCAACACAGAGGCAAACGAAAAAGTTCCAATGTTATTCAATGATTCATAATCCCAAGTCGTTGATTCTAAACACAACTAAAAACGGGGATTCTGCATACAGGCAGCCTTTCATTGATGGCCATGTCTTGGATTCCGGTATCTTTGACGGTACGCAGATTGAGACAAGTGAAAGAAGCATCACGCAAGCATTCTACATCTTTCTTTCACTGAACCTGTGATTGGTCAAAATCAGTTTTTCTCTCGTAGGCAACTGCTTCTAGCAAGTTGATGATGATTGTATTTGTAAACAATTTACTTCAAATTATTTTGACGTAGTGTATTTTATATTGATGAAGGGATTTTATTAGGCTTGAATAAAGAATCCAGGCAGGCTGCGGCCATGTTGTTGGTTGGTATTATTGTTCATCGTCCATGGGTTTAAATTTCAGTGCAATACTGTTAATGCAATAACGTAGTCCAGTTGGTTGAGGTCCGTCGCCAAAGACATGTCCTAGATGAGATGAACACTGCAAATAAAGAAACTGTGCTGTTACTAATTTCATTTCTTCCTAATTATAGCTTAAAGTTTATTCTCTGCGGTAGCATTTATTAGATCTATTTGAAACATTGAACATTTAATGCACCTTATGCACTCACAAAACAATATGAGTTGAGATTCTTCATTATTTTTTGTTTCTCGTGCACTTATCATATGAAAAATGTGAAAATGAAATAAACTCGATTCTCTCTTTCTATCATCTTTTAATCCTTTTCTATCTTTCCTTGCTATCACTATTTTTCTTTCTACCTTCATTTTCTGCCTCGTCACACGAACCTTACTTATCATCCTTCCCTGACTTCTTTTCACTCATTTTCATTTTCCTCTTGTAACCATTCCCTTCTCTTCATCCCTGTGCATGGTTGCACTCGGCAATGTTATCACTCACCAAGATTAAAATCTCATAAACTTTTGATGTTTTCTTACCCGACTACATAATACCTCCACTCTCACCATCCCATGACTCTTATCTACTTTTTGAATGACTCTCAAATTGGGAAGCCCAAGCTGTTTCTGTTCTTCTGTTTGGTCATCTTCTATTGCAGACCAAAATGAAGGCCAGCCACTTGATGAATCAAATTTTGCTGAGGAGCTGATAAATATGAAGAATTGAATTTCAAGCAAGAATCCACTTAACAATCAGTAATGCATGTACACTTACTGAAATAGGTCCAAATCACAGCAAACACAACTGTATACACCATGCATTTTATTATCCAATAGTTCACCTGACCAAGGCTGAAAATAATGAAATTTTTTATGCTTGTCGGCATTTGAAAACTGCTAAGGGAGTAAATGCAATGCAATTGCATTTGTAAATTCCTTTATCACTTTATCATACCGGTTCGGTTCCTTTTTCTCGGCAAATATAATACTGTTGGGCAGTCAATCTTTTCATCCAATCATCTTCAGTCAAATTTTGGAATGGATTCCCTTCAAGGAATAAAAGGAACTTTCATTTCGAACTTTGAACAACAATGGTAAATAGAGAACGACCGATGTATTTCATAATAAAGATGGATACAATTAGATTGATCAATAATTGCAAAGAACAAAAAACCTCATTCCACTGAATGACTAACAGTTCATACCTGAATCTGAACGATATTTCATTGTCGTTTTAAACGTTCTAAAATGCCAACCACTTAAGGAGGGTGGTAATTTGTAAAGACGAAGACCAGTTTTGATTTTACAACAGCTTCTTTGGTCATAAAAATAGCAAAACGATGGCCACCAACGTTTGCTAAATGTTCCAACAAAACGACATCGTAATACTGCAGCCGCCATTATTACGTAAGTTGTTCAATCTATGGAATTTTTACTGATAGACCATTGAGGAAATTATTTAACTTATTGGCTTCCTAACTGGTACAACTTATCAAAGTTAGGCAGAAGGCGTTCTCAGAATTCGATTTAGAGACTGAAAATGTGGTAAAATATATTCCTAAATAGTTTGTGAAGGATAAATTTTTACTGGATACGAGGAAATTTGTCTGAATGTTAATTTATCGTGCTGTGGATCTAAGCCTTGAGTCTCTAAGATTTTTGCCGATTGTAGAGCAATATCTAAATCAATTTAATCATTCGTCCAAACATTAGCGTTTTGTATATTTGCTTAATGAAGGTAGTTATCCGATCAAACAAACTTTATATTTTAGTTATTGGGGAGTGAATAAATATTCAAGGTCAGTAGGGTAGAACTGAATATGTGTGTTTTAGCTCGGTCATCACCCCCAATTTCTTGAATTCATGTGCAGCATTGTACCTTTTAGCGAAAATTAACATCAGGGTCATGGGCAGCTCCATTGAAACTTCCAGACTACCCCACCCAGTAGACGGGTTGAACCTGTACTTTACTTTACCAGTAAGTAAGAACTTTATTTCAAGAAGAGAGCAGAAAGCAGTCAAATAGACTGATAAACTTCTGGCCCTCTTATCTAAACCATGTCCTCATTAAAAATAAATGTGGACTGTGGTGCTTTTCACCAATCACTAATATAATTCAATAGAGCTGACAATACAGTGGGAGTGTGGGACTAATATAAAAGGCCATTATAATTTTCTTCTTGTTTTCAATATTACCTCATATAGTCTTATAATATGCCACATTTATAATATGCCACATTTATATTTTTAACGGTATATATCTGTATACTACGAACATTTAAGTCTTTCACAACGGGACTATTCTCTCCAACATTTTCATGTTTATTGGGTTTCAATTTTCCACGCGTGACACAAAAATACAACAGTGATTTAAAATGTTATTATATCCTCAATTGTTCGAAAGGGAATTGGTAGTTGTTTGTCAATTGTAAAATGTAGTGTATTGTATTTTCGAAATCAAAACCGAAACGTAGTATGGGGTCTTCTCGCGTAAAGGCTTCTTTTCACCAACGCCTCATACAAAAGTTCTTGCAGAAGTGAAGTGATAGTTGCGATTTGAACATATTTTGCTTCACTTTTTCTCTAAACTTTTTACGCGTATATAGGACGAAGTCTTCAAAACATGAATCATCGCAGTGTATAAGAGATATGCAGTAAATAACATCTGCAAGTACAATAGAAAGTTTGTGCTATTTACTGATGGGTTTACGTATCAGCTGTTTAGGTGTTGATGAGTTCTGCTTGAAGCGTGGGAGTTAAAAACAAGGCTCAATGCTATTAATTGAAAATGTCTTCTTAATTAAGTTTGAAAAACTTTTTGGTCAGTCTTTTGCCCTCATCTCTCAATCTATCGTTTGCCCAAAAGAAGATGAGCGAGTTAAATGTCGAGTTCATGGCAACTAGCGTGAGCGTCCATATCTTCACTTGCACCACCCCATCCACAGATTTTACTCGACCGGTAAACAAGGCGAGAACCAGGGCATTTGGCAGATTTAGCAGAATAGTAGAAAACACGACAATTAAGTACATTTTAGCGAGTTGTATATCATGAAGGAACGAAACGGCTTTTTTCGGGCTCGTGGAATTACCAGGACCATGACTTTCAATCACAGACGTATTTTCCTCTATAGTAACCGAGTATGTATCCTGACTTTGGTGCATGGATGTGCGAGCTGCCCTTGAATTTAGCCCGCTATTTGCCACTCGATAGATTGATACGTAAATGAAAAATGTCCCTCCAAGAACCATCAACGATAGTGTGGTCACGAAAATTTGAATATCAACGCCAAACAAGGGAACAACTGCTGTAACAATGCAAACCGCCCAAAGGAAAATGCACGTCATGAGACATCGCTCCCTGGTGACGTTTCTCATGTGGAAAAACGGTCTACAAATGGATAGATATCTTTCGACGTTCATAACAAAAAAGGTCAAATACGACATTCCAGATAACATGACCGTAGACACGTGATAAATCATCTTGTAGGCGCATCGTGCCGTTTGAGTCATCTCTGCAATTGAATTGACCAGATGAAATGGATGAACAACCACGGTAACGCATAAATCAATGCAGCATAGCAGCATGATCATAAAATACGTAACTTTATTTCGTAATTTTGCCGTTTTCCAAAAAACTGACACGACGAGAGCGTTCAAAAATGTCCCGAGAACAGCTAAGATTCCATTTACGACACAACCAATTGCACTGTTCACGATATACGATGTGTTTGGTATAAGAACGATATAAGTTTCAAAACAACGTTCTGTCTCGGCCCTCACCAACGTTTCGTTGATATTCGACAAAGTGTAATTTAGCGTTTGGTTGACAGATAGAGTAGACATTGCGATGTTTATATCATCCGCGATTCCAGAGAAAATATAATATTGACAGATTGATGACTTACGTTTAATAAGGACTTTCCAGTCAGAAGTGTGTCCGCGTTGATATAATGCATCAATGAATAATCGAATAATTATGCACTGCGTCAGAGCATTTGTTAAATAACCCCCTTCCGATTTTTAAGATAAAAGCGGATATGGAAGATGTTGTTATCTCGACATCGTGCGCAATATTTTTCCAGAAATATATCACTTCATTGTCAGAAGTTTGGTCAAAGTCTAAATTCCGACTAAAGATCGAGATAAAATCAGTACAATGGTGCAACAAGATTCCTACATTGCATTCAAATGAGAAATGCAAAAGTTCTTGGAGAACAATTATAGTGGATTCCTTGGAATCTACCTACACTCAGACTTGTTATTAAAATTAATTGTTCGCAAGTTTTTGTTCGAGCAAGCAAAATTTAGATGTCAACTTATGAATGAATTCGAAGAACACAAATATCCTGACTAATTACGAAACTGCTTTTTGAATCAATAAATTAATCTCTAATTTTTTTGTGCTCAAAAATAATTATCTATCAACAAAGAAAACTTTTTGTAAAAGTTTATTATAAGAATGCGCAAAACGTCATTTGCCAATGTGTTTCGAATACGTAACGGAAGTTGCCAAAATTAAGATTTATTAGATATGAAATTTGTCCTTTCAAAATGCTATGCCATAAGTTGTTATGTAATATTACCGTGAGCTCGTAAATTTACCTTATTCTGCCATGTCTACAGCTTCCTGGATTTAATGAATGGCTGTGGCAGCCAGAGACAAAACTAGAACGTTAATTGGGTGTGTGCATATGCATATATTCAGTTGTGCCCTACTGATTTCTTTTGAAGGTGATTTAAATTTCAGAAGAAATCAGTTGGGCACAACTGAATAAATGATATACACCCACCCACCCCCCAATTAACGTTCTAGTTACGTCTCTGGTGGCAGCTACAGTATACATACCAAAAACTACAACACTGCCAACATATAAGTTGAAATCGATCAAAAGCAGTTGCGTATTGTTCTGTGTGTTTTCTTATAACTAAATCGCTTCCTTTAGTGGTAATTGGTATGGAATATGCGCAAGCTCACGATTGACTCGTTTTAGAGCCATATCGTGCCGTTTTACACACAACTCTTGTACTTGATTATAAATTAGACCAAATTAGTCTTTGTTCAATAATGATATGAGTATTATTGAACTTGAAGAAGGCATTCAGGTGGCTACTGTGCAAGTTGTGCCTCCCTAAAAGAAATTTACTAGAGCAAAGTGGCCAGGCCAGAAATATGCCTGGCGGAAAGCAGATTTTCATTATGAACATAATAGCCCAACATAAGACTTTTAATAAAGCCATTACGACAATAAATTAGAAAAAAAGGTAAAAAGTTTTTTTAATCATTTCGTCTTTTAACTTCAGATAAAAGGATAAACATTTACACGAGGCTTTAAATACAAGCATGTATTTACAGGTTGACATAAAAGGAAAGTAGGAAGCTTAGACGACAGGACAGAATGGAAACGGGCTACATATTAGAGAAGGTGCAGGGATATTGAGTTGCCTTGAGTGTTAAGAGAGGGCTTAAGATTAGATATGAGAATTAGGACTTTAATGAATCATAATTGTCAGAGGAAGAACTGAGAATTGAGAAGTCATTAAAATCAGCAGAGTGAAATGTTTTTCTTACATGAGAAAGAATTGCGGATGGTGGTGGACAAGAGGAAGGTTTCCCTGCGGGGCCATACCGATATTGGGGTGCGGCACCCTCCACCCACCTCCTTCCCCGTACGTTTATTACATTACGCAGTATTCGGAAAATTGAATCTTATTCGGTTTGCTTGTCTTTATGTATTTCACACGTAAAAGATTAGGATTTTGGTAAATGGAAAAATTGTATTTGTTGATTTCGCTGTGGGCCTTCTTGTTGAGCTTGTTTCTTAAATAGTTATCAGAGTAGTGCCAATAACGAGATGACTCAATTGAGACAATTCAAACGACTCGGACGCCCAAAGAATCAGACTTTAGCTGCTTTATGTCATGTTGATTTTAAGACTGAATTTTCAAGGCTTCGCCGACAACGAAGACAACATCTATGACTGGTTGATAAATTCGTAATCCCGAATTAACTGCAGAATTGCCTTTCCTGTTACCTTACCCCCAACAGTACAATGAAGACTAAGCAGAATGTCTGGAAAAAGTTAAATCTTAACATCCACTGATAATTCGCCTACCGCTATAGTGAAGCAATTATGAAAATAGTGGTGTTGAGGAGTTGCTTAATCTCTGTTCCATACACAAGCACATAACCTTCAAGCATTGATGCTGATTTTGAACTCTTTGTTTTTAAATGACAATCAAATCATTTGCAGAAGAGGCTGAAAAGATGCGTCATCTTTCATGACTGACAAATTGTATTTATCGACAAGTTTAAAACGCTCCTGTGATCGTTGCACAAAATGAAAGGACATTCAGTAAAAATCAGTAATCTTAAAACTGTTAAACAACCTTGCGCAATTTAACAAACGATTCTAGGCTGTTTTATCTAATGTTTCTTGAAATTGAAAAATATCTCACAGTCACTGATGAATTTGAATTTAATGACATTTTATAAGCGATTTATAACGTATTTTAATGAACATTACGATCTTGTATTGCATGTTTGATGACACATAATTTTGATTTTGTGTATTTTACTTTCAGTATTTTTCGTAAAAATACTGAGGCTGCCATTTCTTGTTGCAGGTGATTGAAGATAACGTACGTAATGACTTCATAAACATTTTGCTCCATCGGAACTTCTACTCGTTTACAGACATTGTGTATATATTTACATATAATAGCGATCTACTAATCATTTACAAACATGTGTATTTTTACAAATATTTTTTACAAACACCCGAATAAAATGACTCGTTATGAAAAACGTTTGCAGTCTGCACAACACAGTCAATGTGAAGCAAATTTACTAGTACGATTGGAAATCATCAGAAAAGGCGATGACGTGCAAAAAGAAACTTTTTACAGCTGTAAAATAGAAACCAAACAGCCGAAAGTTTTTACAAGGCAGGAACGCCTGGAAAGGCGCTACAAAATTGAACCTGTGGGGAGGAGTGGGGCTATGACTTAAACGTTTACTAAATTTTCTATGCTTCAAGTTAGGCTGAAATATAAATGTTAGCAAAAAATTGGGGTGTCAAGCCCCACACTTCCCCTTGAACTGATTTGTAGCATGATTTTTGCTTTGATGGTACTTGTCTAGGAATTTCACCCACGTGACATGTTGCATAAATTATAAATATATGCACGTCATTGGTTATTGGAAATTTATGGCGGATTGTTTAACAGTAATGAATAGACTCTGCGGTAACACAAGATCTATTCACGTAAAAAACAACCTTGGTTATAAGAAGAGAAGGATCTTGATCGGATCTACTATGGTCTTTGAATGTCAAAGGGATTCCTATAAAACGGAATTTACATCAAAAGTTGTTTCCTGCACTGAATCCAAACCACATGAGTATGAGATAGTTTTGGAAGACACAATTTTGTTTCCTGAAGGTGGCGGACAAGTAAGAAAGAACTCTTTGCACTATGATATTTTTATATTACTAAATTACTATTGATTTTATGGTAGCATGTTTATGCCTTGTAATGAAGTGGCGGCTGCTGACAAGAGAATAGGTAGTTATTGCCAGGGTATATGGAGATGGAATTTGCACTTTAGCTGTCTCACTAGCACAATGTTGCTAAGCATTCAAACAATTTATACATGAAAAATACTGATCATGTATTGTCATTGATTGATTTGGTTTATGTTCTATTTTGGTTTATATTGGGTCTATTTTCAAAATGTTGTAGCATTTCAGCTTTACATAATATGTAACAATTATTTTTCTGTTTTTTTCTTTTAGCCCTGTGATCAAGGAACTGTAAGTAGATTATGCTGGAATTAGTTGGAACTTTGGCAGGAATGTATATTTAGTATTCAAATTCTTTCTTTCTTAAAGTATCTTGAAGTATCATCATGCACATGTAGGCACATGTAAATGAAGTGTGTGAATTACCATATGAATATTCATTTTGCTTGTAAATATTGTTAGACAGTAGCATAGCCAACCTGCAAATTTGGTCCTGCTATGTTAATTTTTCTGTGTTCACTCATTGTAAGAACAATACATTTCTAAAGAAATGAATAATGGTAGTATTCTAAAATATACATAGCAGGACCGAAACTTGCGGCCTGGCTACGCTACTGTTGTTTGAAGTTTTTTTAATTGATGAAGTTTTAGTCTTATCTGCAGGGAGACATACAGCCATAACTATATTAAAAAAAACACCAGTCAATTACACAAATTCCCTATTTGTATTTTAAGAAATTTGTATGATCATGTTTTTTGTACTTATGTAGCCCTCAAGAGTCTCATTTTAATCAATTCAATGTCAACTTTTTTGCCATATATAGATAAATGATGTTCCTGTGTTTCAAGTGACCAGGCGAGGTGCTCTTGCCGTACATGTTGTAAAGGAAGAAATTTCTGTTGATAGTGAGGTGAAGTTGAAAGTAGACTGGACACGAAGATTTGATCATATGCAGCAGCATTCTGGTATGTTTATCACGTGGTTAGTGTATTCATTGTACGAACAAACACACATAAAACATGCTTGCATGAAATAACTTTCTTATTAAAACTCTCTGTCTATACTGACCAATATCACAAGTCAATGTATTTGTCTGATGATGTCTTTGGAATAAAGACGAAATATTACACCATCTTTTGATTTAAAACTCTAGTATCATCTTGAATATCAAGAAAACGAGATGCCTGTTTTTGGAATTTTATTTTGTTTCATGCTCAAAGGAAGGTTATTTTCACTATGTCCTTCACCTGGATTTTAAATTGGCAAAGTTTTGCAACGCCAATCTTTTATGTTTATCGTTATTCCGACAAGGTACATTTTCACGTCTTTAGCACGAATTGTTAATTGGTTAACTTTAAGGTCAAGGGATAGTTCCGACTGTAGAGCCTTCACCTGGTGATCGCAAGGTCCCAGGTTCGATACTTGTCCTCGCCTACTCAGCGTATGAGTAGCCTCGCCTACTCAGCGTATTAGTAGCGCAAATTGGGTAACCTGATCTGCGCGGTAAAGTAGCAGGGAGTCGAGAGTAGTTGTGGCGCTTCACCTCAGCATAGATCTCCCTTGTCTAGCGCTTAACAAAAAGGGGATACACTCCTTTGTTGCTCGGCCGTTATCGATTGCAGGCCACTTCGCAAACTTTACTTTTACTTAACTTTTCAGTGTTCTGTTGAAATACATATTGTTTGCGATTTACTGTATTTTACTATCCTGAATGGAATCACTGTAAGCCGTATAAAAACGCAAATGTACGCATGGAAAAGCATTGTTTGTTCTTGAAATGCCGGCTGCACGTGGATTGAAAGATTTGATTCGGTTTTTGTAGTTTTCTAATTACGTTGTTTGGGTCTTCATCGTCCGTTGTTTTGAGCCCTGTGTAATATTGACATTACTCAGCCTTGTTGAAAGTTTATATATACATAATAGTGCAAAGGACTTTGAATCACCAGATCTGGGGTTCACATACCTTAAAAAACTTGGTTCTACACGTTCTGTGAGCAACTTTTGTAGTTTGTCTTTGAACTACGAATTATTGCGTGTAAGGCGATCACTTTTCAATCCTCTGTCTATGGAGCGTTCTGTACTTTCTAGATATTTTTTTCAATCTACCAGCTATATTATTGCTTTGTTTCCTATATAGCCTGGGAGATTTCACGCTAGACCGATAGGATTTCCACATGGGATACACAACCTTAGATATTACACCGTAAACAAAAAGAAAGTCCTTTATACACGTAAACCGTGGACTGTAAACAAGTACTTACTTAGCCTATAGCTCATGATAGGTTATGTTAAAAATGATTTTATTTACCGAGAAGAAACTGGATGTTTGCCTCATCATACATGAGTCAAAATTGGTGTTAATGAAGAAAGGAAAGAACTGTTTGAAACATTTTATGATTCATTCGAATAACGAATTAAGAGGCTGTGTTGTTGTTTTTTTATGTAACATTGCACTATCCTTGGATCCCTAGTTTATTTATTCTACAATCTACATTTTGACTCGTTGGCATTTTTACGCCAATGGTCATCACTACATTTACTGTTCTCGTATTCGTTACGGCTACTGACGCTCTCCATAACATCTTTTAGGACAACATCTCATAACTGCGGTTATTGATGAAAAATATGGATACAAAACATTGTCGTGGTATGCTACCTACTAAAGTTTAGTTATCTTGCGTAAATTGACATTTCAATTTGTGCATGTTTTTTTCAAAGATAGCCACTGTACATACTGTATATAACATACAAAATCTTTGAAAAGGGAACTTGGTAAATCGAAGACGGCAATTGATCTGGATTGCTCGAAGTTAACATCAGATCAAATGGAAGAGATTGAAGAAGAGTGCAACAGAATAATCAGAAATCACAGTGATGTTAAAGTTCATGTTTACGAATCTGCAAAGGACCCGGAATTACAAAAGGTAGTCAGTAGTGTTGTTGATGGAGGTATATTTTTTCCTATAAAAGCATGTGCCTTGTGCATGCATTATTTATACATGGTTGGAAACTTCAGAAAACGAAAGTATCTTGGTTTTGGTGGCAAATACTGTACGTTCGTTTGTAATCCCAGGTTCGAACTCGTGGTTTGCCGGATGATCACGTGGGCCAAGTACGAGTTGTAGAGATTGAAGGTTGTTTTCTGTTGAACTTTGTCTTTTTTTGATGTTTTTTTTTATTTTAGTGACTGCCCTCTGTATATATGTGCAACTATCATTATTCATTTCTTTTCAAATGTTTTCTTAGGATTGGAGATGAATATGTGTTGTGGTACCCATGTCCGTAATCTTAGTGATCTTCAGGTAAATATCACTCCGTTGATTTTAATTGAACTTCCCTCAAAATCACGAAAACGGAAACCATCTTTTTGTATTCATACTAAATTAGTTAAAATACTTCAATACGCAAATATTCGTTCTATAGTTATTCTTTTGATCATGTACGTATGATATTCAGTTAAATTAAACTCGGAGCTTAACAACGTTTTTATTTATTGTCGTGGAATTCTTTTAAGAAATAACCAAGAGAATGCCAGTTGATCAATAATGATATGTAACATAGTACAAGAAGCAAACTCATTATCTCGAATGAGGTTTTACTTATACCTAGCCGGTCATTTTTTTGTTTTATACAGTTGTTTGCGTTCTTTGAACAAGTTAAAACGCTTAAAGGCCCGTTAACACGATCCGATTTGTCAGATCCTAAAAAACGGACTGTGGGAACACAAATAAAGTGAGCCTCCGAAAGTCGGATCTGTCAATCTAAAAAATCGGATAGAAATAGAACTTGCTCTATTTTCATCCGAAAAGATCCAAAGAAGCCAACTAGCTAAATTACATAGATATAAATATATGTCTCTTTGTACCTGTTTATCTTAGATGATCAAGCTTCTCCATACCGAATCGACCAAGGGATGCACTCGCTTGTTTTTTCTTGCTGGGAAACGAGTCTTGGAATTTGCACGCAAAGCATATGAGAACGAAAAGGGACTTTCGAAGATATTAAGGTTTTTCTCTTATTTTTACTCTAAATAAGATTAATGTATGAAAATGAGCTCTGTTGCCATGAGCTCTGTCGTCTTTATTGTAGTTGTGGTCCCGATGAGCATGTCGCCATGGTTGATAAAATGCAGAAATCACTGAAAGCTGCCAATAAGGTTTTGATATTGTTTAATTTCTGTTTCTAATCTTTTGCCGAAGTGATGATGACTGATTTAAGGAGAATATGAAATTCAATTGTTGATAAATGGAAACTAGATAAATACTTAGGTCGTGCAAGTTCTGCGTTGTGTTAGGAAAAGAAAAAAGAGATCAAAACCCTCACGCCTTATTTTACTATTTCAAGGCCAACCGACTGCAGTTACGAGAGTTAGCGTTACTTGAAGTATACAAGATTAAATCAAAGGAGAAGAAACCGAACTACGTTTGCATTCACAGGTTGTAGAGGATGTTTAATATCGAGGAAACGTCCTTTCTGGTGTTGAAATATAAATGCTGTTTAAAGTGCTGTTTAGAGGTTTGTAACAGAAATCATTGAGAATTATTGCCTATTTAGAGATGATGCCGACATGGAATTTATGAATGCTGTTGTAAATGGGTTGAACAACAAGGTAAGGTAACAATTTGTAATAATGTCTTGTTACGTATGGTGAATCGATGTTTCCAGTATTTTATTTGACTTCATTTTGTTTATTGTTTCAAAACTGCATTGCACAATAAAAATCACTCTGACTTACCTCTTAATTTCTATTCTCTATAGGACATCCTGCTTTTTATTACGTGTGGTGCTCCTAAAGGTCCTGGAATGTTTCTTCTGGCCGGACAAGAAACCGCTGTTTCTCAACTTGGTCCAAAGTAAGCTATCTACCTATAGAAGTTGTACAATTCAACGATGAAAGCTTATAAGTACTATCAACTATTTGCACATGCACGAAATAACCTATTCTTTCCTTTGTTTTGCACCTGAATCGGGTTAAATCATTGTAATTTATAAATCTGTAAAAATATTCTATCGCATTGTGTGTAATTATATGAGTATTAATTTTTATTTTTTTTTCTCGTCTGTTTTGTTTAGAGTGGCCTCATTACTTCAAGGTAAAGGTGGAGGAAAGAAAGGACGTTTTCAAGGAAAGGTAAGTAGTTTGGCTGATCGCGATGCCATTGAAAACCTTCTTCGAGAATATTTCCCCGAAAATTCATGATAAACCGATGGTGATGAACCTATTGAAAAGTGCCTTTTCAGTACCAGTACCCCTGTTTACACTACATTGCGCACTCATTTTTTCAACTTTCCAAAGAAAGAATTAAATCTAATAATCTTACAGTATATATCATGTTCAAGTTCCTAGAAATATATACTTTAGTGACAGAGCATGTAATGTATAATTAAATAATCAATCATAGAAACAAAATATTGTCCAAAAGTTCTAAACTCGCATTTCAAATATTGTATTTATGTGGATTAGGTTTTTGTTTCAAATTTCTTTATCCGTGGACTAATTGAAAATTGAGAAATTCTTGGTCGAGCCACTGTCAAATTTATGTCAATTGTCAGTTGTCTTAATTATAGTATTTTTTTAAACTAAAATATACGATATTTTTTTAAAGGTAAAATTAGATTGATAATCACTCGGGACACGCGAGGGCATCTATTTTGTGCGTTGTAATAGTTTCTCGAAATTGAAATAACTACCGCTCTTCTTTGTACACAACAAATGTACTGATTTGCACTTCACCCCCTCACCCAAAAGCATACTAGAACACCATTCTATAATCGAGTTTTTATCAACCAACCTCTCCCCACTGTGCGCAATTGTACATCCAGACGCCCTTCCCTCCAAACTCATCATGTTAATTTTCTTCCTGCCCCGAGGCTGGAGGTAAAGTGTTGACCAATTGTAGACTATCAAATATGTAAATATTAGTTTATTACACGCCCTCTTTAAATGGCAGGAAGATGTGTTAGATATTGAATTTTTCCTCGAATCAATAAAATCTAGGTTCGCGAATTACATGATTCTTAATTATTCGAACATTTCGAATTATGGTTTTTGTTTTTAATTGTTGCAGTTTACAGTAAGGCATAATTCAAAGGTAAACCATCTTTAGTAATATTATCTATTTATCTCATAGTACGTTCTATGATCATCTCGATTCGTCTGATATTTTTCTTTATTACATTGCTTATCTATCTATCTTGGTGCTTTTTTGTGAATACATATCTTCACAATATTTAAATAAAATATAATCCATATTATTGTTCACATTTCAATGCTATAGAATAGTACTCAAAACACTATCAGTTCTAACTGCATGCCAGGCCCGAACGGCCAAACCCCAACCTTTTTCCTTATCATAACTACATCATGAACTAACCTGATTGTTTTTGGCGGTCTTTGTGGCAAGCTATTCCATAATTGTGCTTTTTTTGTGCTTGTTAAGGCACTTTAACAGCTTCCTAACTTCACCTTTCAGTTTGAGCTCAGGCCATGCCTAAAGAATATCAATTTTAACATTTGTTGTGCTTGTCACTCACTGGAATTCTTATAACAATGGCAAGTCATTGTATCAACTATTTGCTAAATATATATCATCTAATTGATTCTATTGCTATTAAATTTGATCCTCTTCAACGGAGTAGGCATATCTTGAAGTTTATGTATCAACATAATATGCCTTAAACATATGTAAAACCCCTACAAAATGTTGATGGTTTAAGCTTTCTTTGATTGTCATGCCATGTAATTCAATAATAATCAACTTTCCCACAATCCACTATTAAATTTTTTAGTTAAACTATTTTGCTCAGTCAAATTTTTTGATAGTTTTTTGAGTGGTCATGGTTTGTCTATGTGCGGAACATGTGACATTTCAGATCTCATCTCATGGTATAAATTTTTTTGACTTGATGTATAGAGGGTGTAAAAATACCATGATGTCAAAGGATGACGATAAATGTTCTGAGCTCAATCCAATAGCACAAGTCATTCTTCAAGGTCTTTATGACAAGAATAGTCCCTTGCATCTTTTGGTTGGTCATCACTTCATTCTCAAAGCAATATGGCAAGATATTATAACTTACTACAAATCAAGGATCAAGTTTGGGAATGACTATGATATTTATTGTGTGAAAGTCAAATGGGGCCATAGTTACACAGCCTTAGATTCTCGTTCCGATTGGTTTGTCCATTTTCCACAACCAAGTGATATCAATATCAACATGATGCCATTTGTTATGGCAAGGTCATTCAAGGAATCTCAATTGGAGAGACATCTTCAAGAGTATTGGGATGAAATAATATCTCAATGTATTACGCATAAAGAATTGGGGAAAATTGGATATCTTACAATCCATGAAAGTTATGTGGAGAAAGGCAATTCTCAACGCAGGCCTGGTATTCACACTGAATCTCCTGGACTGTTGCTACTTCAGGGAGGCAAAGGAAGATTGCATACTACATCAAAGTTTTTTGGATGGGGACACGGTTTGGTGACCACCAGACAAGAGTTACAAGGAGGGATATACATGGTCTCGAATGTTCCCAACTCTTGTAAAGTATGGAACTGTAAGATTCTGCCACCAGAAGACAACTGCTCTCCAGATGCTGTTGGTGAACATGGTAACATTGAGCATCTTCGATCATTTATAAATGCTAAAAGTGAAATGATGCAGGCAAACACAATGTATTGGATAACAGATCGCACACCACATGAAGCTTTGCCTCTTGTTAAACAAACATATAGACAGTATGTGAGAGTTGTTACCAGTCAAGTGTCCTATTGGTATGAGGATCATAGCACAAAAAATCCTCTTGGTGTCCTTCCAGATCCCAAAATCACAACAATTGTTAAAGGATCGAAGTTTGATGGCACTTGTTATATTGCTGATTAATAATTTTGAAATGGTGCCTAATACTGAGATGGTCAATAACAACTGAGCCAAAAACACCCAAATAAAAACAAAAGTATTGACGAATATTGATAATTTGTTGTGTATCTACGCATTAAGTTTGTGTATGTAGTTAATGCATGATACTTCAAGGGAAATCATATGAGACCAGTTGCATAACACAACCACTTTGATCCTTCGTTAGTTAGCCATCGGTGGCCCCCCAGTGTTCCACTATAAAATAGGTTGAATGATTGTACTAATTATTTTACATTTCCTCTTTGTACAACTTGTGGTTACATAATGCAATTTTACGTATATTTTTAATTAGAGACAAATTGGCAAAAAAAGTAGACAATTCTAAATCTTTTGTAGACTATAAAAAGTCTCGTATACTTATGATAGAATGGGTACTTTAACATCCACAGCACAATTGTAACTAAAAACAAACAGTAACTAAACAAAAAACTGAAGAGCAGCAAAAACTGCGTTTTGAATGACCGGTAAAAGCATGAATGAGTTATTAAGAAACTATTTTGATTTCAACGGTCTTTTTTAAGAAAGTGTTTGAACTACCAAAAATTCGATGTAAAATAAGTCAACAGAGTAGATGTGTAAGTTAAGTTATTTTCTGTTTTAAATCACAGTTTATGCCTTATGAGACATTGTTTCGTGCACGAGTATACCGTGTATGTCAATTTGTTGAGAGTATACGTACGTCTAAAGTTTTCTCAAATGAATCTTTCTATTTGTTTGTTTACATATTAAATTGCAAAGTTGAATCGTATTAAGTAAAATTAAATGGTAATCGATTCTCGTCCGGGGCCCTAATGCTTGGGGGCCCTCTACACTTGACATGCAGAAAACCCCCAGTTACGTCACTGTATGAGACGTTGGTTTCAAGACAACATCGAGCTGTTGCAGCTTTTCAAAAGTTGCGTTTGTGGTCTATCTATAACTTGTTAATCGTTAAAGGGATTGAGTGATATAAAAAGTTTTGTTTAGTCTGTGGCTCGAATATTTTGCCATGTTGAAACGAAGAAGTTCAAACTTAATTTTGCAAATCGCTATAAAACGAACAAAATTAGCGATTTGCAACTACTATGAGCCTGAAAGAAAGAAGGAAATGTTAATAATTATAATCATCTAGCATACCCTTCTATGGTAATTGTCGGAATTTGTCGGGTACACGCGGAAATGTTTCCAGACATAGTGATTCCAGACAGTCTTTCACGAAAATAAAAGTAAATACGAGATGTAAACGTCAGATGAAGTGTAGTTTTTAGGATTAAAAAATGAATATATTTCCTTCTACATCTAATTTCTTTGCCGGATGCGATGCAGAAGCAGACTGCTTGACGTTTACAGAAGAAATTCCACGAAAAGAAGTAGAACAAATCGAGGTAAGAAATGTTGTGTAGACAAGAAATACGTGTTAAAACTATTGTGCTTGGTACATGGACGATAAGTATTGTCAAATAAATCTGTCTAAATATGGGGAAAGTGTGTTATGATGGCTTATCATGTGTGTAGCCAATACGCTGGAAGTTATCACTTGTAATTTAGGATTACACTGATCTTGTTTTGAACATCTGTGCCACTTAATGTCTTAGCAGTTGAGCTGTGACCTATTTCTCACTTATGTATCAAAAGTTATGTTTCTGGCAAGAGTCATAATTACTTGTCTATGATTTGTACTTGGTTAAACAATGCTTTTTATAGCTCTCTTCATAGTGCACTTTTCCTCGTGTATCATAGATAGTTGGACGTGGTGCCTTTGGTGTTGTCCACAAGGCAAAATGGCGTGGGAAAATTGTTGCTGTCAAAACTTTGGAAGCTGACAATCAGCAGAATGCATTTACAATTGAGGTAAATAATTGTAATGAATCTTGTGTGTCTATCTCATACATTTAATGAGCAGAAAATGTTATGATTCCATAAATACGTACTGATGAACAAACTTGCTATAATGCTATTGTTGTATTTCAAAATGTTTTTGACAAAAATTTCAAGGCACAGCAAATGTCAAGAGTGAAGCATCAGAATATAGTTAAATTATATGGAGTGGTGCATAATCCGGTGGGTGGAAATTATTTGTTTGTCTTCATTTAGTTTATCACTACTTCATTCTCACAGACTAGATGACTTGAATTGTACTTTAGCTAGCTACTTGATGTATAGAAATTCATTTTATTCTGAACTAGATTGGTCTGGTCATGGAATTTGCCGAAGGTGGATCACTTTATAATTGTAGGTTCTGTTTCTTTTATTCTCAATAAGTTGTTTCTTTAATTGTTGCACTAGGAAAAATATTGACGTTTTGAGTATTACATATTGTCAACTTCTGTCAGATGTCCTAAAAATTGGTCAAAATTTTGAGTTCATCATATTTAAAAGCTATTACTATATTCAAGAGCTATTAAGTCATACTGGATCTTTTATGTTGCTTTTTTATGTCAAGTGCTTCATGGCTGGGAAAACTGTGTTGCACGTCCGGAATACACTGCTGCACATGTCATAAGCTGGGCTCTGCAATGTGCCATGGGTGTTGAATATTTACATGGTACCAATCCGAAGGCAATAATTCACCGTGATCTTAAACCACCTAAGTAAGTGAATGTAAAGAGAGTTCATGCTGGCAGTATATACAACACTGAACACATGTTTGAGCTGAAACAATCCTTAAATATATGAATTGTTCTGTGATATATCATTTACTGTTACTTATAATGCTCTACAAGCATTCCAATTTTTGGCAAGAGAAGAAACAGGTCGATCTTTGTCTGGATATATTTGCTTAAAATGTTTCACTGTTGTTTTTTCTGAGGATTCTATTGCTCTTCATTTTGCATGTCTCTCTCTGAGTGAGAATATTTTCCATTGCTTTTTATAGCATTAATTCATATTGTGTTATATTTATAACTTATAACTTATAACATTGCTGCATGCAATTTATAATTGTTTCTACTCCAATGCCTCTATCAAATGATCTTTCGTGTCTTTCGATTAAGTAATGTCAATCTAATTTTGCTCTCTTACAGTTTACTATTGGATATTACACATACACTGTTGAAAATTGGTGATTTTGGTACAGCTTGCGATATGCAAACGTACATGACAAACAACAAAGGAAGCGCTGCATGGATGGCACCTGAAGTTTTTGAAGGTATATTTTGATGCACAGTGTCTGAGTGTCATGTTTTACACTATGAAAAACTTTCATTCATTGTTCATATTCAGTGCTAGAATAACTGATTCAAAAATATAGTTTGTCAATCTCCATGAATTGTCTTGCCCTTGTTCTTGTCAATTTATCCTGCTAAAAGATCATGTGAGGAAAATATTAAGTAGAGGCAAATCAAATAACTGATATATTTATAGAAAAAATAGTTTTGCTGTAGAATATTTTTGAAACACAAAGGATAGTGTGTGTCTGAAAACGGAGTACTGGCCTTAAAGACTGTTATCTCCTTTATTCATATAATGTTGTGTTAGTGTAGTTTGATACATTTTGATCAGTTAGAGAAGTAAATGTTTGTTTTAAGTCATCTCTTGCTAGCAAGTATTGATCCAATTAGCATTTCATGTATTTTAAAATGTAGAAATATTTTCGATTGTTTTGTACGTATATTGTGCATTAATTTGCAGCTTTTCACTATGCAAGCAACCACGTTTCCCAGTTGATTTTTAACATCAACCTTCGTAATTAATTCTTTATTCTCCATCTAGGGGATAAATATACAGAAAAATGTGACGTATACAGGTGCGGAAATAATTTCCTGTCTGACATTGATATTGCCCGGTCCCGTATATCGATCTTAATGTTAAATATAAGATTTTTTACATCTTATCGTATTCACTTATAAATGTTGTTTATTTTCAGTTTTGGTGTTATCTTATGGCAGTTGATATCACGACGTAAGCCATATGACGATGTAGGTGGACCAGCCCTGCGTGTCATGTGGGCAGTTCATCAAGGTATAATATTGCACCAGCTAATCACCAGCTAGTCTCTTGGGACATTTAGATTTTAGTCAATTGTTGAGGATAGAAATAGACAACATAGTTTAGTTCCATCTCAAATCTCGTGTCTGCCTTCACTGTACACTAAAAATGCCCTAAATTGTTGTGCTGCTTTCTTTAACGTAGGACGTCGACCTCCTTCAATACGAAAAGCACCAAGTCCCTTCAAATCTCTGATGACTCGGTACATACAAACTGATCACGGCATTCATTTCAAACTATCAAATTTTTATTGTCCTTTCAGAATTATTGAGATGAAATGTTCCACTTTTGTAGTTGTTGGCATAAAGAGCCTCAGAAAAGACCGTCATTTTCAGCGATAGTTCCTTATTTGAAACATTTCATGCAGGTGTGATTGTTATTTGAACATCTTGTAGTATGATCCTCGTCTTTCATTTTTTTATTTTCACCTAAAAGTTTTCCATACCTTGGATTGAGAGGAACGTTTTGAAAATACTTTTTTGTATAGTTTTTTAAAGGTCATCATACGCCAATCGTTTATCCTGAGAAAAAGACAGCTTCTTTTGTGGAAAACAGCGGGGATCCTTCAGAATCGTCCGAAAGTTTGTCTACCCAGTCTGAACCGGTGTTTCCCAGTCAATTGCCGTTTGAAAGTACAGAAAGAACATCTATCAAAGGCGAAACTACACAAAGCGATCCAGGCGATTTAAGGTTTGAAAAGTGCGAACTCAATCCTAGTGAATTGCAAACGCTCTCTGAAGAAAACGAGTCGAACAATGCTGATGGCACGTCAAGAGGCAAGAAAGATCCAAGCTCTGATATCGTTCATGAAAATAGAGCTTTTGCCCAGGTGACATCAGGTATTGACCCGTTGGCTTTGCAGTTCGATGATGGAAGGAATGCTGAAGCGTTAAACTCTCATTTTACGCAAGAAATTCCACCTGATATTCCCGAGCAAATCAACGGTGGTGAGAAGGAAAAAGGGTTACTCGTTCTTTTTCCCACAGACGATGCGAACTTTGACACAGAAGGAACCGTAGAACAAACTGAGATAGCTAGCAATCCAAATTTGGTAAAAATTCCATCTAGAGACTCGCCGTACGGAAGAGCATCTCCGATAAGCGGAAATGTACCTCCACACAACACACCCGTGATTGGCTCCAATAAAGGTGAACTGAACCTGCTGGATGTACAAATGGCTCTGAATCAAGTATTTAGCGAGGAATGTAATGATCACGTGGAGAACGGTCATGACTTTCAACGCTCACACTCAGCCGGTCAGGTCTCTTATGAAGGGCGGAAGGAACAAGTAACCAAACAGAGACACTATTCCGGTAAATATACATGTCTGTGTGATTCTAATTCTTTTCATGGCTAATACGTTGATTAAACGACTTAAGTTAAGATCATACCAATATTAATACACTTTACTTAATACATTATTGAGTAATATATTTCATACCATGGTGAGTGTTAAATCGAAAAGTATCGTACAACACAACATTGTTATCCAATATGTTATTCAAGTGTATTTAAGTTTATTAAGTTACCACGAGCAAGTCTTCGTTTTTGCAATACACTTCACGAATTCATAGCTCGTTGATTTAAAGTAATAGTGCACAATCGTGAATGATCGTTGAAAGTGCTTCGTCCTGTTACTAAAATGTTACGCCTGTTGCTGTTGCGTATGTTGTCATCAATTGACAATCTGTATTTATAGTCACACGAGCTTCGTCTTTCAGCGTAGCTGCATTTTGATGTGTGTTGAGGTTGACATATTTTGAAACACTTTCAATTCCACATAGATGTCACTCCACGTGAAATAAAACGTGAAGATTTAAGATATGTTGCTGATCTGGATCCCCATCTACAGGTATGTGTTGAAAATGAGGCTTAAGTTTGTAAATTTTATACCTAAGCACTGGAAACAAGTATAAAAAAAACAACAAGAAAGTACACGATAAGGGACGACAGCAACAAGCGTTTTTGGCTATACTGCTTATCATGACATAGAACTTATCCTTGTTCACGTAAAGATTTCAGTTTCATTCTTTCTCACTTTTTATATTTCAGCCAGTAACTCCTATTTCCGGTAACGACGAATCAATGAAGTTATTTGAGGAGCATATGCAGGTAAAAAAATTCAGTTTTTGTAGTTTTTGCATTTCGTATGTCTTGCTTAGAACATGCCAAAAGCGTGTATGTACTTTCTAAATTGGCAGATTTAATGCCATTCTTCAATTACTTATTGTACATTGGATAATCGATGACAGGCATTAAACTTGTGAAAGTGCTAATGAAACGAGCATTTGATATTGTATTGACTATTATTATTATTATTATTATTATTATTATTATTATTATTATTATTATTATTATTATTATTATTATTATTATTAAAAACATTAGTATAAAACTGACTACATAGCTGTATGAAAAAGACTAGTATAATTGCAAAGATACGTGTGTTATAATCATACATAAAGATAATTGACAAGACATTATCGAATGATAGTTGCTTTTCTTGAAAATTTGATGCACTTTTTTTTTCATTCTCAAGATATTGATGTAAGAGAACTTGAATTGTCAGGTCAATTTGATACGTTACATCAATCTTGCCGAGTTTCTTTTCATTCTCAAGATATTGATGTAAGAGAACGTGAATTGTCAGGTCAATTTGATACGATACATCACCAGAGTTTCTTTCTTTGTGAAGAGTAAATGACAGAGAATTTTATTCAAAAGGTTTTTGCAAAACTTGCGACGAAAGTGAAGGAATTCGAAATTTTGCTGAGATAAATGTCATGCGACTTCACCGTCACAGTTTAGGAATGTCTGCTTTCATTAAAAGTTCTCCATCAAAGTGTTTGTTTCATTAGCACTTTAATTGGTAACATCTGATGTTTTGTTGAACATTTTTTTAAAGTCCCGCGTCCATTGTTTAACATTGAACCACCTTTTTTCTTTTCATTGAAGTTGGCTCAAGATTATCTAAAGCTGCAAAAAGAGATTGAGCGACATTTGCAGAGAAGGTGCGTGGATGAAGATTGATTTATATTTTAATAAATTTCGAAACAGTGGCGTCGCCAGTTTTTTCGGTTGGGCGGGGCTAAAGCTAAAACACAATTTCTTGGGAGGGGACACACCGAAATTTGCACTGTGTAGGGAAAATACAAAATGATAGTTCAAACCAGGTGGAAGGGGAAGAGCAAATATTTGCGGGGGGGCACCAGTTCCCAGACAAAATCCTTAGCAATGCCATTGATTTTAAAATCGGACATACCAAATTCTTTGATAATTTTCCATGTTCTTGACAAAAAGATGAAATAAGATTCTTTTAAGTGCAGTAAAGATGAACAATTAATTTCATCATTTCAGTTTCTACTTTAGTTCTTTACAAGAATTGTTTTGTTTTAAAGGTCAACTCTCTATCACGAATTAGAAATGTACGAAAAAGAAGAGCAGTCGAGGGCAAAAAACATTGAGAAGTTTTCCCTTTTAAAAAGCGAACAGGTTCACATATACATATATTAGTTTGTATCCTCTTGTACCTCATATTTAATAAATGAATAAGAGTGTTTAATGACATTTTAAGGTGTTTTTGACGTCATAAAACATAAACTACGTAAATATCAGTAAAAAACAGCGTCACCATTTTTCTTTTTCACTTTCTAGGACAATTTGAAAAGTCTTCGTGATGAGCTCGAGAATGAATTGGAGAAAAAAATGCATAGGTATAAATAAAAGTTCATACAATACGCATCAACCAACCGCCGCCCATAAGGTTTGCGTACCTGGAAAGGCCATTTACTGTTTATGCAAGAAAACTTCGACGCCATTTTGTCACATCGCCCAAAGAAGACACCTGAAGCAATTGGCATTGTCGCACAAATGGCGTTTTCTCATACATATATTTATCAACAGGTTGATTGAGAATGTCGCTATATGCGTTGCTTAGCGTGCATGTATACATTGAAAGGCAGAAATCATCCCGTGTTGAACGACATTTTCTTGCGATGCATTCTACTGTAAAGCAACTCGTTAAAACAAGCAAGTGGGCACTATTTTTAGGTTTTAAGGAGACTTTGTTAGATCAAAAATTTTCTCGGTAATAATTCTCACAACGTCTGGTGAAACAACTGCATTCATGAAATCTTCAACACTGAGTTCCTTCGTCCTCGTTTCTTCTACTTCATTGCCTCGCTTTGTATTTCGGTTGTAATAGGCCACCACAGCTTTTCGACACAACCTTAGGCTCTCTTCAAATGACAAATCTTCCTGTATTTAGGATAGAAAAATAGTTCCTGATTAGTGAGTACAAAAGACACAACTGGAGTTTAATTTATTTTGACCTCTCTCATAGATGGAGTAGCCCAAAGTTTGTCCCTGCATGTTTTGTTGTCTTTTGATCTTAAAGAACATATCTAGAAAACGATACAATACTTTTATAGTACCAAATACAAAACATTTGCTTAAGTGTAAGTATTTGTCATACTGGATGTTGCATTTTGATGGAAGAAAACATGTCAATTGTTTGACCGGGAACTATACGATAATTATGTTATGTTTCACGCACGTTGACAATTTATTACTGACAGATTTTGTAAATTCAGCAGTTATAACGATTTACACTTCCAATGGTGCATTGAAATCGTTATGGGGTCAACTTTAGACAAAATCTTTAATAAAGTCAAAAACCAGCTCACGTACAATCGCTCTTGTTACTGATTCCTCAACACGATCGTAGTCGTCTGAATCCTGGATTTATTACATAAATATTAGCAAAGCACATATATGATAATGTAATACAATGGTGACTGTAGCAATGAAGACTTAACTATTTCCATCCAGGTGTTGATACTAATCGAGGTTTCCAAATTTTCAACATAATGCCACCAATGTTTTGGAATAAAAAGTACATTACCAGGTTCGAGAATTACCTGATTAGCAAAAATACGAAAATCAAGCTACATATGTTTGGTGCCTGAGATTTCAGTGATTGTTTATGTTTGGGATGGTCTGGGAAGTGTTTCAGGAGAAAACTTTCGCTAACAAAATTTTGAATTTATAAAAATATTTCAATGTGTAAAATATTTCGCACATATTCTTTTGTGCAACTTACTTGTGTTCCCTTGTAATACGAACGTAATTTGCTACAATTTGCCATACAGATCTGAATATTTTTTGTTTTTGATCCCGAAATATACTTAATGCACTGTCTACTAAAACTAACAGAGACGATGCTACAAGTGTCTTCATCACAGCATTGTTTTTGACTTTTCTCATGGAAAGGTTTTTAAATTCAGTGTGCAGCCATTATTACCTCGTGCGCCCTAGCATGTTGAAATTTGGGATATTTTGTTGTATCAGGATTTTTAACATTGACTTGACTGAACACGCTTGACTCTTCATATGGTATGCGAGTGGGATAGAGGAACTCTCCCTGTTCAGGTGGAAACAATAACCACCTTTTCCTGCCATAGATTTGTGCAACCAGATTACATCCATAACTGTCATAATGGCATGGTGTAAACGACTCGGCAGTGCCAAACCACAAGGCTGAATGTTCACCGTTTCTTTCAGGAAAACCAAGATATGACCAATCAACTTCATGGTGCTTTTCAGGACATTTGACAAATAATTCTTTCATGTATTTGTAATCTGCATAGCATGTGTAATCTACACTGCCCATGAAAAACAATAGATGTTAAGAGCAGCATGTGAAAGTTACATAGTCAAGGCCTCGATGAAAGTTACATAGTCAAGGCCTGTGGGGCCTGAGGCCAAATTTTCCTAGAGCCCTGTGACATCATCAAACCTTAGCCATTGCATGAGAAGTACATCATATGGATGTAGTTTGATAACTTTAATGACAAGTAATATCAACATATTAAGTGAAAATAAAACTAAAATCAATTATTTCCTCAGTTATAGATTATCTCTTAAATCATGAGCCCGCTTTAAGCAGGTGGCCTATGGTAAAATGCTTCCCCTGTCTTTGCTTCTTGGTGGAGCTATACTTTTAACCAAAATTATATGCTGAAAGTTTTCAATTTTACCATGACATGAATATATGTTACAAGTACAAAGGGTATAACAATGTGCCCTCCCAGCTATCACCATAGTAAATGGTGACTCCTGCACTTGGGACAAAATGTACTGTTGCATGTTACATTTATGTCACATTTATATATGTTACATGTATATGTTTCATGAATGTAAATATGTTACATGTATACATGTTAGATGTTTATGTTACAATTAAATTATATGACATAGTTAACAAATAACTGTGACAAAATGAACTGCATATTATTTGGCATTCATTTCAAATGCGTTGAATATGCATAACCACCAATCCCCAACTTCTGTTGCTTGTACTTTGCTCTACCTCTAACTGTACCGACTTTCCTCTGCCACTAACTATCAAAAGACATCTTAATGAGCCAATTCTCTAAATCTAACAACTCTCTCCGCTTCCAAAAAATCAAATCAGGAAACTTGATTAGGATTAGTGAAACAGCATTATGCCTTATAGGTATGGTGTTTTACCTTTTTGAAGAAACTGCGCAAAAGGATTATTATTCGGCAATTTCTCATGATCTAAAGATAACCATTGGTAAAATTCGCTTATGGTGGCAACGACGTAATCGCATTCGGTTTCCATCACAGCTTGCTTAGCTGGAAAGCGATACTTCTCAGAGGTAATACGCGGACATAATCGAAATCTTGTTCGTACATCAAACAAATCTTTCGCTAAACTTTTAGGCGTCCAATTTAGGCATTTCCAGGAGGTTATTTGGTCCAAAAATATGATCGGTTCTTTAGCCAACTCGAGGATGTAACGTCTTAAATGTTTATCAGACAAATTAGTGTGCACACAATCAACATCTTGTCCCTTTCTTCGTTTTCTTGAACTGACACTGCTTTCTAACATTTTGACGTATAAACAAGAATATATCATCTACTAGTAGACACAAACCTTTGTCTGTTTGCCATCAAAGTCATTGAATAAAGATAGAAACTATATGAAAACAAAATAAGAGCCAGTGTATTCTTGATAAAGATAGAGTTGAAGGTTCAGTTTTGCAACTTCTACTCCCCCCCTGCCGTTGTTTTAATACGATGGTTTCAACCAGATGGTTCTTTTCAAAACAGAATATCAGTTAAATCTTCTTTGGCTGATAATGACCATACTAATGAACAATTGACAATCAGATCTTTATTTATCGTTATGGTGACCAGGGATAGACGAGTTGAACTGCTGAAGGGTCAATAGTGTTGCATATTTTGAAACGTAGGATTTCAATTACCATAAATCGGATTACCGCATTGGGTAAAATTGGTTGTTGCCATCAACTCATCACTATATTGATAATCCACAGTATCAACTTCTAAGTTTTCTTGATACCGGATATTAAACTTTTTCAAATATAATATTTTTCTTTTAGGGCGTGTTGTGTGCATTCTCAAATTCCATTATATCTTTTTGACAACAACCTTCATGTTATCTGTGAGCTGTTGACATAGCCATAATTGTTTAGTAGATTAACAATAGTTTAGATAAATATGATCGCATTGACGAAGGCAACAAGAAAAAATTTTTTGTCGCACTAAAACGCCATGTCAAAAGACGCCACTTTGTCGTTGACAGTTTTTTCTCCAATCCTCACAAAGAAAGAGTTCATTTCCGGTAGTTATGTTTCATAACGAGGGCGAGTGACGCATGCACTTAAAGAGCGTATTAAAATAGAGAAACCACTAATAGAGGGAAATATGAACATTAGCGATTATAAGTATGAGGAATATTGTTGTTTGAGCCACAAAAGCCTTATAATAGATATTCGGTGTCATGTTGTCACTAAATTATTACTGGCAGCTATGACAACATGCACACCTTTTCATTTGTAGGTCAACAAAAATTAATAGTAATTCCTCAGCGTGTGTTTTTTTCATTTAGCGAACTTATCTGAGGAGCATATGCTGTGGCATTGTGCCTTCCGATGTCAATGATGTTCCATTACCTGAAATAAATGTTTATGACTGACAGATACGATAATGCCTTCTTTTATTTGACCAGATGTCAACAATTTTTCATTTAGCACAAGGAGTTCTGTTCGCCAGAAAGTTGAAAATCTAAAACTGGATGGTAAATGAGTAGACTAGTTGGCTTAGTGAGGGTAAATCGTTTTTTATAAAGCGTAGACTAATAGGAACAGTGAATGAAAACTGTTTCTATAAATACAAAAGAAGCAGTTTGCAGCCGAAATTCTTTCATGAATTCATTAACACAGAGCGGTTTTTAAGAAGTGAACAAAAGCCTTTCGATCATCACAAGAGATTAGCGTAAACGGCTAAACAAATTTGTTATTTATTATATCATATAGTATAACTTGAAAGTAGCGAAATGAAATCTTGCTCAGTGACTTGTGTTTTTCTTGCTTTATCGAGTCATACATTCACAATATAATATTGGTTCTTGTACTTTAGAGTTGACTCAATAATGGCTGCTATCGTCACTTTCAGTTAGAGAAAAATATCGAGATCTAATGAAAAGATTCGCTTTTGATTTGATTCAGTCTAATTTAAATTCTCTTTGTGAGCAATATTTGCCCGTATATTTGCAACAAATCGATCATTGATTACAAAAAAAAGAGCAAGCCGTTGGCACATCTCGAAACAGTGAACTTTAAAAAATCGGATACCTTTTGAAGACATTAAGAAGGAAACTGACTGAACGGCAACCTGCAGCCTCGTTGAGGTTTGTTGCGTGGCTAAAACCACTCCCAGGTAATGAAACCAGACAGCTGTTTGATGCGCATGCGTAATTGCGTAAAAATGCACGTGTGAAAAAAGGAAAACAAAGCTCTATTTATATTGATTTTAGCCATTGTGTGTCATGTCAGTTTACGATTTGACCACGGAAGCTTTGAGGGTCTTGTCAGCTGATGATTTCGCTTGGATAGTGTTAACAATTCCTTGTATTTCTTCATTCGAATATGTTGGATTGTGCTGTTTTACAGCTTAGAAACTCAGTACAAACTTGTGGACGACAGACGTTAAATCATTTGTACAATATACAACGTACGCCAAGACAATCAACTACAACTTTAAACAAGAAACGCAGAGTGCTGGACTTTTCTCAATGTATTTTGAACGGTGAAAGTTCGAAGCTACATCAACTAAGTGATGAAGTACTTGTTTATATTCTTGAATATCTGGACGCTAGGACTTTAGTACGGCTTAGTAAGAGTTGTCGATTATTTCATAGACTCTGTCATTCGGATGTTGTATGGCGTCATCGCTGTAAGGTAAAAGAATTTGTTTTATACACAGGCTTGCTCTATATTAGATCGAACTGAGTTTCGAATTGCTTTATTGCTACTTTTGCGTCAATTTCAACATTCTGATCGAGTTGAAACATTCAATGAATTTATAATCAGGCATATTGCATTTCGGCTTTTGTGGAGTTTCCTCTGAGTCTTACCGACTCCATGTTTGGAATACAAGCGTTTCATTTGTATTGAAAATAATAACTATGCATTATCAACCTGTTCGATGGTCAACTGAGATAAAGCCATCTTTTTATTATGCTTGAAACGTGTTTTTTTGTTGTTTATGTTTAATTCCAATTCTCCGTGACTACATGGGGCAACGAGGTTGTCGGGTTTTCTTCAATAATATTTACTTTTGCTTGTCTTATCTATAATTCAAGAACTTTCGTCAAGGTAAGATAATGAAAATTCATTTCAACGTAAATATATGCCTTTCGAAATACTGCATTTCTATGTGCGTTCAGCGTATCTTTTAAAGCGAAAAGAACTTTAGTAATTATTGTTATAGTCATAATTACAACATGTTGCTATTCTAAGCTTACGAAATTCTTCTCCGTTCTTCTGATTCAATTCACTGTAGAAAGTGCATTTAATAGGTTTACATGAGATCTTCGCCAAAACGGCGAAATATTTATCTCAATGAGCAGTACGTTTTTTCATCTTTCAGAATGACATAAAATATCTTTTAAAATATCTTTGAGCTGTCTGCGACGGTGTATTGTATTTCGGTATTTTGAACTCCGGAAAAAGCATATTTATGGATTAATGCAAATACAACGACATGTTTGGGTTTGATTTATTTCAAGCTTTGTAAATCAATCAAAACGTGAGTCGAGAACACTCACTCGTTTTCCTTGTTTGTTGTTAGGCTTTAGTTTTTCCACATTCGTACATGAAGTAATTTTCGTTGTATTTAAAATATTTCATATTCTAGCATCACAGCTTGCTTGTTTATGTCTGTGTTTGATTTAGAAAAGGTTCGAATCAATTTTGCAACAATCTGCCACATTACTCGCGTTCTTTGACGTACCCTGCAGGAGAGCGCAACCGCAATACACGCACGCAATACGAGATAGTGGCGAATAAATGAATCGCGTTTTGCATCAAGTTATTTAAAAGCCTTGCTATAAATTGACATGTGTGCCTCGTACCTCGCAGGTATCTTACGTTTATTAAAAAACGTTGCTTCAACAAAGCACAGAATTATGTTAAGGCAGTAATTTTACAGACGTGCTAATTTTAAATGTCTTTCAATGTTTTTTTTATTGGGGCTGCTCTCGTTTCAACACCAATATGAATTTCTACTTTTCACAAAAAAACAAAGCGTTTTTTTAATTTTAGATAGAAGACATTTTAATCAAATATGCGAACTAGCTAATTTGCCAAAGAAAAAATTCAACCTTGCCAATTGTGCAATCTAAACTGACGCGCCATTAGCCTTCCTAGCCTTGTGTATTCTTTGTTTAAAAACAGTCAACTGAAAAAGATCTTTTTTCTTAAGCCACACAAATTATCCTGTCATGTGCAATTATATAAAATATCATTAGAACAATATTTTTTGTATGCCTTGCTGTTTTAGCGTGCAATATCAGTCATTCAATCACAATGATACTCGACTATATTGCAACGTTGCAACAACAATACGTACTGTTTGTTCATACATCGAGCGTATAATATTAGCAAGAATATTCCTAGGTTTTTTCAATTGGTTTTATAAGAAAAAATTTCTTGACCCATACGATAAGCTGGTTTGGTGTTGGGATTGCTATTTCAAATAAGAAAAGATTTCTTTTCCATAAATTCATCTATGATGATGACTTCCAAATTAGAGTTTATCTACCGATATGTATTGTTTGGAACCTTTTTCTTTCAAGGGCTTCTTTTCCTGTTATTTCGTATCAATTCTATATAGGGTGCGCGTCATCTGCACGAACTATCGCTCTTTGTATCGATCTTTGTATCTCTCTTTAAAAAAATATAAACAAAAAGATGGTGTCTAAGACAGTCGACACATGACTGCATCAGAGATCTTGTTGATGGCAAGAAATTTGATTTGGAGTAAATTAGTCAGCGATTTATCCCCACATGAGTTTGAGCATGCTAAACATCCTTTGCGTAAACATCTGACTTGAAAGAATTTGTCGCCAGATTATGAATTTCAACTTTCAAGTGTCGAGGTGTTCTTACGAGATTATGTCTTAAAAGGGATTAAACTCTCTCGAACTGAATTGAATTTACGGGAGTCCGGACGTTGAAACAACATGAACAGTGAATAGTTTTATTTCATCATTGTTGGCAGTATTCATATCGAGACTTTCATATTTGCTTTGCCATGGCACAAAGCTTTTATCTCATGCCAGATCTCATTTCCCCTTTCTCATTAACGCAAGGCAGCCGCTCATGACTGAAGAATGAATGGCTATATTGAATGTGAGCCTTTCTCTGTTTGAATACCGACATTATAAACAAACGTGTTTCTGTTCGAAAATGAATTTGATTGCTTTTTTAAACAAAAAGATGTCATCTTTATGGATGTCATTTAGAATGAAAATACATCCCTCTACACTTGCGCTTTTTTAACAAATGACCTCTTGAATTCTATCATCCACTATATTCCCTGTGAGATGCTTGTAAGCAAGTTTTCTGTTTCGTTATATTTTTCTTCTAATAATAAGATATCATTCGCAACACAATTCTTTAGTTATGTATGAAGAAAATATAGGTCGTCGCCTTATGTACATAACACAACCATTTTAGTGCTTATTTTGTGAAGACTGTTGGCTTTGAAGCTTTAATTCAGTTTGTTCTCCATGAAAAACATTGATTGAACACCACGAAAAGAGCTTTCATAAGCTTTTATTCTTTAATCTAATCGTTCACTTCACGCACACAAGCTTAGGCTCGTAAAAATTGGCGTAAAATTTTTAAATTTTCATTCAAGATTTTAGCGAATCAAAGTGAGAAAACTAAACTAATGAATTGCAAAAACGTAATTTGTATGTCACGATTTCGATTGAGCATCTAAAACACGGCAGGGGGTGGTGGTGTTGAAGTGAAATACTATTATGCGTCTTTATTTTTATCTTATATGTTCATTTCCATTTAGCTCCTGCATGTAGTCATGAATGTTTTCTTATTTCAGGTGGACTTTAATCTATACGTCAAATGGACGGAGTACTCTTACCTGTATTTGTATGAACTATTTTGGAAAGCTAGCGTGTTGAAAAACAACCATAAGTATTTTAGGCCAGTAAGTCAACTGAAAACGTCTGTGATTGTGTGGTATCTAATTAGCGCTGAGCCTCCAAGCAGCAGTGTCAGCCAGCTTACGGCTAGTCAAGCTAAGTCCATATGGGGCTTATCCGATTCAGATTTGGAAAAGATGAATAATGAACACGATCATGATGGTGAGATCTGGCAAACCTGTACAAACTTAGATAATTTCTTTATGCTGTAACAATACTTTACGGACTGGATCTTCAGCTTGTCTCATTTAGACTCTCGTGAATTGGCTGTTGTGTGTTTATTTAGCCGATGCAACTTTGGACGTAAAAACTGACGTTCAGTGTTCGAAATATTCCCATCCCTTAGATTTAATTTACAACACGTGATTGCGTTTTGACGTCACTTGTTGGAAATGAAGATCAACACATTGACAAATCAGAAACCCTGAATTTAAGATTCAATAGTGTTCATTTTACTCTCTTTAGATAACCTCTTCAATCACAATTACTACGACTGGGAGGAACTGTACAAGTTGTTTATAGCCAAACATGGAGGTGTCAAGTCAATGCAAAACTACGTTCTTCGGCGTTGCTTACGAAACAGGCAAGCTCTGGAAGAACACTATCAACTATCACTCCATGCGTCGCGACAGCAGAAATGGTATCAATTCATGGACAATCGTGACACTGGGGAGAGGTTTCTCAAAGCAATCACAGAGCATATGCCGAAAGCCACGCCTAGTTACATGTTACATCAGGTATTTAAAAAGCTGTGTGGTCACCTGTGGGCCATCTATTCATTTCATTGTGCACTTTAAAATCTGCAAAATCTACATCGTCTGTAGCGTTGAGATTGATTATTATTTAATATAAATATTATAGATAACAGCCATGTACATCGACGGTCGTTTGAAAGGTGGATTTGAGACTGTAAAAGCATACGCTGATTTCTGCCATTATTTTAAGACATGGCTGGAAAATAAAAGTTTGCAGCTTTGGCCACCGAGACAAGGGCAGATGCTTATCGATGACTATAAGGATTGTTTGAAGTTTGTGAACAAACAGGTAAGTCAATATGGAATGCATGCATATGATATTTGCCAAATTGTTGTCAAATTTTGTCCTTTTTTACCCATGAACAGATATCAGGTGTTGCTCAACATGTGGAGCTTACACTGAACGATTTCCTCAGCAAAGCTAAGCCGTTTATTGAACGAATACACGAAGTATGGCAATGGCAGAACAAGAAAGGCCCAGCTTATATGAAGGAGCACCGAATTTCTAGGGCTGTTACGGAGCACAAGAGTTATAAGTAAGAGTTCTTACCAGGCAGTCGAATGCGTAAATTAGTACACTCCCACACTCGCTTATGAGAACTCCCGTCATTGTATTGTTAAACGAGGAGAATTGTCGAATATTCAATGCAAGTCTAGTTTTGAAAGTTATGGTTGAACTTTTGTAGGTAATTCTAATTTCTTTTCCTTTGTAGGAGGTTTTTGGAAACGGGAAATTTCGCAGATTTTTGTCAACTGAAGCAGTTCTTTGAAAGGCTAGAGATTGTAGTTGAGTGGTACAAAAAAAATGAATGGCTTCATTCTTTGTTGCAAGACTACTGTACTAGAGCATTACGACCTGCTCACATGTCGACAGAGATAGCACCTTCACCTCCACATATACCGACAGATCCAATCTCTTTCTTGGTCCATAGGTAAGTAATTTTACCTTTTTTCTTGCGATTCGTGTATATGCCATAATGCAGCAACATGGTCTTACAAGTTACACTGTTGGTGACATGTGCTATATTAATATTCAATAGATTAAAAGTAAAACGCATTAATGTTTCTTAATTAATGTTGTCCGCAGCAAAGATCTTACAATTATTCTGCATTTAAGAAATAAAAGATGTTTACTGTGTTTGCACAAGCTTATGCAAACCGAGGAGACCTTAGGGAGAACTCGAGTGCAGATCAGTGCAAGCGTGAGACCGAAGGTCGAGGGTTGCACCTGCTCGAGAGTTCTCACAAACGTCTCAGAGGTTTGCATAAGCCAGTGCAAACACGTAAAACATTTTTTATTTCTCTTATAAAATAACAATAATGCGAAAAAGACAAACATTTTAATTTTTCCCCAAACATGTATTCATGATCGATTTTCAAATTCTTATTGACTGATTGATTGTTTTGATTGATTTGATTAGTTGAGCTCAGATGTGCTTTGCACAGGCTAATGCAAACACAGCTCTCGACTAATCTGCGCACGCGTTTCATTGTGTTTATTTTATAAATTTTTTGTTTTAGGTTTTTGGAAACGGGACTTAAATCGGACTTCAACAAACTTAGAATAAAAGTAGGCGAGTTAAGCAGCATACAGTTAGATAATTTAAACAGAAAGTCACAACAGTTACGGAGAACAATCGCCCGAGATTTGAGGACGCGTGATAGTATATATTCCAGTGAGATAGACGCTCCGGAATTTGCACATTTCCTTTATACACCAACTGTAGATTACCGTCTTTCTTTAAGGATTCCATCCATTGACGTCGTAAATGTTGATTGATTTTAGAATACACGTACTTAGTCTTAAAGTTGCTCACTTTTAAACTTCACGGCCTTAATTTATTATTAATTATTTGTCATTATTCATACGTTCCAATCACGTGAGCAAAGTTTCGAGTCGGTCAAATTCTTTGGTAGAAAACTGATCACGAGAATTCGGAGAGAAAAGGAGAACGGAATATATTAGGCCTGAAAATCTAGAGAAATATCAGCTTTTTTCAAAACTGACTTTAATATCACTGGGGGACGGTTGTACAAAACCTGGATACTGTTATTTATTGGATAGTGAATTTTTCGAACGTATGAAAAAGGTGTATGTATTTTCTGAACGATAGTGAAACTCTGTAGTCTTAATCCAGTGAGCAGCACTAGCTGGCCGTCGTTCAATCGACCCATGAACTATTATGATGCTTTCCTTGGCAGCAATTAGTATAAAAATAGCGACGATGGGCTTTTTGGAAGTCGATTGCTTTGCATCTGCTTTTGTTTTTCAATAGGATAATTCAATGAGAGCTGAGAATAGTCAAAGCGGCCTTTCTTTAACTTTTCTTGGCAAACAGATGAACAAAAAGAAATTAACTGATCTCAGAAATAGATACAGTTGAACCTTCCCTAAGCTAACACGAGGTTGTGGTCCCAAGGGTCCGCTTGTGAGAGGTTCTTAGAGGCAATATTTAATTCGCAAGGACCTAAAAGCAGTACCCGCTTCTGGGAGGTTTACGCTTCCGAGAGGTGTCCTTAAGTGGAGGTTCCATTGTATTTTGATTCTCTGATGATGGCTATGGAACATAGCCAACCCTTAAAGGTTTTACAACATGTAAATTACTATTTAGGCGAATAATCGATTTAGGTACACTTTTCAAATTATATACATATACGTAAATCTGAAAGTATTAAATGATGATTTGAATTTTAAGGAAGCATTTCATCACTTTGAGCGAGGCCATAATGAGCAAATCGTGCGTCAAGGCTTGATTTATCGAAATAACATCCATAGGCTTACGAGGCGGGGGTGCTGTTTAGATGTTTATTGTGTTTGCACTGGCTTAAGGAACGAGGAGATCTTTGGGAGAACTCGAGAGCTGATCAGTGGAAGCCCGAGACCGAAGGTCGAGAGTTGCACCTGCTCGAGAGTTCTCACAAACGTCTCCGAGGTTTGCGTAAGCCAGTGCAAACACAAAGAACATCTTATATTTCTTTCATAAAATAACAATAATGCGAAACAGACAAACATTTTAATTTTTCCGCTAAAATGTATTCATGATCGATTTGCAAATTCTCTTTGACTGATTGATTGTTATGATTGATTTGATTGGTTGAGCTCGGATGTGTTTTGCACAGGCTAATGCAAACACAGCTCTAGACCAATCAGCGCACGCGTTTTATTGTGTTTATTAAAGTATTCAAGCAATATATGCACTTCTATGGTGTATAGAAACAATTTTACGATATTTTTCACCTTAATATTATGCGTTAGCCAAGCAATCCAACCATATAGTATTTTTTACATCAATGAATTTAATCGTAATAAAGTAAATGGTTTGAACCCGGGGGAGTATCATTACATGTTTGTAAATGTAGATCGTCTAGGTTGGTATAGTCCTGAGAAGGACTGTTTTTGTTGTTGTTGACTGATTTGACCCTGAAGATGACTGCCGCTAAGGTTGTCGAAACGTCAGTCAACAACAACAAAAACAGTCCTTCTCAGGAGTATACCAACTTGGGCGATGTACATTTACAAATATGTAACGATACTCCCGGGTTCAAACCATTTACTTTATTACAATGAATTTAATGCTGGGCAGTTTTCGTTTTCGTCGGGCAAAAAAGTGTCAGCACTTTTTTGGTCCCGTGCGCCCATGATAACACCGCAACTCTTTCTCTTTCTTCATGCGAGTTATCAGCGCTCTTATGAGTGGTTCATTATTTCGTGATGCAAGTTACTCTGGTTACACCATTCGGATCGGCTGCAATCTACGGCTTACAATTACCATTCCCGCTGACCATTCATGCCACGGCACGCTTTCCGATTTTGGCGCGGTTCGGATTTCGAAATAATGCGGGAAAAAATTTGTGGGAAATAAGATTCAAAATGGATGGCAAACCCTAAAATGTATTTGTAGAGTTGTTTGTATCATCTGTTGCTTTCTTATCGATCCTGGAGTGTATTATATCCATTTATAGGTTTGTATATATCTAAAATATTTTTAATTTCGTGTGTCTACTTTATTCCTATGCAAGGCCAGCGTAATTGCAGTCGAGAAATTCCTTAAAATTATTTAACATTAATGAAAGCTCAAAGCTTCACGTTGACGAAGTAATGGTTGAATGGGTACCATTCGGTTGTTTGTACATTTTGTGTACAGAAGAATGCTGCTAGCTGACAATGATCTTTTTAAAAAAATTAGTGGGCAATAGACATTCCTTACTGGCTGTGATTACATCTTATTTAATAACTAACAACTCTTTTTGGTCAGTGAATTCAGTAAATCAGTAATTTCAGTTCAATTTTTGATTCCTTGATCTTGCTCGAGTCGACCAATGTTCGTATGCGAGTACAATTTTTGTACAGTTCAATTATTTGAGAATATATCTTCAGAATAGAGTTGAGAGTTCTACCCTACAAAAAGTCATTCACCATAAAAATGTTTCACTGATTCTCAGTGATTAATAAAATTTTCATTGTTGAATCAAACAAATACATCAGGCACAAAGCTGCTTAATTTAAGAATAAGAAGGTGAATGGTTGTATGATGTTAATTAGTCATTTCATAACTTGGAAAATAAATATAGATCTTATACCATTGGTATATTCTTAACATTTTTGAAATTTGTCATATAATTGATTCTTAGATTTGATCTTTTGTTTTTTAGATTTCATTGAATCATGGTTGGGGGAGACACGGAGGATTATGTCAATTCAGAAATTGTTTGCACTCTAGCTGCCCTTGGTTATTTGGAGGATGGTATTTATTTCAAAGGAGATGATTGTTTAGGTGAGCTATTGATTATCGATGCCCTAAACATACAGGGAGTTGGTTTTATTATTTTATTGTTTTAGTGAAAAGCACAATCAAAACTTTTGAGGAATATATTTAAGTTTACTGCCTATCTATTTTGGTCTTGATACAAAACAGCAAACAAAAACAAACAAACAACATTTGTATACCGGCCAGTATTAATCCCCGCCAGGGGGTTGACCGGTCCATGAACTTTTCTACACCAAACATCTCTATCTTTCGCCATATCTCTTGTTATACCCATCGCCTTCATATCACTGTTCACAGCATCCATCCATCTCTTTCTCGGTCTACCTCGTTTGCGGACTCCATCAACATTCATATGCAACTTTCTACGAATTTCAGCACTTTCTTCCCTCCTTTCCACATGCCCAAACCACCTCAAACGCTGGTGCCTTACCCAAAACAGCAAGATTATCTTCAAAAAAATTAATTTTGTTGCCATTAAAATACGTATTCAAATGTATAACTAGGGTCATTGCCCACCCTTATTTTCTTGCCACTTTTACATTGTCAGCTATAATTTCATTTATTCGGCATGACACGCACAAAGAACTTCAGAGTTTAGGAAATTTAAAAATTTGCAGTATTTTAATCACTATTTATATTATGGCAAAAGTAGTGAATTATCAATTTATTTAAATCAGTGAGATCTATATTCATAAATATATACATTCAAAAAAAACTGAATGCAGCTTCCAAACTTTCAAAAGTATCATTCAATTGAAAGAAAAGCATGACTCTTTAGAAAACGCCTTCGTATAATGAAAGATTTTTGTTTTGTTGATTGCAGGAGCTAGGTAGCTGACGTTTTGTCCGAGCTCGTCAGTCCTTTGTTTGTATTTTTGGAAGAATAGATTGCATCCAGCTTTTATACATCACAACCATGTTCTTACATGCATATATATTAATCTATTTTTACATTTCATTTCAGAATGTTTAAAAGATTTAATTCGCTTCTTGAGAGTGGATGACGCCAGCTGCGAAATCCGAAGACAGCTGGGACGTTCACAAGCTGTAGAAAAAGTATATTCAAATGTGTGTCGTTGACGTTTATCCTTAAATCTAATCACAACAATATTTTTTCGATTAAGGATCTCATTCCGTTGCTCAAGAGTTGTACGCAAAAAGAACATGATATTTTTGATGTTTGCATACGGTAAAATTATTTGCACGTTACGATGTTTGGCTTGGTAATGTAAGAGTTTTTGGCAATGCTCGATACCATTTAACAATACTTCGATTTTGATAATATAATAGTTTGCATCATAATAAGTGTTAAATTCGTCGTTTGTTTCGTACCTTCATTTCATGGCAGAAACTTTTTTTACCGCTTAAGTAAGCGAAATGGGGGAAATTTTTGGCTCCTCAATTCCGTTTCGTTTCGTTTTTTGCTACCCCCTTTTTCTGCTGTGTAAAACCATTGGGTGTTTCGTTCAACTCAGTTTGATATCCCTAAATATTTCAAAGCAATTTGCAAGAATCATCGTGACTTGTAGTTAAGGATGATTTTTTTACCAATACGATTCAAATCATTAATTTTGCAAATTGGCAAGACTAGCAACACCGACATTGATGAAGTAAATTGGAATATACAGACTTTTCACTGTGGTTACAACAGTTTTTTTGTTGTTTTAACAGCCTGTTGCTCATAACCATACGTAACACTGTTGTGTGTAACATATAACCATGCGTCACACTGCGATGTGTAACATGTAACCATACATATCACTGCAGCGTGTAACATGTAACCATACATATCACTGCAGCGTGTAACATGTAACCATGCATATCACTGCAGCGTGTAACATGTAACCATGCATATCACTGCAGCGTGTTACATGTAACCATGCATATCACTTCTGCATTTAATGCATAAACATACATATCACTGCGGCGTGTAACAAGCAACTATACTTAACACTGTGCAAATCATGCCAATATGCATTGAACGCCTGTTGTCACTGCTCGTGGATTTTTAACACGGGTGAGAATTACCAATGTAATTCTCTAATCCTGCATTAGGTTGCTGGTTAACCTCACACAACCCACCATGATTTGTTTTGGGCGCCAAGAACCAAAAAATCTAAAGGAGAAAGATGAGGCACATTGGTTTATCGAAGTTACTTCTCATTTGCAATCCTATAAGGAGGTACGTACGTACGTACATAACCCGATCGGGGATAGTTCCCAGCTCTATATTCGATGGATATTTCATTTTGATTGGTATTTCAATTTCTTGTTAAGGCATTTACGGATAGAGAAGTTATGAGTGTTATTGGTGGAGAACTGGGGAGACTGCTTCAGCTGGTGAGATTATTTTCAATTTGAACAAGTAGCGGTTTTTCTTTACCCGTGTTTTGTCAGATTTTGCTAGACGTTGCTTTTTGTGTTGCGCACGCTAGCAAAAAAAGTCAATAACGTTATGCACTGGCATGTGATGTAGTTGCTAGTCGGTTTAGTTCCTTAGAATTTATATGGCTGTCGTAGACTCATAGTAAAACTGCTCATTTGCTATGAGGCTCGTCTCTTACAGGAGTGGGATAAAAGACAAGAAGAAGATATGCTCTTAATCGAACGTATTCTGTTATTACTTCGAAATATTTTACATGTTCCAGCAGACCCGAAAGCTGAAAAGGTGCGACTTGTCGAAAACCATCGAACTTTCTGGTGACCGTGTTTTCGTTTGTCCAACAATCTTTACTGTTTCTTTCGATTGACTGAATCGAATTGCATCAAATTGATGCTTTGCACGCTCAGAGTTTATTTCGCAGCACCGCCACTTAAGCTGTCAGTTTTCCTAAACCTTCTCGTCTTTGTATACATTTATATTCTGTGTTTCAAGAATGTTTATCCTGTTGTTTTATATTAATAGAGGACTGACGAAGACGCCACAATTCACGATCAAGTCTTGTGGTTTGTGATATCTTTGTGGTTTGATTTATCAGTCTTATTCGTTTAAAAGATGTGCTTTAAATTGTGCACAATCGCGCTTCATTTTCCCGTCTGTTGTTTTTCCTTATTTCTAGGAATTTACACGCATGCTGCATCGATGATTTCATCATATACGTGGCGAGCTCTCCTGATGAGGTGAGTAGCAGTTGCTAATATCCTATGGAAAAATAGGGGCATGCCCCCTCCTGCGGGCTCCCTTGCTCCGCTGTACTCGTAATGCCTCATCACTCCTTGTGATTTTTTCCGTCTATCTGTAGAGTCGATGGTGTATGCATGCTTTGGAGATCATTTCTCATATGATGCGTGAGCAAGTATGAACATTAAAAACTTTATCAGGTCCATTATAAATGCCCCCAAAAACATACTTCGAAATCAAATGCACGCAGTTACCGTATAATCAGGCAGATGTACGTATAAAATGCAGTTGAACAATTACTTCATTATCAGGTAGACTGAAATAGTAAATATTAAGACGTTCAAATGTAACTCATGCGCATGAGCACTACCAATGATAGTGACAGATAATTTTATCAGATTGAAGTTAGCCTGAATCTCAAAGTCATGCGTCATGATGTTTTTCACCATTCCTTTTGTATATATTTTAGAAAGCGGATGTTGTGGCTAAGACCGCGGCTCAAAAAACACAGAAAGAGATAGATGATGATATGAGGTACAAGATATTCTCAAAAATTGTTTTGTAGTGTGTGGTGTTATGTGAGTGAATGGGGGGAGGAGGAAGGAAGGAGAGGGGGGAGGAGGGGGAGGAAAAGTTGGGAGGGGATGTATCACACCCTTCAAGTCTTTATTGAAGAATTTGAAAGAATTGTAATGATTTGACAAACTTCGACGAACAAGTCAGTAAAAGATATCTTGTAGTGTGTTTCAATTGTAAAGTTTTAGAGTCCTAGAGTTATAGTTTCCCTAAGCTTTTGTTTTTGGTTTGAAAATTGTTGCTAAACAGTATGATGTATCTACGTTTGTAGGGAACTCGAAATTCTTTATGAAAGAGAGAAAGCTGCGCAGACTCGAGTCTTTCGAAAAAGCAGCAGGTACATATGTTAAAGTAGTATGAAAGAGAGAAAGCTGCGCAGACTCGTGTCTTTCGAAAAAGCAGCAGGTACATATGTTAAAGTAGTATGAAAGAGAGAAAGCTGCGCAGACTCGTGTCTTTCGAAAAAGCAGCAGGTACATATATTAAAGTAGTATGAAAGAGAGAAAGCTGCGAAGATTCGTGTCTTTCGAAAAGCAGCAGGTATATCTATTAAAGTAGTATGAAAGAGAGAAAGCTGCGAAGATTCGTGTCTTTCGAAAAGCAGCAGGTACATATGCGTATTAAGGTAGTAGAGATGCTAGCGATAATGAATTATTTAAGCAATGCTGGCGATAAACTTCAATATTCAAGGCTTTTTAAAAGAAGCTTTTTTTAGGACACGACACTTATGTAATACCAAACAGGAGATGTTGTATATAACATTCTTGCATGTGTTACTATGCCTTAGGCCTTCGAGATTTTTTTGTCCGAGTCATGGTCTCCGACATAAAAATCTCTGTTATGAGTATCAGTGAAAATTAGAGCAATTCTCAACAGGCTTCGAAGATAATTAAGAATGTCAAAATTTGTTAGGAGTTTTATCTCTGTAAAATCTGTCGTCATCAATGGACTTCAAGACTTAAACGTTTTTACTGTTTTCCCATGCACTCAAAATCTTGTTTCGAGAGATTTGTCACAAAATTGAAACCTGAGAGATTGAGTTGGATTTTGGCATGTATTTTGTCTTGGATGTTTGAGTTTCGTGAAGTTGCTGAATTTTCTTCTGTTAAATGAACTTATTTTACTGTATTTTTGCTTGCTAACGATGTAGCTAATAGCTAGAAATAGAAGCAATTTTTTCTTTTCAGGCATTCAAACTTTGGCGGAACCTTTCATGTGGAAAACATCAAGGCTTTAAACGACGAGAACAATTTGCTGTATCACAAACCATTACAACGTAAGTATATCTAATGTCGAATATTCTTTTACAAAGATTGTGTATGTATGTGGTGTTTTTCCATGTTTGGAGTTGGGATTAGTTTTTCATTAGATGAATGAACTTTCTATTGTTTCCTTTCGTCTTCGGCCTCTTTTTTTGAAATCTTTTGTCCGTCTTTAAATATTTCAAGCAATTCACTAGTTTTATCATCGACTGTTGAATACACTCACTGGTTTCATTCTTGTTTGTAGAGGCGAAAAATTTGTCCTTTGATTTTGGTAAAACAGCTCCAAGGAAACGCAAGGCAGAAATGCGCGCTAGAGAACAGGATATCGGGCGAAAGTCTACATTAAGTGTCAGGTACATGTCCTGTATTTGTTTAATTGCTTCAGTTTGTTTTTGTCTTTCACTTCACTTGCTGTATTGGCAAACATGCGCAGTTTGAAAATTGACATTTGAATTGACATATATATATATAATTTGGTGTTTTGTCTCAAGTCAACATATTATGTCTTTTTCTGGTTTTGTTTATGTAACAGCTATGCTGGCTGACTTTAACTACATACGTGTATAAACGCTCTTGTTTTTCTCCAATTTGGTGTATGTATCATATACTGTCACCATAATACGTATAGATGTAGCTGCAGTCTTTGGAAGGCGGAGTTTAAATTTTATGACGTATTAATATGTAGTACCACTGAACTCAGGGATACTGTGAATATAAAAGTTTGTACTCCATTCCCCAACGTTATTCTCTGAGCACACCCTCGTGCAAATAGGTGCGTTAATGATTGTATGCTGTTTATCTTATTTTGCGGTTCTTCTCTCTACAAGGCTTTTCCTCAAAGAGTTTTGTGTTCAGTTTCTTGAAAACGCTTACAATCCATTGATGCACACAATAAAGGTAAGCGGAGATTATCCTATAGTTCATCGGAAAAACTCATTTTTGAAAAAAACTGAACATTTGGCGTGTTTTTTTTTGTGCGGATTTTTACAGAATATTGAAAGTTTTCCACGTAAAGCACACCGTACTGAAGTTACTTTAAATGTCAAATTCAACGAAGAACTCCCTTTGTTAAGCTCTCTGTAAACACGTCAAAAAGATGCAAGCATTTGCTCAGTTTTACAAAGAAAAGATTTTTCCTTTTAAACTTTTTAATAATTTGATATATCTATTCGCGATAAAATGTTGCATTTTATCTCAAGTTCATCTGTACCAAACAGAATTGTCTCAAAAAAGTAGTTCAATCCTTTAATTTTGATGAAGCAATTGTCTAAATTTAACTGTCTGTTGAGGTGATTTTAAAGAAACTTCGCTCGAAACACTTCGCAAATTGACCTTTCGTATAATATCTCTCAAGGACAATTTAAAGCAATCAAGAACTCAGGAAAACGACGAATCTTATTATCTCTGGGCTATGAGGTTACAAGCATCAAATTATAAAGTTGTATGGGACAGTGTGTATACGGTCACTTTAGCTCATGTTTGTACTTCAAAGTACATAATGTTTTGCTTCTATTTATAGTTTATATTTTGTATTGTTACGAGCATCAAATTATAAAGTTGTACGGGACAGTGTGTATAGGGTCACTCTAGCTCATGTTTGTACTTCAAAGTACATGTTTTGCTTCTATGTTTCCATGTATAGTTTATATTTTGTTGTTTTTAGATTTTTTATGGAATTTAATCGACACGTCCAGTTCAATGTTGCTTACATCAGGTATTTGTATGTTTTTATTGCGTTTTGTTTCCGGCACGAATTGATTTTTTAGTGTTTGTTGACCGCTGACCTTAACGGTTAGTGTGTACTCATACTATCCGAGCCCGCACTATAATTTTGAGCGAAAGCTAAGTTTATGCCTTTCTCCAGTGAGACCCTGAATGTACCGACATTTCAAGATATTGTCGTCATGATTACAAGATTCTTCGACAACTTAACGACAATCAAGAACGAGAAGCTTGAGTGGGGCCGAAGGTAATGGACATGTTTTGATTAGAATGATACATGTAAATTGGAATAAAATTTGACTTGAATTAACCTGATTTTTTCGACCGGCTTAAACTGATTTGAATTGGTACGTACATATGTGATGAAAATGGATTAAGCAATAGAGAATTCACTTTGGTCAAAGTTATTTCGATGGCCAATCTATTCTTTTTTACTCAATATTATGTATAATGTAAAAAGCTTGAAAAATTGTTGTATCGATCTTAAATGTAAATTCCGATCATTTCCTCATCTATTGAACGACGTACACAATTTTTGGTGTATTTCTTCTAGATTACATCTTGGTGTGCGTGCTTACCAAGAATTAATACAACACATCGCATTGTTACAAGCATCAAAGGATAATGTTCTGCGGGACAGTGCAAAAATCATCAAAGGTACGTATATTCTGCTGTATGCGCCATGCATATATTATTGTTGGTCACGTTGGAGGCTGATCTATAAAAACGGCAAGAGCGTAGGAAGATCGTTAGGGGAAAGGGTTTTTATTCATGTACCCACATTGCATATTATAATCCGTAAAAGAATAGATTTCAAATGAACTTAACTCGTCATATAAATATATGAAAATCAGCCCCCCCCCCCAAAAAAAAATCATTGATCTTCCTACGCTCGCAAACCCGAGGTTTACTCGACTTATGATTGACTTGTTAAAATGCCAATGTTAGTTTATTTTTTATAAAAGAAAACTTTGTAGATGATTGAAAGGAAAGTAGTCATTTCTCTCTGTCATAGATACAGTTGATACGATTGACATTGTTATATGAACATTTCTTTTGTAGAAAATATTTTTTATGTTCCTGAATATAAAGATGTGTTCATAGTTTTATTGAAGAAATTTGATTCACGTAGTCAAACAAAGTACGTTTGCTATAGTACATGCAATGGGTTGTTCATCTTTAATAATTAATTATTTGAAGATCAATGATTTGTCATCATTATTATAAAGATGATGGGTGCAGATTTTCCTCTAAAATCATCAAAATCCGCCACAAGTTCTTTGGTCGTGCTTTATGTTAAAAATTCTTATTGTTTAGAATCCTCTTGTTGTGTTTTTGTTTGTTTCTAAATGGTGGCCGTTTTGAAAAATGTAGCTCCATTTACGTAAGGATACACTTGCATTTTTAGATCATTTCTCCGAGATTTGATTGAAGCGTTTCATGTATTTCTCAAGCTTCTTGAAGGACATTGTAAAAACAAGGGCCACGTTATAGTTCAGGTAATATTGTCATCCAAGTATACTCAAGCTTAAGCACCAAAGTTTAAAATTTTTGTTTGTTTTACTGTGTTTCCATTTAGAAAAAGAACAAGGTCAAGAAAAGGAAGAAGAAAGGAGTTCCTAAGCAGCAACCAGGTAGTATACATCAACTGATATCAAAATACCAAATTGAAAGATTGATCACAAATTCATATTTAATCACTGCATTCACGTTACCAAACAAAACAAATCCATCACTCCTCTTCTTTGAAACTGGATGAATATGTTGGAGTATCTACAGTACCGCTCGCGTATTTGTTAACATAATTTTGACATGTTAACATGTTAACATAACGCGTATCGTTCTCGTATCATACGCGTATCATTCTCGTATCATACGCGTATCGTTTTCGTATCATACATGTATCCTTCTCGTATGATGCGCGTATCGTTCTCGTATCATACGCGTATCGTTCTCGTATCATACGCGTATCGTTCTCGTATCATACGCCTATCGTTCTCGTATCATACGCGTATGTTTTTCGTATCATACGCGTTTCATACGCGTACCGTATGTTAACAAATACGCGAACGGTACTATACTGCTTTTCAGTTCAATGAAACAGAGGGTCAAGATTATACGCACAAATAAAGCCAAAACTGCTTTATACCAAGCCATCATCCTAGGATATACATAATATTAATTCTAACACGTTTAATATGCACATGAAAAACATGTGACTTGAACGAGATTTGAACTCGCACCTTCGGGATACTAGTCCGCCACTCTACCTGTTGAGTTATCAAGTTTTTCATGTGCATATAAAAACCGCGTGAGAATTAATATTATGTATATTCTTTAAAACTGCATTGTTTAAGCTTCATCCAGTGAAGACATTTTATAGTTTCATTTCCTCGAACTGATTCAGTAGACGCTTGTGCGTTATTGCGTACTTATGTTTATTTTTGACAGTACGTTGGTACAATTTTTGACAGATAGTGCAGCAGTTACTCTCTCTGTTGTACTTTATACTGCATGTATGGTAAACAAAGAAATGCCTCAAAATTTTTAACAAGAGTGTGAGATTGTAAATGTTGGTATTTGCCTATTTTCCTGCCAATCTAGTTGTAGCCCTGACTGCTGATCAAAAAGAAGAAAGGTGGCAAGAATTGAGTGGAGAATTTTCGGAATTTCTCCAAAACCAAGAAGGAGGGCTTCCCTCGATCGTTCATCCTTTTGACCCGGTCTCTGACGAGCCAGAAGAAGATCAAAAGTATAAATTTGAACGTTTGACTTTGTTATATCATTGATTACATCATTTTGGATTGATTTGTTTTCAGGACGAGATGTCTATCTATAATCCAGCAGCGCATCCGTGAAAAATTATTTGGTGAAAGTCTTGCTTTTCTTCGAGCTGCCAGGTTTGATTTCTACGATTAATGCATGTATAAGTTTGACTGGAGCATTAAAATATTACTGAAGAATTACCTAATGACATCAAAGAAAAGAAAATGAAAAGCTCTGGGCCGTTTGCTCAGAGTTTGAGAAGTGTGAAGAATAAATTTTCGAAAGTTTTCTGTCTGCAATGATTTTGCTTGATTGTACACTCACTAACTTTTTTAAGTTTTCTGTTTTTATGGATACTCTCGTGTTATTTGGTTCATTTTCTTTTAGTTTATCATGCTTCTAATCGTGGTCTTTTTAGTTTATTATTGAATCATGGTCCATACTACTCTGTACTCGCCATGACTAGTAGTTGTGCTTACCACATCCAATAATTGATATGTATTGTGTGCAGAAGTTTTGTCCCAAATTGAAAAAAATGCGGACCGTTTGGGCCAACCATTATCCAAATTTATTTTTTTATATTCGTTTTATTTTTGCTTCTTAGAGAAATTTGGACTAACGACTTGTTTGGTAAAAACGAAATGGAGCCGGAAGAAGAATTCATGTGTTTTTACGATATTTTCCGCTTGGATCTTCCAGGTACGGTTATGTGAATAGCAAATTTAGATTTGATTGTTCAATGCAAATACGTGCCATAAACGTCTCGATTTTTTTTCAATTCTGTTTGTCTGTGACTTATACATGTTTCCTAACTCGCATATATCTACTCCTGTTCATAGTTATTAATAATCGTGTTGAAGAAATGCCAGAAACCGCTGAACAAGAAGATGAATTGACGGATCCAGGTGAGACATCCATAACTCTAATAAAGTTAACGTATGAAATAATTCCTGTCGTTTAGATAAAAGTACATCTCACTCTCACCTATCGTATATCGTGTAATTGTTATATGTACATGTTTCAGAAACGTTCATGTGTAATTTTTTTACAGAGAATTTGCCTTAAAATATCTAATGAGAGTTCATTATAGAGGCGGAAGAGCTTCAAGCTGTTCAAGTAAAAGAAATTGAATTTCAATTGGCAGATTTTTTAAAACAGTAGGTTGTCTACAGATTAATTTTAGGCCCTTATGCATGGTCGACATGCGTAATAAAATGAACTCATCCTTACGACTAGAACCACACATTGTGGTAAAACGCTTTTTTGAAAAACTTCCTGTGTTCCTTATTCATTAACATACATGAAGTAAATGACAGTTATCATACGCAGATGAAGTTTTTTATCAATCTTCATGTAGACTTGCCTCTCCACTGGTCATTAAACCGTACTGCTGGCTCTTGGCTTGTTATGAAGAAAACAGTTATCAAATGAATCATTACATTGTGAAGATGCTTCATCGCGTTGCCGTCGATTTGAAACTGCACGCAATGTTATTTCAACTTTCTTTGTTTATGACATTTAAGAAAGTCTTCAATGATCCTGCTTCCAGCAAGTATAAGGTACTGCTGCTGTCTTGGAAAATTTCGATATCTCAATGTCGAGAAATCGACTAGATTATCGAAAATATATGCAAACCAGAAAAATTACAGAAACGTAGTTTGGTTAATATACCTTTTAAACTTATCTATTATGAAAGGGAAAACTATACACTGCAAGCGTGTTTTATTATTAGGCTTTGCTTACTCTACAAGAGTGATTTATTAGGCTGTTGTTTACTCTGAAAATGTGATTGTATTAGGATGTTGCTTACTCTGCAAGTGTGATTTATTATGCTGTTGTTTACTTTGTAAGTGCATGATTTATATGTTTAAACATCATTTTCATACAATTGTAAACTGACTTTCCCTTGTAGGAACTGGTAAAATTTTCCAAGTACATCCTGACGAAGTTTTTCGAATTGCTTCCAAATAATCCAACACTCTGCGCTGAACTCTTATTTTGGAAATCATCACTGGAATGTTACGGAATTACCGAAGGTTTTGACAACCTGCAGCTAAGGTTAATATTGCGTAGATTTTTGGTGGGAAAATAAGAAACTAGGGCGAAGTTATGAAAAAGCTTTAGCTAATACGAAGTGTGCTTTATCGCACACAAACATTTTTATATCAGGCAGTGTGAAGAATGCTCACACTTTTATACCAAAACAGAGCAATCGTAATTGGGCTTGTAGAGACTGGCTGGGATTTATTCATTTGGCAATTATAATAATTCACCTGGGAAAGGGGACTTTCTTTTTGTGTGATGTTTATTTTCTGACTCCAGATTACTGATAGTCGATTTTCCATTTAGAGCTTTGAAGAGATCTAGTCATTCATGGACGTTTGAGGAAGAGGAAGAATTGAAACAGTTATACAACGAATTTAAGGACTCGGAAGGTTAGTACTTAGCCAAATTTCAAATGGAAATCACATTATAGTGAACATACATTGAAGCCTCTCCACTGAATTTTTTCGTGCCACGCATATCTCATTGCGCATGTGATTACCATAGTGGCAGCCAGTCAACTTCTTTTTGACCAATAGGGATGATGAAATGGCTAACGGCAGCCAGTAGTCTAATTAAATATACCGCGGCGAGTTGCACACGAAATGGACCTAGTGTATATTCCCTATACTGTGATGGAGATGAAAGTTTAGCAGTATTTTTCAAGCATAAGTTTATACTGTGTATTTTTTCTTAACAGATTTAGTCGAAAAAATTCTCCAAAGTATCAATAACGAATTCAGATCCAGGCGCCAGGTAATAGGGACAAATCATCAATGTTCTACTGCTGACCGTTGTCGGTCGCGGTAAAAAGCTTGCCATTCAATGATTTAGAACCCAGTCTTCTAGATGTCTTCTAGTTGAGGCAGATGCCATCTTGAAAGGAGGCAAAAAGCAAAACTCAAAATGAAAAAGAAGTCAAAACAAAGTTTAAAAAACCCATCCTATAAAACATTTTAAAAATTAAACCTACACTGTCAACTTGCAACTGTATATCAACTCAGCAAAAGCCGATATTAATCGTAAATAACGTCAGTTATGCCACTTTCAAGATGGCGGCTTGCCTCACTCGTTACTTTACAATTTCGGCTGAGTCAAATATCTAATAGATTGGGCTCTAGGTCATTGTTGCCATGTTATACTTCAGTAACACAAGTTTCCCGCCATGCTGCTGCTGATGTACAGTATTTTTATTATGTTCACACTTTTAGTGTGCTGTTTTGATAATTTTCCAAAATATTTGGTTTTCTTCAATCTTACTCTTTTTACAACGGGGATCTGGAATATAGTTCGCGTTTCAACATTGAATTAATGTTGTTAATTATTTCCTCGAAATATATTGTTAGGTTGTTGGGAAACTTATTACACTTGGCCTGGTTGAAAATCGAGAAATTTTAAAAAAGTAAGCAAGTTGTAAACAAATTAAAAGCTCCACTGCTTATAATTTCATGATACGAAACATTTTTACTCACTAGAGTCCATTGCTTCATTGTAGGAAACCAGGTAACAAGAATTCGTGGTCAGATGATGAACAAAACGAACTCCGACACTTGTTCGAAGAGTTTAAAGACACCGAAGGTCTGATTTTCTGTGAATGTATTTCAAATGATTTCACAGAAGCTATGCACGAATTCAGTTTTCTATGCGAAATTCATGATATGTCAACATTATGGTCAATATTACGGAGGAGTAGGTGTAAGGCATTGAAGGGCTGGGAATTAGGCTTAGAGGGGTTTTTAAGGAAGCTTATTTCTTTAAGAAACATGTAAATTCGAAAACACATTGCTCGAGACTGCACACGAGACGTGCTTTCCATCTTTATTAGTTCAATAACAAAACATTTTTCCCCATTGCCGTGAGATGTTGAAGAAGCTTAAGCCTCGGTCACACTGCATCCGATAACGATCCGATAACGATGCAAAAAAAATCGCTCGTTATTCAAACTTTTGTGTGCGGTCACATTGCAGCGATAACTATAACGATTTATCATTAGTATGTGACCATTAAATTTCCTTACAGTTTGTCGTTATCGTTTATCGTTATCGTTGAACAGTGTGACCGAGGCTCTAGACTATAGTGTTGTGTGTGGACTTTTTGCTTTCTTTATATCCCTCATTCAAACTAATTTTCCACTCCCTCCTCACATCTTCATCTAAACTTTCCATCAACGCATTTCTTAATGTCTCATCTCTACAATAGATGTTGTGAACGGAATACTTATGGCCTTGAGTAATAAAAGAAGAACAAGAAGACAGGTGAAAGTGTAATTGTCATTCTCACAATTGACGTACGTATAAGGGTTGTTTTGGATTGTGAAGACATTTCTAAGTGCTCGGCTGTCTCGTCATAGTGCGAACTGCTCATGTGTTCGTATACGTATCCTGCATGATCAACCAAGATATTTTTACAGTCGTCTGTCAACAACAATGCATTGCGCGCTCGGGTTGCGCTATTCTTTTTATGTGTAAAAGCTTTTGCGATTATTTATTCCTGGGAATGTTACTCATCTTTGTGGAATTTCAATTAATTTACAGACGTCATTGATTGCCGTTAATTTAAATCTTTAGGTTGTCAATCAGCTGGTTAAGTTGGAGATTGTTCAAGATCGCAGCATACTTCAGAAAAAGAAATCTAAGAAATGGAGAAAACAGACAAACGCAGAGTACCCGGTATAATGGTTTTTAAAAACCACTATTTGTGAAGTTAGGATATAATATATATAAGGCTTGTTGTACTTGTAATCGTTCTTCGTTTAACCTGAGTGTTTTTATGTATAAATTCTTTTTTGTTAATACAGGAAGAAAATGGCAATAGTGGAAAAATAGATGAAGGTAAAACATTGAAACTTAAAGGACCTTAACTTAAAATATCACCGACAGAGCTTATTAAATAGATATATTTTGTTTACCGATTATATGTCGTAAAATGGCCGGTGTGGCTTGATGTTCAGACCAAAACTGGATTGTATTCTACAAATTTCACTTCGTCTGGATAATGAAAATTTACTCTCGATATTATAACTAACAACTGAATACACTTTTTCTCGTTGAACCATCTACATCGCTTTCAAATCAATTTTAAAAATTTACGTTTCACTTTGTAAACAAATACGTTGCGAAAAAAATATCACTTTTGGACCACGGTCGAGATGTCGGAAAAGCGGCCTGCTGCTACAGCCAATCAGATTGCGCAAAATCAAAAAATATCGCTTCACGTGCTTGAATACAAAATAAATAGTATTATTGAACTCTTCTCATTGGTTCTCTATAACTCTAGAAATGGGCATTTACATCAATAACATGCATTTAAATTATGTAAAGATTTTTCTTGGTTTGTTTTGGTTTTAACTTTGCTGGGACATTGCTCGGCTTATTGTAAATATCGCCAACCGATTTGTCTATGTACATTCATGCCATGCATCAATGCGAACTTCGCCACTTTCCACATAGATGAGGATGATGAATCTGAAGATATAGCGACATCAGACGAATCATCTCATGATGGTGAAGATAAGTCAGATTTGGAGTCTGATGATGAAACGACTGGATCTGACTTCATATCTTTGTTGGCTGATGTGAAAAATTCCGGTATTTTGTTTTGACAGCGAAATTGTTGTTCGTGCAGAATCCTTCCACCCAACCCCCCACCCCCCCTCCCGTGTGCCACTTTTACTCAGATAGTATGGAATCTTGCATTTTTTAATTTTTTAAAGCAAAGTTCTTGTCAATGTGGGAAATTTTTCTTGTTTTTCATGAGTTTAGTCTTTGGTTTAACTTAAATTGATAATCGTAAATTCCAGTCATACATATTTTTTGTCACATTTTGTCGATTGTTTGCTGTTTTATTAATTTATCATAGAGCACTCTGAACAGTTGGAATGGATTAAGAACAAGTTAAATGGAGTTGCGGATGACCGATTTGAAGATGGTATGCATGATTTTCATATTGATGTAACCATCCCAATCTGTTGTTTCTTTCTATGGATAGAATCAATGCATAAGTCTTTTAAATTAATTGCTGTATTAATGCGATAAACTGAAACATAAGAACTGTTGTTTGATTTCGTCAAAGTACAGCGTCAAAGATAGTATGTGGTCACTGTACCGACCTTTTGTTTTATTCTTTCGGTTGTGCATTTGTCAATCAATGCCAACATTATTTGCATTTAAAATTAACACATAACAAAAAAATGCTTACCTAAAGCCACATTTGCAAGTATTTTGTTTTGTGTAAGTTCTACATTGGAGCAGAAATAAGTTTTTATGTGGAATCTTACAGACGATTGGCAACCTTTGCCTCTTGTGACCATCACAGAAGAAAGTGAACTCGCATTACGAAATAAATCGTTTCAAAAGCTTCTCAAGGAAATTGGATTGGTTCCCCCTGCCGACGAACAAGTACGACATATGAGAATAATAATTTACCAATAATGGCCGGGGGGTTTGTGAATTTAGATTTTGAAGCTTACACGCTGCATGGACTTGCATGTTACATCACGGTCGCCATGTTGGTTGAATTTCACAGAGGATTTTTCTTGTTTACAATTCAAATATCAACCAACAAGGCGAAAGTCTCTTTGTCCTTTGACTTCTGGGAGAGTGGTTGCAATTCCATCTATACATGGTGTATTTTGTAATTTAAACAAAGATCAAAGCTGTATTAGGGCGGTTACCCAGGGAGATATCTCACGTGACTGCTTAATGCGGGTGCCGCTTTATACAGGTTCCACTGCACTTGGTTGAAGCTATTTTGTAATGAAAAGCACTCTATATTATTTTATATTCAGCTATATTGCATTGAAAAGGTCCATTACATAATCTTTTATGGTTGCGTGAACTTCATGTCGATGAATAAGCAATATGTTTTTTTTTATTCAGGAAAAATATTGGCGTATCCCAAGTAACCTATCGCCTGGACATTTGCGAAAAGCAGCTACTGAACTTGATATGGATCTGCCAGAGTGTAAGTAGTAAACACTTATCTCGGCTGAGGCCGCAAGATGACGATGATGAGTAAACGCTTATAACAGCGGCTGTATGCATGCGTTGTTTTATAAAAAAGGATAAATATTTATTGAAATGAGCCGTCTGATTGCCCTGAGACAACAGATTGTTTAAAGATTTTTGAGTTTTTCGGTTTTTCTGGAAGAAATTAAAAAATCTCCGATTTCAAAAGTTTAAGTGCTTATCGTACATGAGATCTTTGTAAATAAGTAGATTGTTGCAGGATATGAAATTCAAATAATGACTTTCAAAAATTCTAAACAAGCAAAACCCTTGATAGACCTCCCTTTTTATGTATTCTTGCGTTCCTATTGAAGTTACTTGAATTTCAGCACCGTTTCATCCGACTGTTATTTGCTTATGTAGTGCCCAATTTTGCTAATTTCGAGACACAAAAGACAAAGCCGCATCCAAAGAGACAAAAACTAGCTGCGTTAGCTGCGAGTATTACGTCATCAAGCAAGAGGGAAAAAAGAGCTATGAAAAGGCGCGAAAAAGTAACTGATGAGATAAATGCTGTGTCGGTGGAGAGCGTGGATGTGCAACGAGACGAAGAGTCAACAGAGGACAAGAGGTTCGTCAAATAAGTTTTTTTGCTTTTATGTAGTATACACTCAAAAGGCATTTCATTGATTGACCTCTTTCAATAATTACTTTAAAAGTTTAATCTCATTTCATAAAGAGCGGTAACTTCACATTTTGATATATCATCACGTTGACAGTGAATTTGATGTCATCGAAAATGCAATTGAGAAAGCAGTGCGATTGAAGAAGATCCCCAAACGAAAAAGAATTCGAGTCGAAGATAGTGATGAAAGTGACGATGATGCCTTGCGCATTCATGGCGAGAAAAACCATAATCATAATGAAGATGATAATATTGAGGACGACACCATACTAACCCTAAGACGAGCGGAAGATGAAGATGACGTCATGAATGTTGGTATAAAGAGAAATCGAAGTCTCGATCATGATGAAAACGATGATGAAACTAGCGACGAGGATGAGCTAGAAATGCCTTTAGTTCGTGTAAAAAGAGCAAGAAAAGTTGTTTTTGATGATGGCGATGACGACGACGATGACTAGTTGATGAAAACAAACGTACGTTCACATTAAACTGCGTTTCAGCATTTGAGTTACATTTATTTGAGTTTTCAAAGATATTTCTAATATGACTAGGTTTTGTTCGCGTGCTAGCTACATCACGGGGGCGCTGATTTATTTTTGCGTATGTTTGTTAATAAAAAAGTTCAACAAAATTTCATTGAAGGAATTGATGACTCCTGTATGAAATGACGACTTCGAATAATATCTACGATGGAATGACGAGCACAATGTTTTACAATGAGCGATAAGGCATGAAATAAACGAGCTGGCTCTAACAACAGATTTATATGTTACTTCCTTTTGAAATCAATTGTGATTATGTACTTTACAATTTTTACAATATGAAGACAAATGCATCCCACTTCTTTATCAATGTTCCTGCGCTTATGCTAATTTATTAAATAAACACAATGAAACGACGCTGATTGGTCTAGAGCTGTGTTTGCATTGGCCTGTGCAAAACACATCCGAGCTCAACCAATCAAATCAATCATAACAATCAATCAGTCAATAAGAATTTGCAAATCGATCATGAATACATTTTAGCGGAAAAATTAAAATGTTTGTCTGTTTCGCATTATTGTTATTTTATGAAAGAAATATAAGATGTTTTTCGTGTTTGCACTGGCTTACGCAAACCTCGGAGACGATTGTGAGAACTCTCGAGTTCTCCAAAGGTCTCCTCGTTTTGCATAAGCCCGTGCAAACACAGTAAACATCTTTTATTTCTTAAATAAGGTATCGAAACGCGGCCGCATGATTTGTATTAATGTCTATAGCTCATGTGCGTACGAAGCAACATTTTATAGAGGGGGGCAGTACATTTTCAAGCGAATAGTGCCTGACTGCCCTTGTCTGCTCAACAATTGGGGGTAGGCTGCACCCTCCTGACTCCCCTGCCCTGCCCATGTGTCTAGCGTATTTTCTTTGAAATTAACGTGGATTTAAAATATGTTTTTGGCTTCAGGGACCCCGGACTCGACTAAATTAGTGTCTATTGAATTGGGACTATGGTCCTGTGGATATACGAACATTAACGTATAAATATAGGAATATTAACTCCCCCAAAAATAAATTATTGGCTGTCGGGGTTTGTGTGGTATATTGCATTCTTTTGAGCATAGCAATGAAAATATCGTAACTAAGTTAGTTTCCCGTTAACATTTCATTAATTCTTTTTTTTTGCAACGCGTTTGATACTGTTAATGTAGTATACTGATAATGACGTAAAAGGAAAGGTCGACTTATGTTTTCGGGTAATTACCGGTAGTATAAATAGACGTAAATAGTTAATTGTAACACATATAGCGTAGAAATACTCCAGTGATGTATTGTATTTGTTTGTAAAATAAATAAAATTTTTAAAATGAAGAGTGTAAGTCAACCAGCTGAGGAGCGGATTCCTCTACAGTTTTGAATACTCTAGATTCCAGAACAATGTTTTAGTCAGCGCATTTTCGAACAGTAATGGCTTGTTCTCTAAGCGTGACAAGTGTACATTCATCGGAAATGGATATTAGCATATGAATCAAGAATATAGTTCATGTTATATAACCTGCTAATTTGGCTATCTGACTTCAACAGTTCAACTCCACTATTTGTCGTTTAAACAGTTTGCGTACGCTCTACAAAATGGATATTGATTTCAAGGGAAAGACTGCATTAGTAACTGGCGCTGGCAAAGGTAAATTCATAATGTTTGTTTAAATTTGAGCTTAGTTTTTGTTTGCAAGCATATGTAACTAGTTAAGTAGACAAATGAAAGATCGTTGGTGGATATAACTACAGGGCGTATCAAAAAATTTAATTCAAATCAGGGGTTCAATCACGCAGAATGTATTAGAAAAAGACGTTTGGTTTTTACAACTTTGTTACCATTTATTTACCTTTCAAATGACATGTTGCACAACTATTTCAGTAGCAAAATGAAATAGTATTTCTTCGACGAATAAAGTTGGTAAAAATCATGATTTTCCGCCAATGGGAATTGAATTTATTGTCTTACAAAATTAAGTCCCGCAAAGCTTATTAAATTCCAATCATCACTGCAAACTAAGTGCAAATTCAACTTCTTATTGTATCGTATGCTTAACAAACGCAATGGTTTCAATTAAAAATATCAGTGCGGCACATTACTTGTGAAAACGTTCTTTGAAACCAGTTGCTTACAAGAAACATGCAATCAGCTCCGACAAAAATTCCGGAGGGACAAACTGGCCCTCAGTATCATCTGGTAGACTGGTACAACGTGCGAAAGTTTGGGCAGAATGTATAACAATATTATGTAAATTTTATTCAAAAACGACGTTAAATTTACATTACCTTTTGTCTTGACGTCTCCCTTCAAATTCCCATAAGCAGAAAAATCTTATTTCGAGCTACGAATTTCCACGGAAGACTACCTAGTAAGTAAAGGGGTAGAAACATAAGCATAATAGGTTAAGGCTGATTTCCATTCAGTGCAAATTGTCGCGCGATTGACTTGTGATCACTTTCTTTTGAATTGTGTGCAGCAATGTAAAACTGTGCCAGTCGAGAGCTTACAATTGAAAAGAAAGTGATCGGAAAAAGTCGATCGCGCGACAATTTGCACTGAATGGAAATCAGCCTTTATTCTTTATCGTCATGTAAAAATTATATTCAAAGTATTCTGTAGAAGAACGAATTACCATGCATACGTTCTTTTCATCCAGTTATTGCCAAAATTTAAGAATTTTAGAAATAACCCTTAAAATTTCGGCTTTGTAATCGAATATGAATCGAAATCATATTTTGACGTAAATAGTTTGCTTATTGTGCAAATTTGCTGTCAGATAAACCATTGCAACTTTGGATGACCAGTTTTCCTATTTCTACCAAAGATTTTTGCAAAGCTTGCGTGCTGTTGTATTTATCAAGTAACGTTTTGCTACTGTTCAGTTTGTCTGATACACCCTGTGTATGTACACATATTTTTTTCGTCACCATTTTTTTGGTTTGAAGGAATTGGTCGTGCTACTGTAAAGCTTCTATCAAAGTGTGGGGCGAATATTGTGGCTTTGTCGCGAACTAAAAGTGATTTGGATTCTTTAAAGGACGAGGTTGGTTGTTTTCATGAAAGAAATCCTTGCTTATAAGTAACAGTTTTAAATTGATTCCTATAAAGTCTACATTTCACACCCATTTCGTTTAGTCGAGTGGCTTTGGCTGTCGTCAACGTAAGAATTAAATGCATAAATTCAGATACATTTTTATTTTAGAAAATTAACTCTACATTAACTCGAAGTATTTTTCTCTCAACATTTACCATTAAATTTCATTATAATCATTATTTTCATATTTTATGAACTTAAAAGCTCCGTTCTGGGACAGAGTGCTGGCAAGACTTCATCAGCAAACCATTCCAAAACAAATAAGGAGGTCTTCTCTTTTAGCCCACTAATTTTACACTTTCCATTTCTTCTTTAACAACCAAACACTTTCTTCGTTGCTACAGATCACGTTGTGTTGGTTTCTATTCAAATTGTTAAAAATGTTAACAACCTCTCACACAATTGCGAGATATGTTACAAAGATAAATTCGATCACTTCTAGTTGTCCGTCAGTGATCTTGCTGTCAGACAAATTGAATAATCTGTTTGATATAGAAATGGGGAGCCAATTAATTTAGGCTATCCAATTTAAAATGACGACTTTTAAAATGAAGACTCTTATGAAATGTTAACTTTAACAAATGTAGGACTCTTGTGAAATGTCGACTTAATCAAATGTACCCTCTTACATGACTACTTTTAAAATATTTCCTCTAATGAAGGGACGACTTTTTATGTCAAAAAGATTGACATAAAGGTAGACAAAAAGGTAGAATTAAAGATAGACACAAATGAAGAAAAAGGTAGACATAAAGATAAATGCAACGGTAGATACAAAGTGGACAATAAAATAGACATCAAGGTAAACATAAATAGACATTAAAGTAGACATAAAGGTAAACACAAAGGTAGAAAAAAAGAAAGACGAAAAGGTAGACAAAAAAATAAACATGGAGATAAGCATAAAGCTAGACCTTGAGATAGGCACAAAGTTAGACACAAAGGTAGGAAAAAAGAAAGACAAAAGGGTAGACATAAAGGTGGACCCAAAGGTACACACAAAGGTAAACATAAAGGTACACATAAAGGTAGGCATAAAGGTAGACATAAAGGTAGACATAGAGGTAGACATAGAAGTAGACAAAAAAGTAGACATAAAAGTACAAAATAAGTAGCCATAAAAGGAGACAAAAAGGTAGACACAAAAGACGACAAATTGGTAAACAAAAAGGTACCCAAAAGAGGACACAAAAGTAGACAAAAAAAGGTAGACGAATGTTAGGTAAAAAGGTAGACACAAAGGTAGACAAATATAGACATAAAGATAAACAAAGAACGTTTAAAAAACCACTAAATGGGGTGCGATGGTAAATTGAAGCTTGTTATTTTTGGCTTTTTCAATTTTCGGAATTAGGTATCCACGAAATTTGTTCCAGTCGTTGCAGACTTGATGAAGTTGGACGATGCAATCAAGGCCATTGAGGCAACAGGAGAACCTATTGATTTATTGGTAAATAATGCTGCTATGGTGATATTAAAAGAAACGCTTGATGTAACGGATGATGATATAGACAGGTAATTTTACTTTGCAGTTTGCAGCATAGTTGGACCACTAACGTTATGTGTGATTTTTCTTTGCAGAAAACTGACTGCTATTTATATTGCAGACTTTGCAGTGTATATGCATACATATACCTTTCAGTGAATAGGGCATACATCTCATGTTTGCAGTGATATATTTTCTTTGGATTTGTCGTAGCCTGTTTATATTAAGCGAATTGTATGCTTGTGCTGCTTTTTTGAGTAGGAGAAAGAGGCTGGTGTATATTAGTAATGTGTATGTTAGTAATTCGTCACATAATGTGGCAATCACTCAGCTGTGTGAAAGTAAATTAAAAAGAAGTGATTTGATATTGCGATTTAGATACAGCCCCTAGTATTTAAACATGACACAATTTCGACAAGTGGTCATTTTTGAAGACAAGTGTTTGCAACAGTGTAGGGAAAGGCATTTGTTTTCAGCCTTGTAGCAAATCAGAAGCTATTGAACATATATTGTTATTATAGCTAGTTTATTATCTTGCGTGGTTTCTTTATTACAGGTCCGTTACTATAAATATGAAAGCTCCTCTTCGTTTGTCTCAGGTACTTAATAACAATATCAACATGCAGATTATATATATAGCTCAGTAACGAAACAGTCTTTTCGCAACTAAAATGCAGGCATTTTTGTGTTGTTTTTTCTCAGGAAAAACAAGAAATAATGACTACAATTAGTTTTTTAAGGACACGAGTGATAATTTTGCTGAAAAAATTTTCAATTGTGTTAATGGAAGTTTGCCAGGCTTTGTCACTGATATAGTTGTGTTTTTGTATATTATGGTAATATTGTATATTTGTATATTTTGTATATAATTGGTAATCTAGGCATTTAATTTATAAATGAAAGTTTCTCCGGATTGTTGTAAAATTATTCATTGAGCTTTCGACTCGGTGCTTTGAGCCTTCATCCGAAAGACCTCTAACCACCTAGTCATTTCAATTTATTCTTGTTTATTCATGAACAATTGCATGAATTTGAAATCGTGTGCTCATACATAATGAAGGACTACTTCATTATAAGAGGTATTAGTTTGCACTGTATTTGAATTAAGAAGCTGGTAAAATATTGTTCTAACTTAATTCTTTTTAGTTTGTCGCTCGTGATTTGATCAAGAGAAAAAAACCAGGGGCTATTGTCAATATTTCAACAACTATTACACAATTTGCCTCGGCGGGTTATATGCCATACAGTAAGTGTGAATAACCTATACTTTTATCATGAATCAACACAGCTCAAGAATATGCATCCATTTCCAGGTCAATATATTGCATACTTTCAAAGAATACATCAAAAAACTCTATAGCTTTACTCAAGATTTCCCCAGATCTCTCAATTAGAGTCTTTTTATCTCTTATCATTCTGTGCGATTGATTTTTCGAGTGATTGTGCGATTGATTTTTTCACAACAGCGATGTCGAAGGCCGCTCTTGATAATGCAACAATAGCAATGGCGGCTGAACTGGCGAAGCACAAGGTCTGTCATACAAATTTTGAATTTCATAATACATCTGTAAGCAGATGGTGTATTGCAAATTTTATCAAAGCGCATATGGCTGATTGATATCGTATAAGAAGAAAAAAATTAATGCTTTTCCTTGCGACATGAAAAACTATCTTATTGGTTAGCGATGACATCGTCGCCATGAACTACCTTGGTTTCTTTGATTTATTGAATATTTCTCGCTTAAATTCTCGTACAAATAGTTGCAATGAGTAAAACTTTGTTCATCAATGCGTTGCTTAAAATTTTCGAATGCTGTTAAAAATTTTCATGTTGCGTATCTCTTAGATTCGTGTAAACTCTGTGTTACCTGGCTTAGTGGACACTCCATTTGCAACCACCATTCCACGTGAAGTGATAGAAAATTTCCTCGTCAATATTCCTCGTGGTGAACGAGCTAGTGAGTTCATATGACTGTTGTACAGAACTAGAGCATTCTTTCTTGGTGCATGGTTGTATCGATTTTTGAAAATTAGATCGTTCCAATTCATTACAAGCAAAAGCAAAATCATATTATATAACTCATTGTGTTTCTCTCATAATTGCAACGATGTTAGGAGCTCTGTGCTTTTGCTTTTAATTTTGAAAGACATGTTTATAGAGTCGAAATTAAAATCACTGCTTTCTCAAAGAACAATCAAATTTTCACTTGGACGTCATTTGAGCAAAAGGACCTAAGTATTCTTCGATTGACTTTACCATTATCAGAGATTTGATCATTCGGTTCTATTGATGACGAGTTTTGTCCAAATGACAAATATCAAAACTGTTCAACTAATAACACACTACTTTTAAACCCTGCTGAGGATTTACGGAGTATGTAAAAGATTCAACTATAAATTAAGTGGTTCACCGAAAAGTACTGCATGGTATATGAACAAATGTGCTGAATAGAGGGATACAGCTGCTTGGTATATTGTGAGTATTCATAAAATAATTAATGTTATTTTACGTTTAGGTTCAGAAGATATTGCTGACACCATCGTGTACCTTTTGAGTGACAGAGCAAGTAATATAGTGGGCTCAAAAATAGTCTCTGATGGTGGAATGTTTATCAAATGAACCAGAGAAAAGGTTACTTTTTGTGTACTTTCGGTGTGCTTTCCTTCTTAAATGTGGATAAATATGTCCCTGCGTGCTTATCAATAAAATATGATCAATATGTCATGCACTTTTGTTTTTTATTTTATTAAATATCTCAGCTTCATGTAAATTTTTTCCCATGCTCAAATCTACATCAATTTATACCAGTAAAACTGGGCAAAATCGAAATTTATTACCTGCCAAGGTAAACTATATAGATAGCTACAGATTTTCGTTTGTGCTGTTAGTTATTTCTTACTCCTGTCTTTCTGTGGAGCAAATTCTTTCCTCTGCGGTCAATAAAAATTGGACATCTTGACTGGAGCTTTGCATAGAGATCAGAGGTAGCTAGGAAGCAACACGAGAACGGAAATAGAACTTGAAGGATAACACATTGATATTACTTAGATTGACAATATAAGTTCGATAAGCATTAAAGCCCAACATAAAGCTTTAAGGAGAGCCATTAAAATAGACCAAAAAGTACCGAAAGTTATAAAAATAGAATATTGTAAACCCTATAGAATATTAACTGCTTCACGAATAGATGTAACGACAGTAGCTAATGAATAATATTGCATTTTCAGACAGTAGTGAATAGTATTGATTGTAACTGATATAAATTGGTAGTAATGAATAGTACTGCATTACTATTATTAGAACAAATTCCCTAACAAAATCATGTTTGTCAAAATCATTCCCTAACAAAAACAGTTCCTGCCAATTGTATTTAATTAATAATATCAAACCTAGATGAAGCTGAAACATCAAACTCACAATCTAAAACCAGGCATTATCTTAAAATCTCAAAACAAGATCTCTTACTATTTCGAACACAACTTTTAAAAACAACCCCCAAAACATTTTCCTGTCATTCTAGCACTGTCTACATAAGTTGAGTTCATGTAAATTCATGCCTTTAACATGGTTAAAATCAACTAAAATGTCTAGTCAGTTTCAGAGTTTGGACAACTATCTTCTTTTGAATCAAATACGAATTGCATTTCTCAAACGTCAATTGAAGGGGCAAGGGAAGCATATTCATATATTTTGCTATACTTGGCTAATTTTGAAATTGTCACTTTCAAAAGAAATCCGCTTGCCATAGAGGAATATATGAATATGTTTCCACTGCCCCATTCAAGTAACGTTTGATTGACGCCAATGGAAATATCAAAGGGTTTACGGAATATAATCGACAAATTTTTGAGATTTTTGGACATTATGTGGCATAGAAAATGTACCGTAGTTTTGAAAATAATCAGATCTTTCATTTTTGCGTATAAACATTTTTCTTATTTACAGAGCAATTGCCATCCAACATGGCGCACATTTCATTGTTCTCTCACTCCCAGGGGAATAGTTGCACATCACCTATTTAAATGTATTTTTGAATTGGATTTATGAAACAATATCTCTCGCTCTTTAAATTCATAATTTTTTGTATTGTATTTTTTCATTGCACTTCGAACCAATCATATACTCTAATCATGTGGGTGGATAAGGATTAAAATTTTTTGAACAACTTGCCTGCTCGCTGTTATATGATGGATATTTGTCGAGTGAGAATGTCTAGCTGTGGAAGTCAAGAAGATTTAGAAGAAGTGTGGGAAAGTACTTGGTAGTCACAATGATACAGACTTAGTGTATTTGAATAGATCGGCTGTGAAATCATTCCATTGTTTTTAATTTGGTTGAAGAAAAGAGAAGTTCTGTGTCGATGTAAGAAGGTGGACAATAGTAATTGATAGATAGTTTGGAAGATCTTTGTGTCGGAGCTTGAATACTTGTGGCTAATACCTAAATTTCGATTATGAAGATGTCGTGGTAAGGTCTATGTTGAATCTTTTTAAAATTTTGATAAAAGTTTAGTACTTGAGAAAGAAACGTCAAGTTTTTTACTCTCGTGAGACTTAAAAAGACAAAGAAAACGAAATTTTCTTTGCTTCATTATTCTGTTTGTGCTAAGTCTTGCTCATGCTTGTTCTTATGTCAAATTTAATCTTCCGTGCTTCGTTTATTGTTATTGTTTAATATTTCATCGAACGTTCCTTCGCTGGTTCGTTATTTTAATTTGTGAACTTACGTACACCATAATTACTGTGGTTTTAACATGAGTGTTTAAATCATCATGACATCGAAATCATATTTTTGGTTGTTCTTGCTTTCAAATACAACTATATTTGCGAAATTCAATTGTAAGCAAATAATTTAAATTGTGAATACAAAAATGAACGGTTGCAAATCGCAGATGATAAAGAGGAATGATGGCGGCGAAGTAGGTGATATCACACATAAGAACGAATAAAGAAAACAAAAACTATGACAGTTGAGATTATGACATAATAAAATATTTGATCAAAATGCCATGTTAAAGTATCAGGAATACAGATGGTTAATGCTTTTATAACGGACATGTTTCGTCGTCAATACGATGATATTTCCATTATCCACTTATTCTATATTGCTAGACTATAAACTCTTCGTCAATCGATGCTGCAAATGGAATGTTAGAAATAGATTATCATTCGATGCAAAGCATCTTACCTCATCCTCGATTCATGATAAGCAACCATTCTCTTGAGATTTGCCAAACAATGTTGCTCGCGCACGCCGGCTGGTGCCAACAATAACTCTGATAAAATTTTCTTTTGTTCAGACCACCAACATGGTTGAATTGCAACTCAAGAATATCAATTCTTCAAGACTTACCAGCATCCTGTGAAATTATGCTTTCGTTTTATATTGTATATTTGTTATCGATGTTACCAACAATTGTGAGACTGGAGTCAAAGGGATGTGTTTACTGACTGGCACTTTCTATACCATTGAGTATTGTTATAGACATCAGAGCAAATCAGTTAACATGCTTATTAACATGTTAATATGGAGTGGCTTTTAGTGAATGCTCAAATGTTTGGATGTCGCGTGTAACATCAAAATGAAATTCACTTTACAATTGATTTATCAAAGTTACAAAAAGGAATTGCAATACGCTGGCAGAGTATTGCAAAATTTTTAAATATATTTGGCTTATTTGAACTTGAAGTGATTACCGTATCCGACTATGCGTCAAACAAGCTGTTGACGTTAAATAAGTTGTCGCTTTATTATATCTATAAATGGCGCTTTTATAACATTGAGGGATGTTATAACAGTGTCTTTATAGAGGTTAAAGCATATTGGACACAAACATATTCTGATAAAGTTGTTTTACATATCTGACCACAATTTCATGATAACATCAAAGTAGGCCTTCCCTGCAAATTAGTATGGGCAGTTTACGGCTGTCTTTTGCTCATCATCGTAAATTATGGGTTTCGACAAAAAATTTCAATGATTTTCTGCAAACACTGGTTTTATGAAATACATGAACTTCAACAGTTTTTCATGATTGTATTTTACTATTGCTCTTACAGTTGTTCTTACATGGCAACAGTTTGCTGATTAAAACTGCGGTATGTGTTTGTTTGCTGTTTGTTTTGTTTGTTTGTTTGTTTGTTTTGTTTGTCGGTTTGTTTGTTTTGCCATACCACTAACTTGTTGTTTAGAGCTTTTCAGATGCGAGGACGAGAAGATCTAAGAAGTGGAAGTCAGGGCTGTAAGTGTATGTCTCATTAATCATATCTAACTATTTTGTTGCTTGTGTCTCTTTTAGAACGACGTGGCATATCATGGTCAATTAACGTTTCTTAAGGTAAGTGTAACCTGTTATTTTTACTGATTTTAGACTAAGAATTATTATTTGAAAAAAGCATTCTTACGGAAAGACGAGATTTTTTACTTTGATTCTTCGATCGGTGTTTGCAGATGATCAATTGAAGATTTGACTGAACGAAAAGTATAAATATCTAAAGCAAAATCACAATATCTAAACAAACTAACAAAAAAACATGCACATAAATGAGTATTTGGAATGTTCTCACTAAATTAGAGAGTTCCCTCACTCTCTTATTTAGGAAAGAAGTTCCACATAATATCCACGTACTCCAAAATAGACTTCTGCCACCTATTTTGGAATACCATTGTACAAATTTCACGCAGCGTACACTTGACAATTTTGGCAATTTTTTTTGGTAATTAAAATATGATCCTAGATATTTCATATAAAGTGTCCTCGATATCTGGGAGTGTGATTTTTTAGAAAGCAAATATAATTCCATGGTGTAAAGCTAAAGCCTTGCAGCATCAAGAAGATGGAAAATTTAGTGGCTATCCATCACTTTTATCAATTTTGAGTAGCCATAAAAATATACAATCTCTTAATTCGGCATAGAAAGTAATTTGAAAGTTATTAGAGAAGGTTGGAAATTATTTATATATTGCTTATATAAAAGAGTTAAGATTTGTAAATGCGTGCGATTTACGTATGCTTGATCAAGAACTAAACGACTACAGTCATTTTTTGATGTATTATGTACATATACCCGTTATTTGATAGCTGAGCTATCACAGGTATCTGATAGTTCTTTAATCTTCTTAATACTTCATCACATGTGTTACTAGAACTATAAATGAATTGATAGCATTTGATATTAGAAATCGAAATTATTTCTGTCTCATTGAGTCACTGTCTCCTGTAGAACCACGCGTAGAACGTACGTGAAGTATTTCCTAGGTAAACCAAGAACCAAGGATCATATATTTCGCGGGCGTCATACATTCGCGTTCATCTCGTTTTTCGTGTCACTTTCGTGAAAGATTCCAAATTGATCGTTTTTCAAGTTACTAATTTTGCTATCGCTGGTTTAAACAATACCTGCTTAGTTTACCAGTTTACATTGCACTTGCAATACGCTAATTTTCCTTCAAAATGAACATTGATTTAACAGGGAAGACTGCCTTAGTTACTGGTGCCGGTAAAGGTGATGTACGTTTACTCGTGTGTCTGTATTTGTATATATGGTGATATTTTAACAATGCTCTACAATTTCGTCGTATCTTGCAATTATTTTGTAGGCATTGGTCGTGCTACATCTATTTTACTTGCTGAATGTGGGGCAAGCGTAATTGCCTTATCAAGAACACAAGCTGATTTGGACTCGTTAGTTGCAGAAGTAATGTGATTTTTCTAAAATTATGTTAAGTATTTAAGTAATCGAAAAACAAATATTAAAGCCCAGCATATAATGCGTAAAACAGCCATAAAGAGAAAAAGATAAGTAATGTATATTTATTTCTAAATGTTATCAGCTGACGTTTCGTCTTTATCATAAGACATTCAAAGCAATGTGCAAAGTGAGTTCATATGAATAAATTCAATATAACCATTTACTTCTCAATAGTAACTATATAAAGTTTATAAGTAATGCGGGAGATCAAAAAATATCTTGCTAAAAAAATGCATTTTGAGATTTGTCTGTTAAATTGTTTTTTCCCTGTTTTTTTCCATTTATCTTTAACTATTGATCCAAAACAATAAAACTTAAACTTATCATTTACTTTTGGTTGTACAGTGTGGAGGGAATGTCAAAACTATTTGTGCTGATTTGGTTGAATTAGACACAGCAATAAAGGAAATTCAATCCAGTTGTGACCATATTGACCTGTTAGTGAACAATGCTGCCTGCTTGATTCATATTCCCAGCATATTGAATGTGACTGAAGACGATATAAATAAGTAAGCTAAAAGCTAATTTTCCCTATGAACAATGATGTATGTATCTTATCATTCACCTGAAGTAGCTTATCGTTCCCTGATATAGCTCACCTCTTTCCTGATGCAGCTCCTTGTTCTGCTGATGTAGCTCATCTTTATCCTGATGTATGTAGCTCATATTTCCCGGATGTAGCTCATCTTTTTCCAGATGTAGCTCATTGCTCCCTGATTTAGCTCATTGTTCCCTGATGTAGCTCATTGTTCCTGATGTAGCTCATCTTTCCCTGATCTAGCTCATCTTTTTCCCCGTAGCTCATCTGTTTCCTGATGTTGCTCATCATTCCCTGATGTAGCTCATCTTTTTCTTGATGTAGCTCATCTTACCCATGTAGCATTTCACCGGATGTATCTTTTCTAATTTGCTTTTCGTACAGCATAACTTTGCTGTTCCCTCATTCAAACCCCTCCTAGTTTGCAATATTCACATTTCTTACTTTAGCTCAATTTTTCATTGCGGAGACTTATGTTATGTGCAATACATTTGATTATGAAGCTTTTAATGAACTATTCAATTGCCTGATTAGTGATTTTCATGCATGTAACTTTTTCAATGTGTATCCAACTTTAGGAGAAATAAGTTGTAGTTGCTCATATAAAAATTTAAAGTCTTCTTAATTCAAAGCTGTTGGTGACCTATGAATTCATCAAGTGAATGGTGACCCATGAATTCATAAAGTAATTCATATAGAATAAAATATTTTTGATCTAACTTTTTTGATGGTCTGAAACTTATATATAGATATGTACAATTATTATCTAATGTAATATTTATGTTTGTGTAGCCTGATGCTTAGTTGTTCACTATATTTTTCCTTGCAGGGCAGTCAAACTGAATGTCACAGTTCCACTTTGCTTGAGCCAGGTTATTGTTTGCAATATTTTAAGACTTGCCCTGTTTTTTGTACTATATTTTCTCAGACTTTACCAATTCAAAAAGCTTACTTTGTGGGGGCATGCTTTAGTAGCATCATCAGCTTGACAATTGAGGGATAATATTCATAAAGTTGACTTACTGTGTATCAAATTTCTTTGAAATCAATTGTCTTTTAAGGTAACATGCGAGTATGAATGTTATTCCCCCCCCCTGCAATTATTGAGCTGGATAGTGATGCTTCTGACGTATTTTTAACGGGTATTTTTCAAAACTAAGTAAGAAATATTTGCTCTCACCATGGAAGTCTCCAATTCATTGACATCATCTATGTTGAATTGTTTTCACTTCACAAATATTTGTTCGTTTATTGAGGAGGCAATTATTATATTATATTTAATTATATTTAGATGATTTCTCGCGATTTAATCAAACGTGGACTAGGTGGAGCAATTGTCAATGTTTCGTCAGTTGTAGCAGATAGATTTTCTGGCAGTACGGCCCCTTATGGTATGAGTTAAGTGATCAAAGTACATTACAAACAACGAAACAAGCAAGTCTTGTAACTTACACACTCATCTTTTTTATGAATCGACAGGCATAACAAAAGCTGCGCTGGATAATTTGACGAAAACTTTTGCAATTGAGCTTGCTCCATACAAGGTACTGATAGGTTTGTAGCTCTGTAGGGGTGTATGTGTGTGTGGGGGGTGGGGGTGGGGGTGGAGGGGGAGTGTAACCCCAATCCTATGTGACATGTGTGTAGAAAAGGCCGTTCATGAACTTGTAGAGGACAAAAAACGTCGGGCCGACTAAAATTGTGGGATTTTTTTGTAGGTAATTTTTGTCTGCCAAATAAAGGTTTGAGCCTTTCACTTAAATGCGTACATTAAGAAGAAATACGTATATTTACATAGGTAGATGTGGATTGTCCAGGTTGATAGAGTCCTGAGGAGGACTGTTGGTGTTGATGTTGACTGACCTTTTGACAACCTTAGCGGTGTTCATTTTCTTAGACAAGACTTTCAAAAACACTTGTCATGGACACAGTCAACATGAACACCCACAGTCTTTCTTAGGACTCTACTAACCCGGACTATCTACATATTTAAACATGCAATGAATGCAATGACAGAAAATTTTAATTCAGATTCGAGTAAACAGTATATTACCCGGACTTACCAACACACCAAGTGTTCAAGGTTGTATCGAATTGCAAGGTGTACAAGCTCTCTTGAAACAAACACCGAAAGGTCAAATGGCTGGTACGTGGTGTTACGATTTTTTTATCCACAGTCTAAATATTTCATTTCGTTCTATTTTCGTGTATGCCAAGTAGACTAGCCCGCAAATACTTGCGGGATGTATGTCTATAATACAAAGTTTCAACCTTTTTTTTGACATGAACATCGGCAATATTTGTGTTGTGATTCAATCAACATTTACTAATGTCAACTTGAGCTAGCAAAATAATTTACACTACGAAATGATGATTGTAAATCAATAACATGAGCGCACGATCAATGTTGCATTTACAAAGATAATTGTTGCATTCACAAAGATCATTGTTGCGTTTACAAAGATAATTGTTGCATTCACAAAGATAATTGTTGCGTTTGCAATGATCATTGTTGCGTTTGCAAAGATCATTGTTGCGTTCACAAAGATCATTGTTGCATTCACAAAGATCATAGTTGTATTCACAAAGATCATTGTTGCATTCACAAAGATCATTGTTGCATTCACAAAGATCACTGTTGCATTCACAAAGATCACTGTTGCATTCACAAAGATCATTGTTCTATTCACAAAGATCATTGTTGCATTCACAAAGATCATTGTTGCATTCACAAAGATCACTGTTGCATTCACAAAGATCATTGTTCTATTCACAAAGATCTTGGGCAGTTAGAAACAATGCTATGAAATTGTACTTTCATCAAAGTGCCTAAGACACCGCCAGTATTGTCACAATAACACGGTTTCGTTTGGCAATTTGCCTCAAATATTTAAATGCATCTTTCAATAATTTGCGCTATGTTTTGCAGAGGCCAGGGAAATAGCTCAAACTATTGTCTATTTGCTCAGTGACTATTCCAATAATATTACTGGTGCGAGGATTGTATGTGATGGTGGATTTCATTGTAATTGAATTTAATCATTTTGACATGTTTGTTGGTTACAACAGTCGTCGTATTTTAGATGGTACATGTCAAGGCCTAATTCCACAGGCGAAATTTCTCAGTTAAAATCAAAAATAGTTTTACGCACGCGTGAAGAAAATTTGTTCGCCAATATTTTCGAGTAGAAATTCAATTTGCTGGATGCTGTAAAGCGTATTGCGCAAATATTGTCTGTTGCAAAATTTTGTCTGCGGAGTCTGCGCTTAAAACGAATTTTTTTCATACAAAATCACATTTGTTTTCGTCGCCCCTGCGTGCTAATATTTTGCGTGAAAATTTTTACATTTTGCTTTGAATTTCCGCCCGTGCAGTCAGGCACCGTTTGCACGAAGGACGAAAAGCGCTATCCACTGAATAACAATATTTTTGAACGCTTCCAAAGTTTCTTAAAAAGAAAATATTTACGAATCGAACTAGGCAATCAACGAAATATAATATTGGTTCTAGAAAGTTTTTTCATCGTAAAGAAAATATATAAACTCCTTTTTCACAAGTTTGAAAAATTTACTATCCAATGGATAACGCTATCCAGGCTTCGTGCAACTGGCCCCACGACTTTATACGCATGTGCAATATCCCAGGAAGAAAAAAAGTGTAAACTGTATGCTATCATTGGAAAAGTGAAGACAAATATTTGAAGCAGTGCTCCTACATGTGAATAGTTTGTGAGTTGCTAAAAAAGAATTTCTTTGAAGTAAACGCAATGAAGTACAGATTAAATGCTAACTGAACTTGACTAAATAATAAAGTGAATGTCTTGAATCTTGAAGTATCTTTAAATGTTTTTAAATGCAAATCTTTCAGGTTAGTGAGGTTTTGATAAGGACTTTTGGTGTTCATGTTGACGGACGTTTCCACCAGCTTGCGGTGGTAATATATTAAGGGTCGAGGTTGTCAAAATGTTAGACGACGTAAACACGAACAGTCCCTCTCAGGACCACACTAACCTGGACGATCTACAAACAAGTTATAATTACACTTTGTAAAGGTTTGCTGTGCAGTGAGAAATCAACAAAACATTGTTAAAAACTTCGCTCTATCCTCGGTTTATTAGTTCATGATACGTGTGAATTGTTTTTTATTCTCTAAATTCTATGATTTCTATCCTACTTCTATTTTTATGTGCATCTTTAATCTCTTTTATCTCTGTAAAAGTTTCCCCGTTCACTCTTCGCTTGCATTTGGCAATTGCAATTAAAATAAAGCAATAATTGAGACGTTTTATTCTTATTTTATTTTATTTTAGCCACCTCAGAACTCACCTACCCAGTCTTCTAGTACTTGAGTTAACTTGTCAAGGTCATCATCGCTTGCGATTGACGGACAACTCAACTCAAACTCAAACTCATACTTAACATAAAGTTTTAATTAGAGCCATAGAAATAGACCAAAAATGTAAAATTGAATTTATTGTGACGTTTTGTCTTTACTCAAGAGTCAAGACATCTTCAGACAATTAATTAATAGGATGTTTGAGACAAGATATTATATTTACAAAAGGTGTTAAATTTCTACTAAAGGAGGCCGTGTCAATGGATTATATGATAAAGAAGTTAGGAAGTAAAATAAGGTGCAATTAACTGAGATTAAGTGGAATTAAACATCCTTGCACGTTAAGTGAAGGCTTGTATTTATTGATTAGAATGCTCTCATGAATGGAGAGCTCATAGGAATCGTTAGAAGCATTCTAATCAATAAATACAAGCCTTCACTTAACGTGCAAGGAAGTTCCATTCCACTTAACCTCTTTTATTTTCACTTTATTTTACTTCCTAACTTCCTTATCATATAATCCATTTGACACGTCCTCCTTTAGTAGTAATTTAACACCTTTTGTAAATATAATATCTTGTCTTGACATCCTATTAATTAATTGTCTGAAGATGTCTTGAGTAAAGACAAAACGTCACAATAAATTCAATTTTACAATTTTTGGTCTATTTCTATGACTCTAATTAAAACTTTATGTTAAGTATAAAATAGATTTCGCTGTGGGTTCAATTAAACGTCTCAATTATTGCTTTATTTAAATTGCGATTGCCAAATGCAAGCGAAGAGTGAACGGGGAAACTTTTACAGAGATAAAAGAGATTAAAGATGCACATAAAAATAGAAGTAGGATAGAAATCATAGAATTTAGAGAATAAAAAACAAACACTTTCTTCATGCTGTACAGTCACTACAAATAGTCACAAATAGTCATTGCCAAATTATTTAAGACAATGTGAAAGTGGCCTGAATACAGTTGAAAAAATAAATCACGTTTTTGCAATAGCTTTCAAGGCAAACGTTTTAACTAAAACTTTATGTTGGGCATTAATTTTTATTACACATAATATTGCACCTCAAAAGAGCAGTTTCTTGCCCACATAAAGATAGCTGTTCTCTTGTTTTAAATTATTTTCAATCAACGGTAATTTTTCTTGTATCTTAAATGGCAGCTGTTTTTTTCTTTAATTGAAAACTTAGATAAAAGCTCTTCGACCCTAATTACACATTTTGCTATTGTTCACACCAGTCAATGTCAAGGACACGCATGCGTAGCTTAATTGTAAGAAAAAATGAATGATATATGATACTTTAGGTATATGCCGTTACACTTCGACAAAAATAGCTTCGAAGGGATTTTTTGTCTATCAAATTATTTCGATTGTACGTAAGAGTCTTCTGGCTATCGTATCGTGTCAGCTTTTTTGAATGCTCTCTCAATTCTAACGATCTAAAAAATCATCTCAAGTCTTCAAATGAAGGAAAAACCATGCTATTTCGTCATATTGTTACAATCTCGAAGGTTGCTCCACTTTTCTGTTGTGTATATTTGTATACACTCTTATTTGTGTGGTCGTAAGGATGTTACGTTTCTAAGGAGATACGCTACATGTAGTGGAAGCTCCTGATTCCAATTATGATATGAACAAGCAAATAAAAACGAAACGAAACTCTTTTTCCTGGAAGTAAAAAGTGAAAACAGTCAAATTTTTTCTCATCGTTGTTCTAGGTCTAATTCAAGGGTCAACTTTTTGATATTCTTCTGAAGTAAATAAGGTTGAGAAATGAAGCAATCACACTTTTTCCAAACAAAAGAAGTCGTTAAAATAATTGACAAGTGGGATTCTTATCTCATCTCATCTTTCCTCGCCTCCGAGTTGTTTTTTGTTGTGTATAGTCCACACAGATATAAAAGAACATAGAATTAAATTTAAAAATTACAGTAGAACTTGTATTAAACGGTTACCCTTGGGGATTTCTCGGGTGACCGTTTAATACAGGTTAACCGCTTAATACAGTCTTTAGGAAAATCATTAGACATATAATATTTCATACAACTAAAGTTGAACCATTCGGTATTGTTCCTTAGCATATATGCCAAATAACAACACTATATAAAGCAATTTTTTCTTAGTTTGAAATAGAAATTAAAAATAGTGCAATTAAAAATGTCACGGCTCAAACTGCTGAAAACAAATAAATGGAAAGCGTGTCAACAGAGAAGGTGGTTATAACTTCGTATGTATATACCTTTATTGGAGATATGTTTTCTTGCCAATGGCTGAAGGGCTTAAGAAAAGGTCAAATTGCTGATGCAATTCGTCCTCATAAACAGAAAGTATTGTTGGCTCTTTTGAGTCATTACGGAAGATAAATACAATATAAAGAAATGTATACATTTTGCAGAAAAAAATATTTAATTTTATATTTTATTATGTGGTGTATTTACTTAACCTGACCGCTTAATACAGTTTCAAAGCATTCAAAAATTAAGTTTGGGACATTGGAAAAGGTGACCGCGTCCGCGCTTAATAGAGGTGACCGTTTAATAAAGGTCACTTTAATACTATTTATACTATGAAATTTTCGGGACTTTGCCATATGACCGTTTAACACAGGGTGACAGCTTAATACGGTGCTGCTTAATACAGGTTCTACTGTACGTCGTTGAGAAGAAAGGATATATATTAAATAGTGCAACATGAAAACGTAGCAGAAAAAAACATAATTTGTATTGAGATGTTCTGCTGTGATTTTAATGTGTGATAATTTCAAAACTTTTTGCGTAGAAAGTTGCTCGTCGAAGCTATCCTCGAAATGGGCCATTTCTGCAATTATAGCCAGAATATCTCACTATTATATTACAACGCTGTAAACAATTAAAATCGGTTTCATATTTATCATTTAAAAAATTTAAATGAAATTATCTTCATTTGCTCTTACTTCACAATTGCAATACAAATACAATAATCAACGAGACGCTTTATTGGTTCTAAATCGAATTTCGCACTTTTTAAATTTAAACAAAAACATAGCTGCGAACTTTTTCTCGAGAAAAATGAAATCAATGAATTTATCTGTTTTGTAGCTGTTTCAAAATTTTTTTGTAAAAATACGATCAATATTTTATCAGGCAATCATTAAAAAAACGATCAGTTTTTCAAAAAAGGGACAGCTGGACAATCTCACTTAAAATACTAAATGAGAGAAATATGACTTAAATCAAGTTCTTGCTAAAGATTACAACCAATATCATCAATTTGCAAGCCATTCAGTGCATTTTTAAAACAATTCAGCGCACTTATAAGAAAAATACATCACATGCAATTGACCATCGTTCCGTCAAGATGAACTCGTCATTACAAAATTTAGTTGTAACGTGTAACCAATTAGGGATGTCACATTTTACATTGAGGAAGATTTCATTCGATGGAATTCTTGTGAATCAATATGTGTTAATTGTATTTAACAGTCTTTTGGCTATTGCCACAACTCTGCTAAATTCTGTCGCAATTTAACGATTCAAAAATCGTCTCAACTGAAAGAAAAACCATGTTATTTTATCATATTGCTGCAATCTTGTATAGAATTATTTGGCTGTCTACTTGCAATGCCGTTTTTCCTTGTTTACCTTATAAATGCAGTTTTAGGAACTTTGAATTGCCTGGTTAATATATGTGGAGTGTTGTTAATGTTTTTACATTAGGATACTCAAACAACAACTTATTTGCTCTGACTTGGGAAAGATACATTGCTATATTATATCCTTATGACTATAGCACCAAAGTTACAAAAACTAAATTGTTTATCGGTGTGAGTATAACTGGTCTGGCTGATTGCCTGATGAAAATTGGACTTTTAATTTTTACTCGAGAAATCATATTTCGATACACCTTGACGAAAGTCTTTGCTCTTTTCTGCTATGTTTGTTTTGCTTATACGCGTATTTATTTGGTCGTGAGGCAGTTACGCGACATGCAGTCGAAGCCTACTGATTCCAATAATGGTCTGAGCAAGCGAACCAAAACAAAACTTATGTTGCAGAAAGTCAAAGCAGCCAAATCTTGTTTCATGGTTGTTTTGTGTTTTTCTTGCTTTACATCATTCCAGGGCTTCTGCTTAACATGATCACTGCAAATTGGGATAGAATTGATCAATTTCCTGTTGCAATGTGGATTATTTCCCTATCTTATTGTAATTCTAGTGTGAACTCTTTGATTTTTTTCTGGAGTAGACTGATGTTGAGGAAAGAAGCATTCAAACTTATTCAAAACGTAAGAAATCGTGAAAGCTGTTAACAACATTAGATTCTAAGTTCGTGGGGTATTCGCATTAAAATTGTTCCGTTTTTATTATGTTCGTATAACGAACGTTACAAATCATGTGACTGCTGTTCAAAAAAAAAAGATGTCATTTTATCAGAAATCTACACAATCTTACATATTCATGTTTTATGTACAATATCCAGCTTAATGTGAACAAAGTTGTTCAAC